ATACCTATTCTCGATCGTGAATAATTTGTTGATTAGTTGAACGAAAATAATTTCTACAGCATGTTGGAAGGGGTTAATGAAATTTCCATCGATCCGGCTCCGAATTTCCTCGTAACCTACGAATATCCCGCAATAAATTCATAATAGTAAATGCCGATATAAATTCCGTAATGTACGGTTTTCGGCGGAAGTTTTTCCGAACAGCGTCCGAACATTAGGGAAAAACGCCACTATATCAAACGGTCGATGTGATATATCGGCAGGAAACGCGCATATTTTCTAACGAAAATATGTTACAAGTGTGTGTGTGTTTTCGGTAATTCGCGAAATGTAAAATAAACCGGTCCCTATTCGCCCAACTCCTTATCACCATACTACATCACTAGATATTTATATAACGCCGCACTGCGTCATTTATTCAACGGCCGAAAAGACTCTTTGCAGAACCAGAACCGTCCTTTCAAAATTAATGAAGGAATAATAGTTTACTTTACCACCAAGCCTTCGAAATATTTGATGAATCTCTTCCTCAAACAGCACTAAATAGTTGAGAGATTTCTCATCCACTTCCACCAATAATCTTATCATTCACTTATGAGTATTCAATATAGAGATTTTTTTTAATGTATTGCCTGTTTAGAGGGTAAATATTTACACCCTGTATACGCAGATGCCTAACAATGCGATTTCCATCAGTGCGTTAATAATTGCGCAATTAATTATGCGATAATTTAGTGACGCGAATAAATGTTGAATAATTGAGCTTTTCCAAGCCCATTCTAATCAATTCACTTGTTAGAAATTCGCGAAATATAGAACAAACTGGCGGTAATTAATATTTATACAACTTAATTAATTTGATATTCGAATCGGTGATTTTCAATTAAAATAATCGAGTTTAATAAACGTTCAAATGCACAATGTCGGAATTAATATTCGCTTTTACATTTTCCACTGCACATTATACCGAAATCGTTAATAAACAAACCGTGTACGCGCGGAAGTCTAATGCGATGTTTGAGTGTTAATAAAAATGTCGAAATCGACTGTAACACCTCTTAATCTCGATGGATATAAAACACAGGGAAATAAATATATATATACGGTATGTTATTTGAACAACCGACAACTACTTAAACTAATATTGGTTTAAGTAATGTAAGTTTGTCTTCTTGAGCAAAACAAAGGAAGGCGTAGTCGACAGCGGCTGCCGCGTCTATATTAAGCTGTACAAACTGAAGATGTCGTTCGCTTTAAAATTCGTTTATTTTATACAGGATGCGTCCGATACCCACGACAATTTTAAATCCGATTTCCAGATTAATTCCATTGCAAATATCGAAGCCTCCCACTTACGACAACAACTCCAGGTATACCACCTTTCTTTTATTACATAGTTCCCATCAGCTCCATTGCTGTTGGCTCTAAAATTATTAGGAAATCTTCAATTAGATATTATTATGTTGGAATCGATATTGTTTGCTTCGTATGGCGTGCTCGCATAAACATAACTCGTTACCTTGGATAATTTCGTAATGAACTTGTTTATTATCGACTAATTAACTGTATTTGTAGATTGTAGTAATGTGGGTTTGTTGTATTGTAAACGTATATGGAAGCGACCATAAAAACTTTGTGTATACGAGCATAAAATCAACTCCAATGTAACATTTATGAAAGGGTCTTCAAAAGAATTATACTGATTGGGAAATAGGTCAAAAAGATCCTATATAATACAAGTTCATAACTATAAAAAATAAATATACAGTGACTAAAAATAAGCAAAATGTAATGTAAAAGTTCATTGAATGTTGCGAGTACCGGTTAGTAAACGCATTAAAATTTAAATAACACAACAAATTAAATTATAGCACAAATTATGCATATAAATTAATAGTTGCTGAACTGCGGATTATCAAATTTGCATAACTAATATTCCAGTTTATATAGAATAACCTCTAATTAAGCGTTAAGCAAATTGAATAAGCAAACAGGAGTAATTTAAAAACCAAATAAGAACTAATCGAAACTGAATTTTCCGTAAACAAACGGCATAAAACCAATCCACTTTCTATTAGAAAGCGAATCGCCCTGTAAAAATTTCAAAGATGCCTCTTGCGCATATTAATATTTGTGTATATACGTTGAATTTTATTGCATATGCGGTATATGATGCATTCTGCGTTTGACAAGCCGGCGAACATGTGTATACAAATTATTAATAACGTGAGTTCGGGTTGTTAAACACATGATTTGCGGCGTACGTTTAGGGAGAATTTTCCAAGATTGTTTGCGAAGCGACGAAGGGAAAGCGGAGAAAATATGTAAATCGCTAGCGATAAGTACAGAACAACATGAAAAAGTTTAGATTGAATACCGTTCCACATCGGGACTGGCAAAAACAGCGAGATAATTGGTTAATTTATTATCTTTTGAATGATTTTATAGAGGACTTTATAATGTTCTCTATAAGTTACCTTTTAACCCTTCCATATGCAATAACTTACAAGAGGGTAACATTATTCTTAATTACTTAACTTCGGATTGTAATTCAAAATTCAGTTGTACCTTTTAGGTATATTCAACGGATGTTGAAATTGGCGCCGTTAGAGAAAATTTATTATTTAATTAGCGCTTTATAAAATATGAATTGCGCTGGAAAGACAAATTTTCGAATTACGCAAAATGGAGCCGAGCGATTGGGCGGTAAATGAATAACTTTTCGTGATAAGCGCATGAATTTTTGATGGAACTGTTCGGCAGGTCTCGTTAGCCTTTATGCACGCGAAACACATCGTGTTTATTATTATTAGGCCGCAATAGAGGGTTTAATATTTAATCCCATTGTGTCGGATTTCCCAAAGGGCCTAATAACGTTTCATATGTAAATGTATCGTTTTTGAAAGCGACGTAAAATTTCAGTTATCGAACCATTTCCAATTGATCATTCACAAAATTGCGATGAATTATTCACGGGCGAATTATTATTTTAGTTAATCTGCAGGTATTTGTAGATTAATTAAAATCAGTTGCGAATATTGGTTGAAATATTTAAATAGTATTATAACATCTACTAAAAATTTGTTTGTTAAGTTTGATTCTAAAAAACGGTGTATTTTACAACTGCCATTATTAACTCGGCGCTTTTGAATAGATAGATATGCCTGATTTGTTTACCGAAAGCCAAAACAATTCCTTCGATAATCGTTAAAATCTGGCCCGACGATTTTCCAGAAATTCTCCAATTACTCAAGAAAACGAAAACAAATAAAACCCATTTAAACGGTGTCTCCGTCGATTGATTAATTAAATACAGATTTTTCCGATTTCAAAAGCCATTTCGAACGTGTTTTTAGAAAACAAACCGGTCGAGATGGAATTTTTTCTTTGTTGGTTTTTTTATCGTAGATTTATCTACGTTATGAAAGCAGAAGTGAAGCTTTATGTAAGCAAATATCTGTTGAATAATGGCTTCCGAATTTATAAATTTATACAAGATGTTTTACACGTTTACTATCATTTTAATTGGATTTAGTATGATGATTAAAAAATAATTAATTATCTTTAATGAAGAAATCAGATTAAGAAGCAGAAAAAAATATTCTCATCAATTCGAATAATTCTAATTAAATATTTCATTCGATTTAATTAATTACCAGGTGACGTTCGTTCCCACATATCCATTGTAGTTTAATGTCCACGCGTTTAATTGCTTCAATTAATTTTAATTATTAGTTTAACTTATTCGATAGTTCGATCAATTCTGGTTTCGAATTTTCAACCACCCAAGTCGACTCGGCTCGATCGGCGTTTAAAACTTTGTCCACGTTCAATTCAATTCACAACTTTAAAATTGTCCCGCATTTTAATCCTTTTTGTTTATTTTTTACAAGCGATTTGATTTGAAATTCGCGTTCATCTAGCCACTGGTTGACAGTTTTACATTGTTGTTATGGAGTAACTAGGGACATTGTTTCATTTGACAGTTTTGCATTGTTGTTATGGAGTAACTAAGGAGATTCTTTGAATGACAGATTTACATTGTTGTTATGGAGTAACTAGGGACATTGTTTACATTTTAAAGAAACTTTTTAAGTGATTGATTAGAGTTAAAAAAGAGCGCTGAATACTGCATTTAGGCAACTAACTATACTCTGACGTCATTAACCTGATGATACTTTTTACTAGCTCTACGTGATAATATAGATTAACAGCGTAATTTCTCCACAAACCCACCATTGTGGAACTAATGGAGACGCATTGCTAATAACCACGGCGTGAAAAATGCAGCTATATGCTAATTAGTAGATATTGCAGAATCACCTGCAGCGCGTTATCAACAATGTTTCGTACGAAAAAAAAATCCTAAAACCGACGCACATATTATCGCCATATCGAGCAACAAAGATAATAAATATCGCGTATTTGTAACTGTCACGATGTGGGTCCGGTTAGATAGGTACGAAGCGAGCGCAATCTGTTGATAAGGCTCCGAATCGGGCGAGATAGCGGTGATATAAACGTGATTTGTGCATTGCCCGATAACGGGAACGAAATCGTAATTAATTTCGCGATGATTTAGGTGTTTCGGGACTTTCGCGGCGCCGCTTGCTAATGAGCCGCTGTGGAGGGAATTCTTCGATTTTCGAAACGAAAATGCCGCGTGAAAAATTCCGTTTTGTTAGGACGCGTTGCATCGCGCGCGAGTAAGAGCAACATGAACATCAGCTCGGAGTTGTGGGAGTCGAGCTCGGGTAGATTAAACGGGAAAGTTTTGAAATTAGTTCCTGCATTAGATTAAAGGGACGGTATTGAACTTGAGGAGTAAGTTGGTTAAGTTTATATCTCACGCCCCGTGCAAAATCCAATCAACTTAATATGACTAGGGATACGACTCGAGTTTGCTGTTAACACAATAAGGAGATTCTTCCCAATTTCTCGATAATCACGTTAGCGAATATAGCAATTTTAATTCGATGTTTGTTTTTTTTTTGTTGCAGCTTATCGACGCTAGTTACAGGAGCAGTCCATCTTTCGATACACCGGCTGTGATAGTTTTGTGTTCCGCTCTTCTTTTATTTCTCGTCGTTATAGCAACTATATTAATTTGGAAGTAAGTGTAATTTTATCGCAAAGTTTCCTATCAATCTTATCGGTTTAATTATACGCCTTCCTCCCTATAGTTCCATAACAATGCACTTATCAAACATCGCTCTAATCAATAGGGGATCTCGAACTGGGATCGCTTTTATCGCTCGCCCCCCCTTTCAGGCGAAAATATTAATTCAAAAAGGAAGCATAAAAACCGAAAACGATCTTTAACCGAACGCACGACGGTGTTCATAAGTACAAAATTAGTATTTCCTTTGACGTTGATCGCATTAAAATATTCGCTTTTCGAAAATTCCAATCGATGAGCGCGCGGGGTGGAAATCACGAAGCGGAGAAAATGTAGTTAATACTTTTTCGAGAGTCCCGCGAGAGCGCCCACCGGGCCCCCGCGACTTCGCAAAGGGCGTTGCCATAGAGATAACTAATTAAGAGAGCCTAGTTGTCTATATATTTTCTCGCACTGGCTGCGGCATAATGAGAGCAAGGCATATTCTTCGGCATGCGAGCAATGCACGCGCCTCGGGGACCTGCATGCACCGGGATATTTAACTGAGTTATACCTGCAGTTCTCCCACCGATGTGACCAATTTTCAATTTAATTACTTCCAGTTTGAAGCGAAGTTTCGATGGCATTAACAGTCGCGAAAAATTGTGTGGAACTTGGGTGTATCTATTTTTTATTTACGCTACATGTAGTGTATTTATTCATGCAATAATATCCAGTATGATCCGGTACGTTTAATATAATACACGTGATATACTCACTATATTCACGGTGCTGTTCACTATCGATCAAAATCTACCTAGTTACTTTCTGGGTAGGATACAAATAATCTATTTTACGAGCCACATACGAAAAGCAGCTGTTCACTGCACGTTAAAATGTCACGTTTTAGTACATATTAATCCGGTGCCGGTGTTTAGGGACAGATTTCCTGATGGCTTAACGTCCGTTTCGTCATTTTCGGCCTATTATTCAAAATCACCTCTACCGCTAACAACTCATAACTTACAAGCCACGAAATTTCTTACGAAAATTAGCGATTAGCGATGTTTTGGATTAGTCGACTCGAATTAAGTGCGAGGAATTTTGTTTTTCGGTACCGACATTATCAATAAATACCCTAACTAGCTCAACAAACGCTCGGGTTATCTAAGAAATGCGGTGGTTAAGGCCCGACGCCTGACGCTTAAAATATGTTTTAAGCGCCTATTATGGCCCCGACAGAATTTATATTATTTACAAAAACGGGCTCGCACGAAATGCCGTTCGGTAGATTTTATCGTCTGGGAATTCGAACCCGATACTTTTCGAGATCTCTATGGGGTTTTTGTCCATCGGAATTTTGGGAAGAGTTATTTTCGATCGATTACGCGGATGGAAGAAACGGCGGAAAATAAAGAGCCGGCTCGAACGAAAAACCCCACAGAAAAAAAATTAGATCCTTTCCAGGAATAAACTGTTCTATTCGTTTATCGTCTCATCCACCAGCTATTCCTGTTGCACTTTATTTGTGAAATTTATTTCCATCGTGGCTATAACGTTTTAACGGCGAGTAAATAATTAACTTAATTGATGCTTGTTATTGGAAAAGCGACAAATTATAGGCACGTCAATACATATATCCGCTGAAATAAATGTTTACACCGTAAAAAAGGTCGATTCCTGTCCGAATTTTATTGCTTCTGCTATACCAGGGATCTAAAAATATACGCGAAGAGCCGCGTTTTCGTTGGAAAAGGCGTATCCGTTGTCCGAGTGATTTATCATTTACAAATGGGCGACTGGGGACTAACTTATTTCCAAACAGTTGTCGTTAAAATGCGAGAATGATGTACAATCAACGGTCGCGGTCAGAGGAAAAAAAATTAAATAGAATCGAGGCGAGAACCTTATTATTTTGATTTCAAATTTATTATCCAGTTACAAATGAAATACGACGCGTTTCACTTTAAATTACTCCCGACGAAAAAGCGAAAACAAAAAGCAGAAGCGCAATTTCGAATAAATAACCTCATTTACGTTCCGGCACGACAATTTTTGTATAATAGCAGATAAAATTCGATATAAACATCAATCTGATGCGCCGCGAGATGAGGGCGTTTCGGGAACATAGAAGACATAATAAAAGTCAATTACCGTCAGCTTCAATACAAATTGAGAAAAATAACATTGTCACAATCTTGACTGCCGTCTCCGCCATATACTTTTTTAATTCGGTTTCTCTCTCTGGATACACCTAATAAATTCATCTGGATCCCACCACAGGACCGTATTTTATCCCTACATTCCACTAATATCTTAAATTATTGATTCTATCTCAATTTTCAATTACAAGTTGATATTTGTAACGACACAAAGTAATATTTTCTTTACATTTTAACCCGCACAATAAATTCAAAAATGAAATACTTCCTGGTGCTGGAGACACAGCTATAATATTTTTAATTAAAATCCCTCTCTGCAGAGTAGAACGTGCACCTAGCAAATTCCACTTGAGGAATAATAACCGAACGTCAAACGGAATCATCGCATTATGTCGAGGCGGAGGTTCGATTTTTTTTTCTCTTTTCCGAATTACAAGGCGAGCAACTTTTAATAGAACTCTAATCTCGAGACTAAATATACCTCGAATTATGACAGTAAGGGGGAGCCCGTCCGTGTTTTGACATTTTAAATTATAATTTACCAGGCCGGATCCGGAGTTCTGTAATCCCCCGCGCTCGCGCTATAGTCGTTATTTATTTGTTGTTTTTTAATTAAGAAGTTGTTCTTGAAGATTAACCCGAGTATCGCCCTAATGTATTTCCACAAGGTGGCTGCAATATTTTGAAACAAGCAGGATTTTTGGATGTGCAAAATAGGTTAAAATTTTTGAACATATAAGCTCTACTCATTCCAGAAGTAAGATCTACATTTTTGTCTATTAACTCTTTAGTATAAGCTCGAAATTTTTACCTAAAATTACTATTAACGTTGATCGATATTCGATGTGGAAGCTCTCTCAGCGGGGAATTAAATTTCCGCACGCGGACGGCGAAATGTACACTGTGTTTTTTTTTGCCGAGTATATTTTTTAATAAACATGCAGATATTCGGGAATGTGTCACAATGCGCCCAGTCTTGCGGAAATATCTACACTCCCTTTTGAAAATTTCTATTATATTTTTCATTGTCGGGTGAACAATGACCGTGCGGCGGTTCACAATTACCAAATCAAATTTCCAAACAGAAAAGTGGAAATCGTACGGAATACGGCCCTTTGTTTTCCTGGATTAATTAAATTTGCTCGGCGACAAAGTCATAATTCGCGCGAGAGAAAAAAAAAGGATGCGGGGAGCGTAATTCATATTTAACGAACATATTTTTGCTGTTAAAGAGTTTTAAATCTAAATCAATAGAGTCGACTGGAGGAAAAGACGGAAAACAATTGTAAAGAGAACACGACAATTCTCCCGGTTTATTTTTATCTCTTTTTTTTTTAATTCCACCTGTGCCGGGGTCTAAGTGAGAGGAAAACATTGGGGATTTATGGAGATGGAGTTTTTATTCGACGTCTGGATTACCTGCTAACGTCGCTGGTACGTATTTTTAACAAAGAAGAAAAAGGAAATGAACGCGATTCAATTTATCTTGCGAGTTCATAGATTACGTCTGCATCACCGTTTCTCGCGATAAATATATTCCGTTTATAAAATGTTGTGGTAGTTTCCCCGGCCGGATAATTGCGCAAATTTCAATCCTCCAACTTTCCTATCGGGTTTCGTTTGGGAGCTCGAAGGCGAAGGGAAAACGTCCATGTCTCTATCGCCTATTTTAATACACCCTCGGGCTATAAAATTATAAGATTTGTTGGAAGATTTGCATTTAGAGAGTCGGATAATTTCATCACACGGGTTATGAATCTATTTGCAAATCTAATTTCCGCTTTGTATTCCAAAGAATGACTTATCTTTTGCGAAAATTGAATTTCTCAGTTTGGTATGATAATGCCGAAAGGACGAAACCGAATTAGTTCGAGGATAAAAAGTTCCGGGATTTTTTTTCCCTTTTTTGTATGAAAAAGAGACTTTCCTGCGTCGTTCTTTGATCTCCAACGCACGCATAAAGGAACAGCTCGTGAGATTGATGTTCGTTATTATTATTACAGAAATCATCATATTAACTTCGCAGTTAATAAAAATGTTCACTAAATTGCGTAAATTTGCACTGGGATTTCAATTCGACTATGGAACTAAGCCGAGTAATTTGAATATTATCTTTTCGATTAGGGTTTTTTTGTGTTTGCTTTTTTCCTCCCTTCAAGACAAATGGTTCGTGGGAAATTACATTGCATCGCACAAAAAACTATTATTAATCGTTTTGGTTAACAGAACCACCACTACATTACTGGAGGCAGTGCTCTAAAAAAAGCATTATACAGAAGATTATTTTCGTCAAAAATTACATCGAGATAACGCGCTCCCTATATTAGGAAGTCGTTAGTTCATTACGTGTAACATTTTTAGATCAATTTAAGAGATAAATTCTATCAACGTAGCGCTATTTTTACGTAAATTGCCGAGCGCCTGCAATGAGAACGAAGTGCCATTCGATAATCTGTTTCGATTCAACCAACAAGTGCCTGTGCACTTTGCACAATTCACAATTCGAGCGCTCGGTTGGTGCAGGTTTTCGTGGAAAAAGGGCACATGTATCTCACGCAGATGTTCCATCGTCTGGTTCTCGTCTCTTGCAGTTAACAATCCAATAACAAAGAATCGCGTCGCTGCCTTTAAAAGCTTTCCTTTGCTAATTGCAGTCATTAGCAATCGAAGGCACCAGAAATGTCGCTATTGTTCCCATCCAGACGTTTACCGACCCGCGCGTGTGTCAATCCTATCAATTGCGGCGCTAATCGATTCCGCCTCGCGCATAATTTAATGTACTTATGCCGGCCGAATCGAATTTGCGATTGCGATGGCGATTTCGAGCACTTAGCATACAATCGGACCGGAAAAGCGGACTTTTTCCTTCGTAGCAACCGGCTAAATTAAACCGCCATTGATTTTCGTTAAACTAACCCTCTTGGGACCGGTGTTGTGACTACATTCGTCCCTTTGTGGCTATTATTTCGTTGGAAACACGTGTTTATAAAGGCAATAAATTCGTTGTGGGAAATTACGCCACTGGTGGAGCTACTTAGTACTTTGACGAAAACCAAGCAGGTCTTGAATCAGTGGTGCTTTATCTAAAGTACGTCTCTCGAGACCGTCAAAGGACCACCATAACGATGTCGTAGAGGCACTAAAAGTCGATATTTTTTTGTCGATTGTTATCGCTAACGAGACCTTTTTACGTCGTTTAATTGAATCCCAGTGTGTCATCCGCCATGCAAAGCAGGAAACACCAGGAGACGGTGCGCCCACTTTCGATAAAACCGTCGTAAATAAAAGCGCATTTAAGGTAGCTTTACGAACTAAATATCTTCGAATCATTCTTAGTGTATACTTCTAATAAAGCATCAGGATTGTAGTTAGAAATCTACAGTAAGAAGAGACTTTCTGTAGAAGAAAGTTAGTCTTTTTAACGCGACTCCAGGGCCCACGTAATTACGAAATTCCTGCCAGCGAATTTTCCTCGGACAAGAATAAAAAACGACCATTGGTGAAATATCGCCAACAGCCCTACTACATTTATAATACTTGACCCTAGGAAAAGTATATATAGATATATACATACGTGTGTACTTGGTACGTGGGTCTGACGTGTTCGCTTGCCCACGAAAATCCACTTCCGGTCAGGAGATAGATCAAGTGCCTCCTTGTAAGCGGCTCTTCCTACCCGGAACGGGCGCGAATTATGGCCGCGAGGATGCATCATAAAAATGTTCTTTCAGACTTCTTCTTCGCCCCCGTTTCCCTCCTTCTTTCTGATTTAAAACCTTATTTTTGAACCGCCAATGCCAGTGACGTACCCTCTAATCCCCACACGAATGACAGTATTCAACAATATCCTTAGTTACTCCATAACAACCATGTAAAACTGTCAATTGAAAGAATCGCCTTAGTTACTCCATAACAACCATGTAAAACTGTCAAATGAAAGAATCTCCTTAGTTACTCCATAACAACAATGTAAATCTGTCAATTTAAAGTGACATTTAAACTAAACTAAACTAGATAATCTATCACGAATAAAATTCGCGTAAAAGCTGTACATGGAGAGAAAATCTAAAGCTACAATGTTTAGATTGGTTTCGCCGCTGGCGTTGCAGCTGAATTGGAAAATTTAAGAGCAGAAATAAAACTTTGGGAATTCATGGTTAAAGTGGTAAAGTTAACAGTTGGCGGGATAGCGAAGAGTCCTTCAAAAAGGAGCGCGTTTGTGCCGGCGGTGCGCGCGACTAAAAAGGAACGAGATGTATGATCTAAGTTTAAAGGAAACAATTAAAACGTTTCACTTCGGTTTGCGAAAGTTCGCGACGGGGAGAATTTTTCCCCGGCTCGGGTGATGTATGCGAAAACTTTTCCTTTTTTTCCGGCCTAGATAAGGGTCTTAATAAGCCGTTTAGTTACTTTTTGAAATATAGAAGTTTGGTTTGTTATGAATTAATCCCTAATATTAACAAAAATTTAATAAGAAAATTATGCTTGTTTGTTGGGGAAATTTCCTCGTATTTTCCCCAGAGTTTTAGTTTTTCTGGTCTATGTAATGCGGAAAATGCGTAGGCGTCGTCGCACTTATCAAATAGACATAATTTAGGGGAGAATAGACGTAAAACTTCCCTCGTTCACTTAAATATTTTAAATGTGTTTGTGTTTACTCCGGCTGTAGCTTCATTTCCAAAAGAGAATATTCTTAATTTATTAAATTTTTATTGCTCATTATAAGTTTTTAAACGTATGATAATTTTCCTCGAAATTTTACCGGTTCAATAATTCTCTCTACTTCTTCAGACGAATCGAAAACGAGCCGGTAAAATTCTTCCGTAATATAATACCCCCTCGAGTTTCTTTGGGATACTTAAAAATTTGCACCTCCATCAATCATTTCTCGATAATTATTCGAAAAAAAAAGCGCCCGAGGGCGATGTATCGAACCTGACAAGCCACGATATCCTTTCTACGAAAATATTTTTGTAAACCGATCCAGGGCAAGGGCACCGCTTCGACCAGGTGCGGTTTTTGCCTCAGTTTCCCGATTTTTTCCCATTGAGTTTCGATCGCTATCGCGCTTCTGCATAGTTGATTCGATAAATGACCCATTTTTTGATCGGATGGTATTTTTTTTTCATGGCAGTTAATCGATCAGATAAATCAGCCATTTGCCAATTGATTAGATATTTATATCATTACTGAATTATTATTTAACATTCCCCAATGAAAATGTATCTTTCGGATATTTGGGGTGTTGAATTTTAGGCTGGGTCCGGCCCTGCGTGGAACAGTAGTATTTTATTTCGTTTGTAGAGGATTTTTGTAGTGGTGTTGATGTCGCATAATCGAAACCGATGAGCGGATGTTTACGATTTCGTACACGTTTCGGGTTTTGTATTTCATCCTGCACCATCGCCAGGTAAACGTGCATGGGACCCGAGCTTTCGATATCGCGTTTCGCGCGTTTATCTCACGCTGCTATCGCAAATTTCGCTTTAATTTCGACGTTAATTTATCAATGAAGACGTTGCGAAACAACGACGCCCATATGGCGCTGAAATTAGTCTTAATTAGCGCTCAATTAATGTATCAGAGCGGCCGAGAAAGTCGTTCTCCGGGGAGTTTTCGGAGAAGTCGATTTTATTAATTGCCGACGCGAAATCCCGGGGGAATCTGCGATCAACAATCCCGGCTCCATTATTTCATTCAGTTTTTCGCTTAATCATCGCCCGTATAGTTTATCCCGGCGAAAATATTTGCGCTACTCATTGTTTTTCGCAATTAGATATCCCATCGACCGCGCCACTTGTATACGCGAATTCCCGCCCGAAAATTAATCACCGCTACTCAACTTCCATCTACTATTAATAAAACATAATGCTCTTTTCTTTACGCTATTTAATTCGTTGGCTCCCCCATATTCTTCGCTTTCCAAAACACACTTTATTATAAGAACTTTAGTACAGTCGAGAAAATGTTGGTACCTATACTATAGGTATGTAACAAATATTAGATACTAATACGTGTATAAGTCAATTAATCCACCTCGTTGTATCTATTCGAAAGGATCTAGGTATTTACCACCTTCGTGAAGCCGTTAAGCCAGAGGACGGGCTAATGGCCCTTTTCGCTTGCGCTCGGGATTATCATGGTTGTTGGAAGTTGTGGAAGTTTGTTTTCCGAACTTTTCAAGATTCTACAACAGTAATCTTGCACTTTGTGCATTGTATTCGAAATCCGAGTTCGTATATATATCATAAAACTATTCGGACAAGATGACACTGTATATCCCTCTGTAAGGCGGAATGCTTCATTCAAAATGCGCCTAGTTGTTTAATATTTCAAAGGTAATTACGCCATCGAGATTAATCGGGACGTTTTACGTTCTAACTAAAGTGTTTAATAAGTTCTACAATAACTTCGGATTAAATTAAAATTTCAATCGATATAGGAGAAGCTTCGAAGTCGATTAAATTTTAACTCAAATTATCGTTATTAGCGTAGAAGTCTGTTCGAAGTCATTTTGATGATTAAAATTTAAATTAAGGAAAATTAAAGGAACGTTTACTCTAACGATAATTGTCTAAAAGAGCTAACGAAAAATGGTATAATTATTGGATTAGCAATTAAATCAAAACGTTATCATTTAGATAAATTTATATTTCAACCAATGCGTGAAATTTCACATGAATAATAGCGGAATTCATTAATATGCTAATTTAAATTCGAAGCATTTATTATAAAAAACAAACCAAATCGATTAGGTACTGTTATTTTTAATGATTAATGCATGAAATATCATTTTTTCAACAGCATCACCACATTTCAAAATAACACAGATTAATACTACATAGCTAATTTAACGACAACCTCATTTTGTATTGGCCCAATTTAATCAATTCATTATTGTTCCAGGCATAAAAGAAAAGTACAAAATTTCCTACCCTGTAAAAATTCACCCCAAAACAACTGTGATGTAAATACGACGACTGCGATTTACGAAGACCTGCACGACGTCATTCCTAGGCCTACGCCCACGCACCACCATCATCCCCAGCTAGCTGGAAGGCATATAGTCGCTCCATCAATAGAGGTACATTATATTTTTCTATATCGAATAACATCACTAATAAATCAATCGTCGTCGGATAAATTGAAGTTCAATCGAAAGGGATTTTTAACTGATGATATTTTGTTTGTTAGAATTACCCGTTGGTTAGAATAAACAGCTTCTATAGCGAACCGAAGGACTATGATAGAGAACAGGACCAGTATAAAAGCGTTGAAGAAATGCAACCCATAAGTACACTCTTGTTTTTAATTTAATATCCCGCTTTCTGTGTTTTATGTGTGTGCTTTGTGCAATTAAAAAATAATAAAAAATAAAAAAACGCCTTCGGTTTGGAGCGGGAATATGCCTTTTGTTTCGTATCCTGTGCGACGCAAACATTCAATTTAAACTAACGAGGTTATCAGTAAGTCTAATTACGAAGTTCGATTTAATGAATTTAACGGGAATAATATGAAATTAAACTTTGAGAATCCTCAATTGAAAGTTTTAATACCGCAACGACAATTAGGAAAATTAAAATAATGGTTTCTTAACGAGCGCCGGTTCTTTTCTGTTGTCCCTTATAACCAGTTGGGTCTAATTTGGTATTTGGTGAATTCATAAAACTAACATTCATTTAATCCATCCGAATTTCCGTTAATCTAGATTTATCGACCGTTCGTATTAATCACCCGTTTTAATACCCAAAACATTTCTTAACGAACACCCCAATTAACCCAATAACCGCATCGACCGCCCGTTTCTTCCTTCTACAACAAACCCGAAATGCATCGTTCCTAAACCCCCAAGCGTTTCTGTTGCAGATGATAGACGTTAAGAACAACATCCACTTCCCCAGCGGCTACCCCATCTCGCAGCATCCGCCCGTCTTCCTCTGCTCCTCGCCGGGCCCGGACCCCTATTGCTCCCAAGACCTCTACAACCCCGTATACGAAGAGCTCAGCGACGCCGAGAGCGAACTCACCGCCGCCCAGCACAGCGAAGACGAATTCGCCGAGGACGAGCTCTCGCTGGCCGGCGAAATGGAACGGAGGCGGCTGGACGTGCCGCCTCAGCTCTATCGCACCGAACCGGTAAGGATTGTACTCCTTGTTCCCTTGCTCAATTGGCTTGCTTTATGAATTTAACTCTACTTTTCACTCCGAGTTCCACCAGCATGCTTCTAGCAAACACTCACTTTGGTACTTACTGATAAACCAAGCTCTGTTTTGAACCAATTATGAAACCACACAACATCTCACTTATCCCACTACTTAACTATCTCTTCTAATACTTGAATCTACTATACTTCATCCATCTAAGCAATCGAGTAACTAAAACAATGATCATCAATGATTGGTCAGCGTAAGGAGGCTTTTTTATTTTACCCAATAGATGCGAATGTGCTTGATGATCACGCGTCTAACCTTGTTTTGGTTACTCCGTTGGTTCGATGGATGAAGTATATCATCATCGGTTTTAATAGCGACCAACAACTAACTGGAATGATTCTGAGAATAGACTTGTATCATTGGTGGTTTAAATGTGAATATCGTTGTGGTTTTCAGTGTCTGCGAAGGGACGTGCCGCGGTTCCGGAGGCAGCACGAGCCGCTGCCGCCGGTGCCGTGCAACAAGCGGCACCGGTCGTTCGACAAGCGCCGGCAGGAGTTCCACGAGGGCATGCTGCTGGACGCGCTGCTGCAGCTGTACCCGCGCGTCGGTAGCGTGGAGCCGCCGCCGGCGCGGATCCGCCAGATACCGAGCATCACGCAGAGGATACAGTGCATGGCGCCGGGGCCGTACGAGACGGTGCCGGTGATCGGGCACCTGGCGACGTTCCGGCCGGTGCCGAAGCCGTACTCGCAGGATTCGGCGCTCGGATCGGACTCGGGCTACAGCAATCACACGAGCACCAGGAGCTCGAACCGGGGCAGGAGGGACGCGAGGAGGCTGTCGCAGCTCAGCGCGGAGTTGGCGTTGACTTAGAGGGGTTCGAAGGGACGCTTGCGATCGACAATGATACTCTTCTTTTTTGTTAAACGGTGCAATTGTCTGCATTTTTATTTCGTACTTAATGACGGTTGTTTGGGATTTTAGATGCAAACGTGTGATGGTTAGGTGCGAGTAAAAACAATTTTCAGAGGAGTAGAAAACTGAACGAAAATGAGTAGAAAACTCTGGAAATTGGAGTTGCTGGTAAACACAATCTGAAGTAGCTTCCTTTTAGAGGAGCAATTCGACAAAACGTTCAATTCTTGACTGATTTTTGTCAATTTACACCGATTCAACGTGGAGAAGAAGCGTTTTACGTGCAAATGATGGGTTTGCATAATTTATATTTCTAATCGCTTATTCAATCGATAACTTATCTTTTCGGCTGTGAAAAGCAAGATTTACATTATCTTATTACTATTTCAAAACGTCTTTATCTCGTCTTTTCTCCGAGTTGAATTACAATTCGTGTTTTATTTATGAAAGTACGAAATATATAAATCATACCAAAGTATAAAATAATAGCATTAAATTTTCAAACTCTTTTAAAATTAATTCAAATTCAGGTGAATGGAATGTTTTAGTGCAATGGTAAATAATTTTCGAAGCACCACTGAATATTTTGCTTCGTTTAGTGAGGTTTGAATATTATTACGATATGAAAAGTAAAATTCCTACCGGTTTTTCGGGTTAATTAGTGCGTGAATATTTGTTAAACAATATGAAAACATTTCTCCGTTCTAAAACAATGTACCCTAGATTCATAAATTTAATATTATTCAGTTTCTATTGTGTTGTGTTGAAAATAATTTTATTTGAATCGGAAAAAATCGCCTTGCAAATCAGGACTAATTGTGACAAATTACTAAAGTCCCCAAAACGAGTTCATGAGATAATTCGAATTTACAATTACCTAATTTGCAAGCCACCAATTTGGAATATGCATCCGAAATAAATAATTAGCGACATTCCATAAATTGAATTTAAATAACAATAGCATGATATTGTTGAATAATGTAAAAAGTTGTACATACTTCTGTATAGTTTGGGTATCTCTCGATCAACCAAAGTACCGTGAAATAATCACATGTGCTGTAATATATTGTATATTTTGTTTATAAACTATTTCTAATTTATTATTCCTGTACATACGATGCAATATAGATAAACATTTTTCTATATTAATTATTAAATTCTTCAAACACTGAATCATAATTCGCATTTATATACCACGTTTTGTAGCAATTTTTTAACGTAAGAAAAAATGGAATTACCTTCATCTAACATCTTTTGTACACTGTTTATAATTTGTTAGGAAAATTATGATGAAAGTTTCGTTATACACGCAACGAAAATTAAACGTAACTTCCATCGTACTTTTCTAATACATAGAATATCATAGATAGTTTCATTCATCATTAACAGAGCTCTAATTTTGGGCTTTATAAAGGCAACTTTTGATTCGAATAATGCACTAGTTATTCGTTCATGTAGCTCTTAATATCTGTTAATATAAATTTATAACCGCTTGGAAAAATCTAATTTCTGTTTAAAACGCATATAAGAAACTAGTGTTTTTTACTATTAAATTCAGATATACAGGGTTCCATTCAAAAGTATATGAAGAAGTATTCGACAAGTAGTTTCATTGCACAATAGTCCCATATAGTAACTCGGTCGCGTTGAGCAAACACACTGTATAATTTGTTCAATTTTCGAGTTATTAATTTTTACGTAGTTAAAAAAGCAACTTAATCAGTGTTTGTAATATGCTAGTCCAATCAATTTGTACATTATTCTTTAAAAACGTTCACCACTATAAACTTCATTAAAAATATTATTTTGTTATTGTTTTTAATCGACGATTTTTAAATAAATTAAAATTCAATAGATACAACGTGTTTACCTTTCTCTTCCCGATAAAAACAATGAAGAAGATTATGCATTTCGAGAGTAGCATGAACAATTTGCATGCGGTAAGGAGAAATGCACCTAAACTACTAAACCTCGAGCTGTTAATCCGAGCAAAATCGATAATTCCTGTTTGGATTCAAAGCGAAATTAGAAGTTTGAAATTACACGGTCCGGATAAAGGCTTGGAATAACAGCCTAACAATACATGACAAGTTGGAAAGTTTCGGATTCTAATTTAGCAAATAATCCTTTAAAATGCCAGCCCATATGTAGAATTAAAACAGATCGTATGATTTAACCGTTAACTTCGAAATTTGCATTCGCATGAATATTCAAAAGATGGGAATTTCGGGATTGAGGTGAGCACGCTTTATCAGGTAATTTAGTTTTAAAAACTTGTTAATCCTTAATTCTACATTATGATTAACAATATTGCAGCAATAGCACGTTAAAGCATAAAAAGTCTAAAATAATTTGGGAAATTTAATTCAACATACGATTAAATACAACAAAGACAACTTCCATTTATCTCTTATAAAGGAAAAGAGATATTGTGATATTGCAACTTTCTCGCTCTAACCACTGTGATTTTAATAGTCTTTTTTTGTTCAACTCATAGAATTGACCATAGGAAGGTTGCAATTGGATTTAAAGGGAAACTAAAAGAACTATTTGCTTAAAAACGTTTATTCGCGTATAAAAAAAGTAGGTATATCAAAATTCCATAGTAAAAGCGAATTAATTTTAGTCATATAAAAAGTACAAAAGCTACATTGATCACATTAAACTTAGGCAGCTGATATGTATTGAATATTATTGAGGCATTTCCTTATTACAACCAAACATAATAATAATTAATCGCTAAAATAATATGATTCTTCGTAACCAACACAGAATGGGCATTATTCATGAGTTACTAGGATTAGTATTCGCTAGTGTTGGACAAAATGGGCGAATAATGCACATAGAAGGCTGCGCTTTCTCCGCGACTGTTCTACAGGTATTGTCATAAAACCAATTACTGATAGATTAGCAAAAGAAAATATTTCTGTTATGTAACGATACGATTTTTGATTTTTAAAACTTACATTTTGTCTATGGAATCATTATCACACACTATCAGTAATAAATTAATTTTTGACATTTAATTATATAATTGTCATAATTGACGTTTCTTGGGTCAAATTTTTTGCAAGAGACGCAACTTTAACGGAACTCTTGGTGTTTGTAGTGAATTATTAGACATTAAATTCCTAGCTTGTGATTGGTGGAAAAATAGAATATTAGACCTAAAATGTAAATTACGATACGATTGGTGGAGAAATATCGTATGCAAATCATCCTTTAACTAAAATCGTATTGTGAAATCCATTGGAAATAGGGAGATGTGTCAACGTTTTTTTTTTAAATGGCGGTACAATTCACAGTACGATAAATTCATAGGTAAATAAAAACATAATTTTATTGTAAAACCATCATGTAATAAATAAAATAATTTAAGCTAATCATTTGCAGTTTCTCAATACGAATTTAACTCTTGAAAAAATATTCTACAGGTTAACGAGAAAGGATGACATATGTCATTGCAACTTTCTCACTCTAACTGTTAGTTTAATATATCTCTTTGTTCAACTCATAGAATTGAACGCGTTTATATCGAACAGTCGCGGAGAAATATTCATTTCGTTAAATATTTTTATAAAAAATTTATTAAACCATCCAACATATCGTCAGAATTACAGTTTGGCAGTTATAGCATAGCACCATCGAAAAAGTTTTCTCATAAAACCATTGGTAACACATCATTAAGCTAAAAACGAATCTCGACGAAAATTTACCTAAACAATTACCCTAAACGTAAATACGCAGGCTCGTCATACAAAAATAAAATAAAACAACAAAGGGACACAACAAGCTCACGCATAGATTTGATCGATACGCTATAATACTAACTACGATGTCGAAAGCAAAAAATTGCCTAAAAAAAATACCATCGATACGATGTAAACAGATCCAAACAACATTTTTGTCCCTTTCAAAATACCGCTAAAAACAACAAAAAAAATTACTCGAAAAAAAAAAACCGCGATGTTTACAAAAATACGTCGCATTGTAGCTCTCGAAAGGCCCGTCACGAAACTCTGCTCATACATAAAATAAATTACACCAAAACAATTCAAGTCTTCTTGAGATCGACGGTAACGTTACTGTCAGTCTTCAGTTTCAAATACTTGAGCGGCATCATCGGCACGTAGAAATCCTCCACGCACGGTTTCTTAGCCACCTCCAACGTCTTGCTCGGACTCATCACCTCGTAGTCCGATTCCGACGTGAAGATCTTCGATATCCTCGACAGATCCTGAGCCGGCATCGTGTTACAGCGCGGCTTCAACGGCGGCGTTCCGTAATCCCTTTTACTACAAACATTTAATTTAATTAATATAGAATATACACACCCCAGTAGTGCTTGCACTCCTGAATAGCTAAAGGCCTTCGGGGGTGTAGAGGTATCTACTTACTTCATCCATCCGAAATCGGTTGATCTGGGAGGCAACGGTGGTGGAGCGAAGAATCTCTTCCTTAGTTCGAAGATCACCTCGGCAGGATTTTCGTAAACGTGGCTGGCGTGCTTCGAGCTCTTCGGCGTGAATTCGTGATCGTCCGGTATTTCCTCGTAAATGCCCGACGCCAACGATATACCCGACTCGTTTCTCGGTAAACCGTGTCTTCTAAAAATAGCGAATACATTTAAAAAAAACCGCAAAAAGCATTCGAAGAAAACTAAATTATAAACAACACACATGTACTTACTGTTGGGGATTGAGTAGATCCTGCGAGGAATCCTCAGTTTCGCTACCGCCCGGCGTTTTGGTTACCACGTCCATTCTAATACTAGAAACGCTGGTATCCTAAAAAAACCGATCGCTATGAACCCAACGAACTAATCGATCGATGCAATTTAAATACCTTCGATTTCAATTGGTATTCGGAATCGTCCGAGACGATGGAGGCCCGAATGCCGGAATCCTCGCTGCCCGTTTGGCTCCTCAAACACACCGGACTGTCCGATTGAAACGAGCAGTTCAGCGCGTTGCAGAGGTCGCCCTCGCTGCGGCTCAGCCGGTTTTTGGTCTTCAGAAACTGGCCTCTGGCCACCAGGTGGTGCAGCAACTTCGAGGCGTGTTTGCAGTAGAGGAACAGCTGCCCTGGACCGGCTGGGAACTCGCTGTAAAATCAACCGATTTCGAGCTTAAGTGCGTCCTTTGAGGATGAGTTAGTGTACCTGCTGGTGTGCATGACGATGATCTTCTGATCGTCGCCGGAGTTTAGGGGCGCTTGCAGATGGAATTGGTGAAAATGGAACCATTTCCAGGCGATTTTCTGCTCGCCCGTGCAGGGATCGCTGATGATCAGGTCTTGTTGATTCACGCTTAACACGCCGAAGGTGCCTAATAAACCGGCCGCTCTCGAATGATGATTGTCTACCAAAGACACTCGAAAATTGCTGTTATCGACTGTAAGAACGACATTAGGTCAGTTGAGCAATTAAAATGACCGTTAAAAGCCTACCCTAACCTACCAAAGGTACTCAAAAATTGCTGTTATCAAATGTAAGAATGGCATTGAGTATGTTGTGCAATTAAAATGACCTTTAAAAGCCTATCCTACCCTATCAAAGACGCTCTAAAATTGCTGTTATCAACTGTAATAATCAAGTTATTTTGGCAATTAAAATGCCCTTTAAAAGGATCATTATAGTATGTTGACTATTATTCTATTATAAGTTATTTTGAATGGTAGAGTAAACATAAATTATACATATTATTGAATAATAAGGTAATTATTGATGGTTTCCAATAACCAGTTAATCCTGACTTGGAGGTAAGACTGTCATTTAGTATTGTGTATTTCACAAACAATTTCTATTTTGCTAATTCCCCCGTGTAGCGCAAAATAACTGGAAAAAACCGGCGTCATTACTGAATTAGAATTAGGTGCAATTACATCACTGGAATAACATAAACCTCAGAACTACTTTAAAATGCGAGAAATTACAATATTAAAATTCCCCGGGCTCTTTAATTGTGACGATTCAGCAATTCGACGAGCAGATGTGGAACACATACTCAATTTACAAAATGTTTGTCAACAAGTTATTTTTCTGGCGCATTTTTCGCGTGATAAACACACAAACAAATTTGTATCTGCCAGTCGCGGATGTTTCGCGGTGGCCCGCGAAAAATATTTTCAATTCGGTAATTTTTCGAATAACGTCACTGCCAAACAAAAATACATAAAATTAATTAGGAATTCATACCGGGTAAGTACGAGGCGACGGAGAGCATTTTCCTGATGGAGAACATCCAATTCTGCGATTCGGTCTCCGAATTGCCCGTTAGAAATACAATCGGTTTTTGTTTCCTGCCCAAATTGAACACCCCGAATGCGTGCTGTTTGGTTCTCGATTCCGTTCTGCAAATCAACGAGCATCTCGGCAAAACGAACGAATTGAGCACGTTCCCGTCCTTGTTAGACCTCAATTTCAATTCCACCCCGTTCTGGATGCTGTCCAGTCGCTTTATCTCGCACCACTGTCTCTTCCAAGCCTACAACAACAACAACAACACCCGTAAATAACAGTCACATTTTCGCCTTATCGGTCGAATATATTTACCTTCCACGGTGTGAATCCTCGTTTGGTCTTCGACGGCATCTTCACCTCCATGAATCCTTTCAAACAGTCCATTTGCGGCATGTCGATGTTGCTCAACAAATAATTGTGGAACTTTTAAATAATTTAACGAGTGATTCACATCGTGGGCGCCATAATCAAAACATAAACAACATTCATTCGTAAACACGAATTACACGAAGGACTCGGCGAGGTGGGGGAAGACGTTCCGAATTGTACACAAAGAATCGATTATTTTATACAAATTTATTAGAGAAATAATTAAAATTGCTGCAATAAAACGATTGGTGTTGATTGTTTGCGTGTATAAAAAGTTGTTTTAATACTTACTAGCTTTATTTCGACGGGTAAATGAGTTTTTAATCGGGAAAACCGGGAATGTGTTCGAATGATGAATCGATACCGCGCTATCGATTCGTGTTTTCGAATTGAAACGCCCTAAACTGGCATCGATCGATGTTGGCGGGATATTAATTGTAAAACGAATTGCCTACCTATCAGGTGCAATCGCGCCATCTATCAATCTACCAACGAATCTACTATAATGCAGGAACCGCCGTATAATTTGTCAAATTTGAAACTTCCGAAAACCATTTAAAATAATCAACTTTAAATTGAATCGACTGGAGGGTTTTGTATTTCCTTTCGTACGGTTCAACTGATTCAGTCTAAATTCCATTGAGCACGCGTTCGCAGAAGCGAGAATGTACGATTTTTTCAGCGATTTCGAAAGTTTCACGGAAAGTTGGTGGCCCTATTTGATATCGGTGTTCATCACTGTTATCAGCGCTACAAGGTTTGCAAATTGCCCAATATATTTACTTAAATAATTAAGCTTTCGTACGCATAATAGCTAATCAGAACACCCCCAATTTCCACATCAAAATTTGCATAAAAAATTATTTATTGCATCTGTATAAAATCTCCAGATTCTACTTCGGTGGTACATACTGCCCTTCATCGGCTAGAATCGACGGGAAGACTGTAATAATCACGGGAGGAGCAAGAGGAATAGGTTTAGCGACAGCCAAACAATTAACAAACAGAGGTCGGTTCATCATTGAGTATTCGAAAAAATTTCCTCTCTATTCTTTTGCAGGAGCTAACGTAATATTAGCGGTAAGGAACGTGGAGAAAGGCCTGAAGGCGCTGAACGAAATCAGAGAAACCAATAAAACAGCGTCCGTGCAAATCAAATTAGTAGATATATCCGATCTGGCGAGCATCAGGAACTTCGCCGAAGGGATTAAAAACGAGCACGATAAAATCGACGTGTTGATCAACAACGCCGGAATAATCGGATCGAAAGCGCAAGACGAATACGAACCGGTCTTCACCACCAATTATTTAGGTTTGAGCGTAAAAAATTTACAATAAAGGCTCGATAATCGGTGTTTCAGGTCCGTTTCTCTTGACGCATTTGATGCTTCCCTTGCTCGCCAAATCCGACAATGGAAGGGTCATAAACGTGTCCGCTTTGGCGCATTACAACGGGAAATTGGACCTCGAGGGAAACTTCGGAAAGAGTTCGACGCCGCAGGAAGCATTCGCCAAGAGTAAATTGGCTCTGACTGTGTTCACCAAGTACATAGCCCAGTTGCACAAGAGCACCAACATCACTTTCAACTCGGTGAGTCCCGGTTTGGTGAGGAACACCGGCCATTGGGAGACTTTTTCGAGTTTAAACAGCTCGTTTTTGACCAAACTCTCCGTGTGGCCGTGGGTTTGGTTGTTTATGAAAACTCCCAAGCAAGGTTGCCAGTCTATCGTGTATCTTACAGTGGAGCCTTCGTTGCATAAGGTCACCGGGTGCTATTTTAGGTAAAAGTACAATAATTTTTGCGTAAGTGATTAAAATGATGTAATTTTTTTTTGTAGTGACTGCGAAATAAAAGAACCAGCTGAGATCGTCAACGATTTTAATGTAGCCAGATGTTTGTATGAAAAAACGTGTAAAATCGTTGCACTTGATTCTGAAGACATCAAAAATTAATTTTTACCGTTTTTAAGCATGTACGCTTTTTTGTACACTACGAAATATACTTTTTACAAACTTTTAAAAGTTGCTATTGATCTATAAAGAATCCCGATAAAAACACCTCAACTTTCTCGTATTTTAAATCTTTTAAAAATATTAAAAGTATTTCGATTCGGCCAAGCTGCGATTATAATGCATCATCAGCGTTTCCAACGATCCCTCCGATTTGCTAACCAGTTCGGCATTCTTACACATTATCTCCAAAGTCACCAAAGTGTTCTAAAATAATACCATTACGCTGTATCATCATTCATCATTCGCAATCTCGATTCGTCTTACCTTTGGTATAGGATAAAGAGTGGGAGCCATGGCGGCCTGTCTGTACGGCAAATCGGTAATTGTACTGGAAGCGCACACGTCGTGGTTCCAAAACCCGATCATAATTTGACCCACATTCAAAAAATACAACATTCCTTTACCGTTCTTCTTATCGTTCAGCCAATTACCCTCGTACCTATTGCCGTTTTTGAACAAAAACAACCCTACGAACCGGTGAAATGAGGCGTTTTTCCAGCCAATATAAAGCGATTAAATCGAGACCAAAGTACCTATTCCTTCTCGTTTATCTTCGATCCAATTGCCGTCGTAAAAGGCGCCGTCGTGGTAGAACATTTGGCCGCATCCGTGCCTTTTGCCGTGCTGGAAGAAGCCTAAATAGAAGCCTTCGCCCGGGTAATCCCTGAGGCCTTTTCCGTGCATCCTTCCGAATTTCCACTCCCCGCTATAAGCTAATCTAAACACCTTGTACTTGGGCAAAAGGTACGCTAGGATTCCGTGACCGTGGCGGTAATTGTTGAGGAAATCTCCTTCGTACAAATCCATGTTCCTCGTCAGCAAGGCTCCTTTGCCTGGTTTATTATAAAGGTTAAAAAATATTGTAGAGTTTAAGGTTGCAGAATTGGGTACCTGTTTTTTTATCGCGTTTCCATTCCCCGGTGTATTTATCGTGAACAGCGTTAAAAATGCAGTGTCTTTGGCCGTTTTTATAAGAGCCTTCTTCCAATTGCCTAGATCGGGGTAATTTTCGTACATCAATTCTGTTATAAAAGGGCATACTTTTTTTTACAAAATAAATAAAATGTGATTAAAAATTGACGCCAAAATATTCCGTTAGTCAATTTATTCTACTCCGGAATTAGAGCCTGTGCTAATGTAATCGTAAAGTAAAAAACCGACCGTACATCTTCATTCATTGCCTATGCTAGATTAAGTAATCAGTCATAGAAAAAAGAAGAAAATACAAATACTGAACGCACCCTATTCTAGAATTCTCGTGCTTGTCAAGTGTCAACGTCAAATGTCAGTTAATTTTTAGATGGCGCAATCGCTTTGATTTCCTTGTCAAAAAAGCACGTTTTGGGTATTAAAAAACTCGATTTTCGCCGGTTACATTCCCAACTCAAAATGAACAATATTCTAAAAGTGGCGCTCAGATTGAACGGCCTCCGATCGATTTTGAATCCCGTTAAAAACAATGCGTACTCCTCGGTAAATCAGCAAAGGCAATTCGCCAGGAATTTGTGGTACATGAGCAACTCCCAAAATCACACGGGTTTCTTCAAAGAAGTAGAACACAACCAGTTATGTAGCTGCGGATGCGGTAACAAGAGGGGTTCTCACACTAAAGGTATTCTATTTAATATAACTAATATCACTTATTTAAATTGGTGAATTTCTAGCCGAAAAGCAGTTGATCGAGTTCCTCACCGAAGAAATACTGGCCGAAAGGAAAGCTCAAAAAGTTAAAACCATCCCGTCTGAGATCGATGGCTTCAAAGCGAGCCTGAAGGGAGCTGAAGTTACTTTAACCAAAGATGCCGGTGAGGAAAAGTACGTAAAAATTTCAAATATTTCGCGAACAAAGTAAATATATTCTTTTTTTTAGAATTAAAATAACATTCAACGTGAACCACAGCGTTGATACCGATATTGAGCCCGAAGTAAGCGAGAAAATGGATAAGCCGGAACTCGGGGAATTGAAATCTAAACCCGGATTTAAAGTGGAACTAATCAGAGATAAAACGACTGTTAGCCTCTTATGCTCGTTCGTTGTTAGCGATGAAGATCAATACAACCAAGAAGAAGCTTACAGTAAGCACAGTTATTTTTTAATTTTCGATTTATTACTAATATCTAATATTTCAGATGATGTGTTCAGTATTGATGAAATTAGTATTTACGATGGAGAATGGAATGAAAACATTTACTCAGCATCCGGGGAAGTCTTGGACACGGTAAAGGTTTTACACTATTTCTATTTGAAAAATGAATTATATAAACATGATTGCATAATCTAATTAAATTGTTTGTTTCAGTATTTGTACGATCTGCTGATGAATTACCTGGAAGATAAAGGAATCTCCAATGAATTCGTGGAGAAACTCTCGAATTTCAGCACAGCTTACGAACACTCTGCATATATCGGGCTTCTAGAAGGCCTTTCCAAATTCGTCTCTCGAAAATAAGTCTCGTATTCTGTTAATATCTTTGTTAAGTCATTCAGTTTATATTAAATATTATTAAGAACATATTGTTTTTTGCATAAAAGTAGAGTATTTTTTTTACCCGAAAATTTGCTGAAATAAAGTAATAGGTTTAGCAACGGTAGTTGCCTGTGTCTATTAGAAAATAAATAATTTTTATTCAACGATTTGAATTATAAAATGCACATATTTGATAATTACACAGTATATTGAACTACACGTTCTCTCTGATGGGCTGCTTGTGAGCCACGTAAAGCGTGATAATACTACTCAGAGCGCTCACTAAAAATATAACATCGAACCACCGATGGTAGAAATTAAACTGCAAGGCGCCCAAAACTTGCGTGATAATCGTCCTGTATTGCACGGGCATGTTCATTCTCAACAGTAGCACGGACGATACAAAGTACATGCCCATTATTTGGGCCAAAACTAATATGATTACGTTGGAACTTTTGCTGGACGACATCCTGTTGAAGAACTGCAATAAAATGTAGATTGATTCGCGCGTTAAGCAATTCGTATTGAATTTTGTGTACCTTTGTTAAAGTGATTATAAAACCTCTAATAGATGTCACGACAATACAACCGACTAGGTAGAAAGAGACTTGTTGAGACCAAAAATTCACGTCGAAATTCCAGCCCATCCAATGTACAGCGATCTCTATGCCTCTCGTTACGGGATCCTTTTTACCAACTCTATCAAACACTATGTTAATCGTGCACTGAAAATTTTACTATTATCGTCTCAATATTAACATTCTTTATCGAACCTACAATAAATATTTTCCACAAGCAGTACCCGGAGAATATATAACCCAGGAAATTAAAGTATATTCCTTTCCACGTTTTCGACCACTCGATGCGCTCTAACATATTTCTGTTCTCGTGAACCTCCAGAAATAGAGTCCTGCTTAAAGCCTCTAAACCCTCAATCTCTAATCGTATCTGCACGATATCTAAAATTACAAATTATACACATTCGTTAACATATTTTAAACCTGTATTACTTTCTTCGCTTTTGTTTATTCCTACTGACGATAAAAGAGACCAAAACCCTTTTCGTTTCGTCGTATCGTTAACCTTTTCCATAGACTGTTTTTTAGCAATAGCTAATCTCTTTTTTCTTATCACAATCATATCCATCGTTTGCATTAATCTCTTTTCAACGTTCAAAACATCGGCTTCGGATACTTCTCTACAATAAACGATTTATTTTATATCTTAACATGAAGCTATTAGATCTATTACCTCATGAAGTATGCCATCGATGAATAAGGATAATTAACAGCCCCGAAACCGGATAGTAAAGCCATAACAGTCACTCCGATAACTCCTATTCTAGATACTAATTGTTCGATGGAAAGTACCCCTTGTTTTGGATTGATTATCGGAAAAGGGTCGCCAATTTTCCAGAATATTACGAGGAATATTATCCAAACAAGCACCGTTAAACGTTTCACGTAATCTGGTTTTACTGCAAAATTATCTCGATTAATTAATTTAAACTTTTACCAAGCATACTCGACTTACCATAATTTATATTACTGATGCAATAGTAACCGATATAAAATGGATTCAGTACGATAACAACAAAAAGCATTAAATATAACATCACATACCAATAGAAATATCTAGAACTGAACAAGCGATTAAATTATGTAATATACACAAGCTATAAGAAATAAATACCTGGAATCGAGGAGACCTAATATTTCAAAAATAATCAATTCGAACATCGTACAGGAAAGTGTTAGAGTTATGGAGAATATAAGTTGAACCATAACATGACGAACTTCGTAATTTTTAAACAATTCTTTCATAAAAAATATCCATGCACCCACGAAGAAAGTAATCTAGAAAAAAAAACAGCGAGTGCAATGGAATTTTTTTTGTAAAAGTTATATAGGAAATACCTGCGAGGCGAGAATAATGATTGTATCTTGTAAAAAGGTCATTTTCAAGTAAAATTTGTTTCATTACTTATTTGAATATTATTGGATTTGAATAAATATCGCTTGATTTTCATTTAAAGTTTCTACGAACACATCATCATAACAATAAAAAAGGTTATGTTTTGATTTTTTTGACACTGACAGGAAATAATGACACATGACAGTGACGTCTTCAAAAATCAAGAATACTTCTTTTTAGTGATGCCTTTTATAATATTGTTCTTTAGTTAAGCATTTGAAACAGCGGAAGAGAAGAAGAAAACGAAATCATTCAAATTCAAAAAGTGTCGGCAATCTAATTTTTTTAAAGGATATTGCATTGAATATCTTTGCGATTTCGGAAGACTTACGTTCATAATTATCTGAGAAATCGAATGAATGAAGGACTACATTTAATTCGGCGAAATGATGAAGGTTTCACCATTCTCTTTTAGGGATTCAATTAATTTGACTAAAATACCAATAACATGTTTACAAGTTCAAATTGTACTCACTTCCCTGTACAGGAAACTCAAAAAAAATTCTCAAAGAAAAATAGCAAAAACACATTATGCAGTAAAATAATAAAATATGTTAATAATCCTTTTAAAAACTGAATAAAAATTAGGTGCATTTTTACAATTATTATGTGGGTAACCACATTATTATAATTAATTAATAATAATAACTTTTTTAATAGTCCATTAGCAACATAGGTAAAATAATTAGATTTTATCATTTTTATCTAATAATTTTTATCTTTCAAATAGTCTCAAATTTTAATCGAATTTAAAGGCCCGTAATACATTTTTTAGTTCATATATTAGCGAAATTCAATTAAGGACGTTTGAAAAAATGGACAAAACAGAATTCGAACTAACGTTTTTTTAATAGCAGACAAATAATAATTAACATAGGTTATTGTTCAGTCAACTGAAGTAAAATCTGTATCAATAGCGAAGGAGAGTATATAAAAAGCAAGGATAATTATTGTAAGAAATTGAACAGGGAGGAGTTAATCAATGCCGTGACCAGGACCGTAACACTACATTCTTTTTTCTATCTCTGAACCATTTTTGTAGAAAAATGAACGTTTAGTATAATTTAATAATAATTAATATTTTATATTGTTGAACAAGCTTTTTTTTATTCAAACAATATTTCACTGTATATCACACTTTCTTATTTATTATTTCATTAATTACACTTACCTTTTTGTTATTCCCAACAACTCAATTTTATACACTTTCCTACAATTTATATTCACCCAATAAACCAAAAATTCAAACCCTAATTTCTCAAAAACAAAAAAAATGTCCACACTCCACACTTTCGACTCGAGAGCACTACGCACATGTGCCAGTTCGGCCCTGCTCGTGACGTCACTAGTAAATACATGATATAACGAACTGCATTCGTATTCTTGGTACAGTGAGGGAGGAGATTTTTCGCATTCGTCGAAAAAATTTGGCGGGGGTTTCGAATACTTTTTTCGCAAAAATTTTCGGTCAGCCGTGCGCGAAATTCGACCAAGTAACCGGTGGAAAATGAAGGAGACCAATGGGATGCATTGCAGGGAGGAGGAGAAGAAGGAATTGACTAAAAAAGGTAAATAATTTTAGTGGAAAGAGAATTGTTAATTTTCTAGTTGAGCCGATTTTGTGCGATTTTCCGCAAATTTCGTGGAAGATTAATTTTTTTCGGGATTACATCATTTTTAATCTGCATAGAATACCTTTCTGTAATGCAATGTCAAGGTAATAATTATGCATAATCTACAATGAATTAATGTAATTTTTTGCAATTTTGGGGTTTATAATCAAATGAGAAAAATTATTCTGCGTTTTCTAACTTTATCATGAATTTTAAAGTACCTATTTATCTATCTGGAAAAAGTGCTATAAGTAGATTAAAGTTTGGTAATTTACCCAAAATTCAGTCCAAAATACATTAAATAAAAATTTTTGTTCAAGAAATACGCCATTCGAAAATACTTCCTATTTCCTATTAAAAAAAATAATTGTAGTTATAATAGTAAATAGGTGTGGCAAACATTGAATACCGTAAATAAAAATTCAAAATTCACCTAGTAAACAATACTTCTTATAAATAAAATATATCCAACGCTATACTTATAAAACTAACAATATAATCAATTTACTGAAGCTATTAGAATAAACAACCCGCACGTTATCATGTAACACACATCACGATAATTATGCGAAAGCATTAAATAAAAATTAATAGTCAGGCAATAATAATTTTTCGGGTTGTTAACAGTTTCATATTATCCGCTAATCAATCGTTCCTAAAAGGATGTATTGACCAACAAATCAGTTATCCAACCTTGCTTCAGACAAAAAGAGGTTTTTGTTTAAGAAATTTACAGGATGTTTACATTCATGGTCACGGTTGTACGAAGAGAAAAAAAATGAACACAATAAGTAAACCATTATATCGCGTAAGAAGGACCTTGAGGTAATTATTAAGGATGTTGCACTCGTATCCGTATGGAACAATGAATTAAAATATGGTGTGGTTTTTGGTTTGTTTTAAGATGTATTTGATAGATTTTGTATGTACTATTCCATACTTTTAACGAGCTGTAAATTAAAGTAAAAAAACCCGTTGGAATGGGATTTACATTAACGCAAGTGGGGCAATTTGTTCCCTTTAAAATTCCTTCCAGGTCAAATTTCTTGTTAGCACCGCCTTGGGTTTTTACGATACGAGTATGCATATAATCCGTTCGTCGAAGAGACAAATATGCGATTAGAACTGCCGTAAATGCGTCGTTCGGACAGGAAAAAAAATGTTATTTTCTTCCGCGGATTTCCAAGGAAATCCCTGCCGGTGTATCGACGAAAATTCCCAAAGAGTAGCACCGAAACGGTCGACTATAAGGTATATATTACCCAACACTGCTATCCATTTATCGCCAGTGTGATTCTCGCTGGCAAACGCATTGGACCCGCGGCATTTCGCGATTCGAGTGACTTTACACGTGAACAGCAATAGTGAAAGTATACGAGTTTCGATTAAAAATAATTAAAAATGGCTACGACTAATGGCGATCATTGCGTCAACAACGTCAAGTCGAAGAAACCGAGGCCGCTACTTTCCAGAACTTGGTCGGAAAATTACGAAATTACCGACGTCGAAATACCCGGCTCTCCCAAAACTCCCAGAACATCCACCACTCCAGGTATATTGGTTTTTCCATTCGCGAATTGTTTGATATCATTAGGAGATAAGGGGTGCATATTTTGAAAAGAGTAATGCATTTAATTTAAACTTGCTGGTAGATTTTTATCTGGATTTTATCTGGATACGTGATATAGTAAGGATATTTTCTATTGTAACTCTCGAAAGATAAAATTTTAAGAAAATCTGATGATAAAATTGTATTTTTAGTTCAAGTCGTTTTTTTAGCGAATATTTTAGTATTCAATTTTCATATTATAATATACAGTATGTTATTTATTGCACTACTAACATAACAGCCGGTTAAATATTCTCAATACCTCAATATTTATATACCTACAGGAAAAAAATAATACCTACTCATATCATTAATTATTTTTTTCGTACAGTTACATGTTTTAAGTTTTAGTCCTGAAAGTCCTTTGGAAATTTCGTTCATTTTTTAGAATTAGCAAATTTCTATTTTATAAATAGGCATTCAAATCTCTACGCAGAATACGAATTAGTTGCAGACATGACTTGTGAATAGAATTGAAAACAAAGTAGTTTCCAATAAAATAATTCATCAATCGAGATAATTATAATTAAGTTTAATGGTATTTTTTATTTCATTAATTATGTTTTAAGTTCGGTTTTAAGTTTGTTTTACGTATATTTCCTTATCTTTAAGAATGGATGACTTTACAATAACGAAACATCAAATTATCTAGCTTTTTATATCATCATTACAATCATAATTGACGAATATCGGTGATAAGTATCTATTAAACGATATAAATCTAATATCCATACAAATCGTTAATCAAACAAAAATTCTACGTCTATATTTTGCTTAGATAAAAACTTTCATCACACTTCTACATTGTAATGGGCAGGGGTCATCAAAACATCTGTCATCGACAGCGATCGCTGGCGAAATATCGATTCAGTGCTTTATAAATTTAATTAAATTTAACAAAAAAACAGATTTGCACGGTATTTCGAAAACGTTGGATAATTTAAATTATAAATAACAACGTTTAACCCTTTTAAAAATACTGATAATAATTGACTCGATTTAATACTAAATATGAAAGTAAAAGTATAATGTTTAGGTGGTGTATAATTATCTAACCTTGTTTATTAGGAAGAATAAATATAAATTTATTTAGGTATAAGGTTGTATCGATTTGTATTAATATCTAGATTAAAGTTTGTGTGTAGTTAATTAATCAAATTTCAGGGATTTTGACCATTCAACTCAGTTTAAAACAAATTCCTTATTCCTATTAACATTTTTTTAACAGTGTCACAACATATTAACAATATATGCTAATTGACACTGTGAATTACACAACTAGCATAAATTGCATTGTAGAATTTGATATTCAAATTGTTGCATGCCAGGAAAAAATTAAAATATTTTTTATGTAATTTAGAAGCAGAGAATAGAAACTTGGCTACAGCAATTAATAACATAGGTGGATACAGTGATAATAAATATGTACCTATCCCTCGTCAAAAACTGCTACAGTTCCGTGTAATTTTAATGTCGTAGATTATTCGTTTCAAGGTAACTGTGGAAGCAGAAATGTAGTTTACTTTCCTCGATACAAAAGAATGATTAATTTTCAGTTTCGTAAAATTATATCCGGTATATTAAATCGTTTTTCAATTACGAAAAAACCCAGAATTTCACAATTCATGATTCGTTTTAGGCGAAACCAACAAACGATTTGTTTATTGCAGGTCATGAAAACTGCACCTTCCACCACGACTTGGAATTGGACCATCGACCGCCCACGAGGGAGGCCATGCTGCCCGAAATGTCCAGATCCTACAAGCTGCTCCTGGCCTCTTTGGGCGAGAATCCTGAACGACAAGGACTCCTGAAAACCCCCGAACGCGCCGCCAAAGCCATGCTCTTCTTTACCAAGGGCTACGACCAAAGCCTGGAAGGTAAGCTAAGCTCAAATTCCCTCACTAAAGTTTTCCCCATCCGTTTCACCTCCAACGATTTATCTACTATCAAATTTTCATTCCGTATAAACCCATCTCCACTCAGAACAATGCGACCGATCGTTCCTTAGACATCCAGCGAAGTGTTAAAACGTCTCCCGAAAGATCAGAGAGCTGTCTCGAAGTTAATTGGGCTCGGTAATTGGCTCTCGAGGAAATTACCGCCTCCGGGGCGAGCTTTCGAGCGGCCCGGAGAACTTCCGACCCGTCGCTCATTCAACAGGTTCTAACTTCGTTACCCTCGATACGCCGAGAATCGAGAAAAGTCTCCGGGTTGGAAATTTACTGTGAGCAAAAAAGCGGAACGTACATATAATCCTTCGTGTAATTAGAGCGTTCTCCGGGGCTGATCGATTTTTAATCGTATACTTGTACAGGGTGCTTCTGCTTTGCGTGAAAATTCGTGCGATTGGATGGAATAAATTTATGCATGTAAGAAACGGTGTAACTGAATTCGAACGTAATCCGGCTCCCCCGAGTCGTCGAAATTAGATCAATCACAGGCCCATTCGAGTCGAGATAGTCGACGCGTGTCGTATCCATAGCGACAGAGCTCTCTGGAAACTAAATCGTCATCTCGGCATATTATTTACCGAGCCCTTTTTTATTTCTTCGGTGATCCAGACATCGCCATCAATCACTCGGGAAATCAGCGGTGAATCCCGCATTATTCCGTCCAGTACAAAGGGACCTTTTCCCGAGCGGGTTTGACGAATGTGACGCTAATATTTATTGTGGGCAGGAGCGGGTTTTTATATTTTCCCGCTTGGAAATTTCCTGCGTACTGATTTGCAATTCCGATTTTTTTCTCGAACTCGAAAAGCAGGAACCGTATTCCGAATTATACACCACTCTTCGCAAATATATCCTTCTTAAAGCGTATATACAGCAGGATTCAACAAGTCCTTCATCTTATCTGATAATTTTATTTATGATACAATCGCAATATTGATAATATCTCAATTACTTCTATACATGACAAGCATTATACAGCACTTTTTTTTAATAAAAAAATACCCGTTTTTCTACAAGATTAAAGCGCTTTTTATATTACCCTGTATAAAGCCTCATACATTTATTCTGCTGATATCCATAAAGCGACCAGACTTGTTGCCCATTGAATTAATGGATCTGGTGAAAATGGAGTGCAGTCATTCGTTATGAGTTCGAATAAAGGCGACTGTTACACGAATTGCCTTTCAGAAGGGTCACACTCTATCTTTTTTTTTCAACTACACTTAATATCCAAGAATAAAAGTTCATAAAATTACAATTATTAACGTTAAGACAACTCCAATATGACATCTCCCTGTAGAATATTATATCAAGAGCTTTCAAGGATTTTATTCCTCGAAAAATGGGACTTGGGACTTTATCCTTTTAAGCAGCGGAAACCGAGCATTTCAAAGGGCGAGATAAAAGGGCGCGCTTTCGTATTTCCCCCAACTCCCTGCACTCGACAACCGTTTAAACTTTGAACGAATTTCCACCACAATTTCTTACCGACTAGCCAATTTCTAGTAACTAATCACGCTTGCAGAGGTACTGAACGACGCCATCTTCGACGAGGACCACGACGAGATGGTGGTGGTGAAAGACATCGAGATGTTCTCGATGTGCGAGCACCACCTGGTGCCCTTCTACGGCAAGGTCTCCATCGGCTACCTGCCGTGCGGGAAGATTCTGGGCCTCAGCAAATTGGCGAGAATAGTCGAAATCTACTCCAGAAGGTTGCAGGTGCAGGAAAGATTGACCAAGCAGATCGCGGTCGCCGTCACCAAGGCGGTGCAACCTGCTGGTGTCGCAGTCATTGTGGAAGGAACGTAAGTATTTTTGAGATAAGCTCTGGCATTAAAATAGCTTTCCCATAACTTTTTATAGCCACGTAAATTAATTCAGTTAGTGTGTTATGAGATTATTGGCACTTCTTCTGTTACGACAATGGCGGCTATAAAGCGGTTTTATGAATCAATTTAGTCATTAAAATTGTATTGGGAATGTTTCAGTCACATGTGCATGGTGATGAGAGGTGTGCAGAAAATCAATAGCAAGACCGTCACGTCGACAATGCTGGGAGTTTTTCGAGATGATCCGAAAACCAGGGAGGAATTTTTGAATCTAGTGCAATCTAAGTAAATAAGTTTAGATGCTCTCGTTTCTAACGAAATTGGTTTTTTTTTGTTCTCAGTGATTGTTAACTTATTGTTTCGAAAATGGTTCAGTTTGCGGTTCTACGGTTAAATTATTTATTGTTAGTTTAAATTAAGTTGAAATTTTTGTTGCTAATTTTTACCAGTGAAAATTTAACAACAATCAAAATTAGGTTAATAAATGGTGTAGAAATTAGTGGATTATTGTAAAATTTTTATCTATTTTTTAATAGGGTTTATTGTTTCGTAAATTTTATAGGTAAGTTTAACTTATTTAAACGAAGTACTTAATGATAAAGGACCACTATATAAAAATAAATATATAATCTATTGTTGTGAAGACTATAAATATATAAAAAAGATATATGTATATTTACGTAAATTGTTGTTATATGTTACTGTGATATATCTGTGTATATATCTATTATATTTTATTTGTTACATATTCTGAAAAATTCTATTTAAATGCCTATACTGTTATAATTGTTTGATTATTTTAAATAAGAGGAACAATGATTTAGGGCAAAAATATTGTGTAAAATCAATCAGTAAGAATAACATATTCTACAAAATATTAACGTTTGACCAAAATAATATATAAATACAAATTTTATTTAATGTTACAATAATTACAGTATTTTTGTATTCTATATTGAGATTATGTATTTTGTCTATAAACTTTAATAGCAATTAAGGACAAACGAAATATTAAATATCCACTATATGAATAAAAATATAAGTATTGAAATTTGTTTTTATCGAGATTCTATAAAGAAAGAATGCATGTGTTGTTATGCAAAATTAAATAAACACTCATTAATTATTATTATAAATAGCAGAAATTATTATCAGCTACACCGATAATAAACAATTTTAATAACAAAAAAGCGGAACCAGTAATTTTTGCATTTTTATTCTTCTATTTTTCTTCATTCTGGCCTTTTACGTTATAATTTTTAAACTAATTGTTTTATAAAAAAATAATCAAGTAACCGAAACACCAATATGTAGTAGTGAAAACGTCATAAATTTCTAGTAAGAAGAATCACTCAAGTGTCAAGTTAATTTACATATGCATGAAGTTGTCTCACTTGGATGTAAACGAACGTTGATGTTTCGTCACTTTCTCGCCAAGAATTCCAGCAGCAGAGAAAGGAAAAGAAACTTATTTTAATTACCTATAATTGTTTTACTGTTTTACTTCCATTTGTCATACCGGTGACCTTCTTTGTAGTCAATGCCTTCTTGATTTCATCTCGCGAAATGTCGAACACCAAAGTGCCTGAACCGGAGCCCTTCCCGAAATCCGGAAGGGTGAACGAAATGTGCCAGGAGTGGATGGTCAGAGAAGACAGCGCTCTGGCCTATCGTCTGCAAAGCCAGGAGTTCCACGAGCACCTTTCGGGCAACAAATTCAGAAACGCTTTGGTCCGCGAGGACTTCCCCAAAGCCAAAGACGAGCAAATCAGGGAACAGCAACTGGCCGAACAAGCGGCTGCCATTTACCACAAAATGCTGGCCGAGCAAGAGGAAGTCGACAATAAGGTACTATCTCATTCATTACACCAACAATTAGAAAGTGACTCTGTCCTAATTCCAGGTAGCTAAAGATCTAGCGGATAAAATAGAAAAAGAAGATTGGCTCAAACGCAAGGCTTTAGAACTACACGACCAAGCTATAGCGAAACAAATGTTCGCAAAAGAGCACAAGAAAACCGAGAAATTACAACAAGCTCCTCCGCCCCTACCTCCCTCGTACTCGCCCCAACAACCTCCCAGTCTTCCCCCCAAACTCGATCCGCAATTCTCCCCCCATCGATCGAACTGCTCGGCCAACTTACCTAAGAGAAAGGCCCCGCAGATGCCCATACCGCAAGCCGGTTTGTCTCCCAGTAAACCACAGCGCATCAACTTCGATGAAATCAGCAGCGCCGAGCTGTACAATGAACCCTACCTTACTTCGCACCAGCTATCGGACCATTTGAACCGGATCGATTTGGCCGATATCGGTATACCGTTGAACGAAGCGGCGGAACGCCAGATCCAGGAGCAGAGAGACGCCGAACTGGCCCGACAGCTCCAAGAGCAGGAGAGTTTGTTGGAGGACAGGGATCGATTGCTGGCCATCGAAGCGCAAGACAAAGAACTGGCCAAATTGCTGCAGGAACGTGAACGGGCGAAGGCCAAACGAGCGAGGGAGAAAGCCAAGCAGAAGGCGTTGGCTAAGAAGCAACAAAAGGAACACGAAGGTATGTAGTTTATTTGTTTTAGTAGTATTCATTAATTCATCGATTGTGGTCTCCAGGTGAGGTGAAAACGGGTACGGAAAGAGATACTCATCAGATACTGCCGGACGACTCCTATGCCTTTCCTGCCGATGTTATCCAGCAAACTAACGTGCCCAAAATGGTAGCTGCACACCCTGATCTATACGCTGTTCCCAATGCCGATGAGGAGGATATAAGCTACAGCCTTCCGGCCGATGTATTGCTCGGCGGCAATTCGATAAGCAATCTAAAACAGAATTACAGTCCCGGCAAGTTCCATTATCGAACTGAAATTAAAGAATCCAATAATTTAGGTGCTACTGCAAATCACATTCCGTCCATTGATAAAGGGAACTGTCCAGTTTCAGGCATCCCCGCCAACAGACCGACCCATCTGGATTTAAGGTGAGTTTATTCTTTATTTGTACATTTTAATATCTATTAACCCAGCATCGACCAAGCATTTTGGCGGCTTCACCGTCGGATAGGACTTTGGTAAACGTTCGCAGAAGGTTTTGGTTGATTTTAAGTGAGTTATGCCATTCCACACGTTAGCCATTGTTTCCAGTTCCGATTGATTGGAATTTATATCTTCTGCAAGATTCGTTTGTGAAGGAATAGCTTGGTGTACCAACGGTCTACTCATTTCTATATAAACTCTGCTCGTAGACAACTTATTGGGCCCCACTTGGAACATGTCTTTGATCCTTTGGATGCTTAAATCTTAACGTAACTCATAAGATTGAAGGTTAATAATGGATATCAACGCACCTGATTCACCATCTCCGTAGGTGGATTTGAACCAATCCATGAAATCTGCGGCTATGCAATGAGTTACGGTTTCCGCCATTTCGTTCACGTTCATTTCGTCCCAATCGATCATCGGCAGGTCCTTCCATATCGCCGCTTTGTGCGGTTTCCGTTTAAAGAAGCTCACGTACGGATTGTCCCCATTAGGTACAACAGCCAACTCGCGTTCGAAACGCTTCGCGAAACGAATCAAACGCCTGTCCGATTCGCCCAAAGATCCTCCTGTTACCTGCAAACTATCCGTTGGTTTTTGCTGATTACTCGATGATGATAGCGTTTCCGAATCACTTTCGATTCTTGATAGTAAATTATCCGTAGCGGATTGGGTAGAGCTCGAATTTAGCGTTTTGTTTGGCTCCATTTTTATCGTTAACAGCAACCGAAACTATCGATTTAACTAGCGTTTGGGTGTGCGATTCCAGGGCCCCCCTGTCTCGGATCAATAAGCCGCGCTACCCGGACCCGGAGGCGGATCCGGCGTCGCCGTCGCTGCACGCGAACATCGCCGTGGCCATCGATCCGACGTACTCGCGCCGGACGGGGTACAGGGGCTCGTCGAGCTACGACACCGCCTCCAGCACGGTGACGACGAGCACGTCGAGCAGCAGCCCGGGCGCGCTGCCGCCGCCCGATCTGGTGGAGCAGGAGGACGACAGCCCGGCGCCGCCTTACATGCCCATCCAGGGGCAGCGGAGGACGGCCAGCTTGGAGAAGAAGCAGAAGAGCAAGAGTAAGGATGGCGGGTGTAAGCAGCAATAGTTGTGGCGTCGTCGGGGGTGGTTCTGTTGCTAGGAAATCGGTTTGTTTGGGGAGAGGTTGGAGGGTAGAAAATGTTTTATGGGTTGCTACACGAGGATGTTATCCTGTCTATACATAATCAGATGTATTGTTTTTTTTTTTGTTTAAAGGGATTGGTACGTACGTGAATTTAAAGTTGATTTTTTTTACCCAGTTATTGCATTCACCTACATACGTGCCATTAAATTTTATTTCATTTTATAAAGTGTGCCATCTTTTACAGAAGCATATATCCGGTAAAACATTTTTCAGTTTAGCGAAAATTTACTTAGTTTTAAGTATTTATTTACTTCGTATGTGTACTTAATCCATTTTTTGAATATTTACATTTTTTTAGTATTTACCAATAATTATAATCGAGATGACAAGAGTTTACTACATAACAAAAATTCCTAAAGACTTCGTTCTTCCATTTTCGGATGACAAAATTTTCTAAGATATTAGTATTAATAATTTACTAAACTTGCTTTAAAGTAGTTCTCTCTAATTCTGAATCTCAGTATATTTTATTTATATTAAACGTATTATTGTTATAAACTGCTAGATAAATTTAACTAGGAAAAAAGTTATTTAACTGGACTTATCGGTGATATTGTTATTTCAAAAATGTACCTAATAATAAACATACATGTTTTAGAACCAAAGATAGATTAAAAAACTATTATTGAATTAGAAAACATTTTTACTTAAAGTATTTGCAGTGCAAGTTAAAACAGCTATTAATAAATTTGTTATTGAATTGAAAGTTTTCAGATATTTTCGTCATTATATTAGGGAAAAAATGCATATCTAAAGATTTTGACATTTCATTGAATATTAAAGCTAAAAACTCTCTTCTCTATCTAATTAACATATCTGTAGGTTTATGTGAATACTTTATTAATATTTATAATCTGGAATCAAAAGTGAAAATGTACAATAAAGTCTAGTTTTTTACAAATAACACCAAAAATATATGCTCAATATTATAAGTTCGAATATATTTAAAGGAGTTTTATTTGTATATCTATGGTGGAAGGTTTCTTTTGTAACTCAATATTTTTTAATGTAACCTTTTTTATTGAATAAATATTTATACTTTACAGTTATTAAATTTTTTGCTTTATAATTTATAATCGCTATAACGAAGTACCATTTTTTATTAAATCTATTTTGCTCTTAACGAATGATATCGGTGCCAACTCGTACTTTGCACAGGAACATTTCTGACCACCTATATGATCGAAAGTACCGATTTTATTCTGGCAATGCGGGCAATGTATTTTTCCCTTTGTCCAATTCTCGGCGTCGATTTGATCCAGCAGCCAAGCAGGGAGTTTGTACGTGGTCAAATAAACATTCGTTCCGTTCCTTATAGAATCGCACTCTTCGGGATCACTATCGAATTTACTGTTGTGTGCATCAACAAACTGCTTAACTTCGCTTTCATTTAGTATAGCTTTTCTACATTTTTTGCATTTCATTTCTTTGTACATTTTTTTTAAATTATCAGAAATGCCACTTGCTTGTAGTGTTTACAATTTCTTGTTTTTAACCTTGCGTAAACAATACCAGATAAAAATTACGAAATACTATTATCTTTGTATTTAACTCGATAAACATGAACTTTTGAGTTACCTTTGAGTAATAAACAAATCAAATTAAATCAAAATAATATAACCTACAAATAAAATAACTTTCGCTTGAATTGACATTTTGACTTGACACGTCTTTGACTTTTGTTTTCTCCTCTACCAGTCACAAATAAATATTGAAGAATTACTTATGCCCAAATAATTTCTTTAAAATCATATTTAACTCAGAAAACAATAACTCATTCAAACTATTATTCGTAAATAAACAATTCAAATTAAAAATAAAATAAAAAACTAGCCGTTTACTAGAGACAAAAGAGTCGTACATCTATTTGGAAATGACTAACTTCAAGTCGATTCGTTTTCACGTTTGATGACGTTTTGACGTTTGTGAAAGTGATGTGAAGTTACTTCTATTGCTCCTTTTTCCTTTCATTCTATCAAAAATATCTACGATGACGACCCAGCAGCCGATTCCTATTCAACCAAAACGTGGAATAGTCAAACAGGTATATTTCCGAAACGAATCGTTTCATTTAAAACGCTTGTTTCATATAATTTTATTGTAAGGGAATTTTTTATTCAAGTTTACACCGAAAACGAGTTAATATGTTTGCTGTGCTGTGCTGATAGCATAACAAATTCGGACGACATATGGACATACATCAAATATAATTACTTTAATTTATATAATTCTCATTCATTTTCGCATTAGAACGAAGCTAATTGGTCTAATTTGATTAATTGCAAGTAGTACAGGACAAGTGTTTTTAGGTTATAGGTTATATGAGTTGGCAGTATTAAATATTTTCTTTTTTTTTTTACAACTATTTGAATACTTTTCTATTTTTGTAGATCCTTTCCGGGGATTCTGTGATTATTCGAGCACCCTCCGGAGCACCACCTCCAGAAAAACAGATCAATTTTTCTGGAATAATCGCCCCGAAGTTAGCCAGACGAACCGGTGATGGGTAAGCCATTATTAACAATAAATACCTACGATTAACTTATTAAATAATTCACCTGGTTTCGAAACACCTTCCAGTATTACGTAAACCGATTAAAGATTCATAAAGTTCAATGACCACAATTTATCGAGCCCAGACATAAAATTGGCTAATGCCTAGTAGATAAGAGCTTTTTATTCTCAATTCACGTTTGTTATTAATTCCATTTTGTTGAAGTCAAGAGGCATCCAAAGACGAGCCTTGGGCCTGGGAAGCAAGGGAATTTTTGCGTAAGAAACTCATTGGAGAAGAGGTCCTGTTCATCGCAGAGAAACCACAAAATGCCGTTCGCGAATACGGCGTAGTTTACCTGGGAAAAGGTAAATAAAATTCACACACTTCCTATTATTTGAGTTATAATTCCTCGTTTGTTATAGATGTGAATACTGCCGAAAACATTACCGAATCTTTGGTATCCGAAGGGCTGGTATCCGTTCGACGAGAAGGTATCCGAACCACTCCGGAACTCACCCGTTTAATGGAGCTCGAAGACGCCGCCAAAGCCGCCGGAAAAGGAAAATGGGGCAACGCTCCTTCCAGCGTAAGCACAGCATCGCTTCAGTAATCTTACATTTCTGTTAAATTTCGATATTACAGGAGCACGTTCGTGACATTAAATGGACCATCGAGAAGCCGCAGGAATTGGTCGATCAGTTGCAATTCAAGCCTGTCAAGGCCGTAATCGAACACGTCCGAGACGGATCTACTGTTAGAGCCTTCCTGTTACCCGACTTCCATTACGTGACTCTAATGCTGTCTGGTATCAGAGTAAGTAGAGTTAATTTTGAGTCGAAGTCACCCCAACATTCACCCGTTTAAAGTTAAAATAAGTACATTGTATTAATTAACACCCCGTATGTTACAGTGTCCCGGTTTCAAGCTGGATTCGAGCGGTAAAAGAGACCCCAACGGCAAGGTGGAGTTCGCCGAAGAGGCCCGCTACTACGTCGAGGTGCGCCTTCTGCAGCGCGACGTGGAAATCGTCCTCGAAGCCGTCAACAACAACAACTTCATCGGAACGATCATCCATCCGAAGGGCAGCATCGCCGAGCTGCTATTGAAGGAGGGCTTCGCCAAATGCGTCGACTGGTCCATCATGCTGATGAAGAGCAGCTCCGAGAAGCTGCGCGCCGCCGAGAAGCAGGCCAAAGAGGCGCGTCGCAGGCTGTGGAAGGACTTCGTTCCCACCGTGCCGAAGATAACGGGCAAAGAGAAGGAATTCACAGCGACCGTTATGGAAATCAACAACGGCGACGCGTTGGTGCTGAAAATGGCCAACGGCGATCACAAGAAGGTGTTCCTGGCGAGCATCCGAGCCCCCAAAGAGCCCGGCCGGCAGAACGACGAAGACGGTAAACCCATACCGAGACCGAAGGGATTCCGTCCGCTCTACGACATACCGTACATGTTCGAGGCCAGGGAGTACCTGAGGAAGAAGTTGATCGGCAAGAAAGTGCACGTCGTCATCGATTACATCCAGGACGCCAGGGACGGTTTCTCCGAGAAGATCTGCGCTACCGTTACCGTAGGCGGAAAGTGAGTACTAATCGCATGGAATAGATGGAGTAGTTTCGATTGTAATGGTTGTAGGAACGTCGCCGAAGCTTTGGTGTCTAAAGGTCTCGCTACGGTGGTGAGATACCGACCGGACGACGACCAAAGGAGTTGCCGATACGACGAGCTGATGACCGCCGAGACGAAGGCCACGAAATCCCAGCTCGGCGTCCATTCGAAGAAAGACAGCCCTTCGTTGAGAGTCATCGAAATCGTGAGTTTTCTCTCGATATAAAAAAATCGCAATTTTATAATCGTAACGATTTTAGGACGCGGCGAGAGCCAAACTCGAACTGGCCGCCTTGCAAAGGGCCCAACGCATCGACGCCATCGTCGAATTCGTCGCCAGCGGATCCAGATTGAGATTGTACATTCCGAAATCGAACAGCTTGTGCACCTTCCTGTTAGGTAACGCCCCGATTTCGAATCGATTTCGTCGACGGTTTTTAATTTTCGATTGACCCCGACAGGGGGCATCAATTGCCCGAGGGCGTCGCGCCAAGCGACCGATACGGCGGGCGAACCGTACGGGGACGAGGCGTTGCAATTCACGAAGGAGAAGTGCATGCAGCGGGACGTTAGCATCCAGGTGGACACGCACGACAAGGCCGGCAATTTCATCGGCTGGTTGTGGGTGGACAACGTGAACATGTCGGTGGCGTTGGCCAAGGAGGGCTTCGCCTCCGTGCATTTCATGGGCGAAAAGTCCCAGTACGGGTCGATGTTGAAGGGCGCCGAAGATCAAGCGAAGGCCGCCAAATTGAGGATTTGGAAGGAGTACGTCGAGGTCGAGAAGGAGGAGAAGCGCGAAGAGGAGAAAGTGGTATGCGTTTTCGATGGGTTTGTTTTTTTGGTATAACGTTGTGAATTGTTGGGGGTTTTGTTTGTAGCCAACCGAACGTCAAGTTAATTTCGAAGAAGTGGTGGTGACGGAGATAACGCCCGAAGGGAACTTCTACGCGCAGAAGATCTCCGAAGGACCTAAAGCTGAAGCTCTGTTCGCCAAGTTGAGACAAGAGTTCCAAGCCAACCCGCCGCTGCCCGGCGCTTTTACGCCGAAGAGGGGCGACATTTGCGCCGCCAAATTCACAGTCGACGACGAATGGTACAGGGTGAAAGTTGAGAAAGTTCAAGGTACTTTTAATAACATCTCAATCACACTACAATGGTAACAACGAACGCGTTTTTAAGGAGGAAAAGCTACCGTTCACTATATCGATTACGGTAACAGAGAAACCCTGCCCGCCACCCGCCTAGCCAGTTTACCCGCCGCTTACGTTAGCGACAGGCCCTTCGCTACCGAATACACTTTGCCTTTCATTGTCCTGCCCAAAGACGAGGAGTACTCATCGATGGCGATCAAGTACCTGAAGGAAGACACGGCCGTCAGCAAGTTGTACTTAAACGTCGAGTACAGACCGGCCGGTTCGCCGGCGGCGGCTTCTCTGCACACCGACAAAACGTCAGAGTCCGATATTCTGAAGAATCTGATCAAAGAAGGTTTGTTGATCGTCGAAAGCGTCAAAGGGCGTCGGCAGAATAAGCTGGTGAGTTTTTTTTAGATGGGTTTTACGTTGTTTGGTTATTTTATTTGTTGTTTTTCAGTTGGAAAGTTATAGAGAAGCGCAGGACTTTGCGAAGAAACAGCACTCCAATATTTGGGAATATGGTGACATCACAGAAGTCGACGCTAAGGAATTTGGACTTGGTATATGTACGTAATTTATAATTAATTTTTGTTTATTTTTGTTATTAATTTATTAATTGTGTTTTAGAATGATGGTGAAGGGACCATATTACCAGAGCAAACCATCTACATTGTGTCTTTATAGACTTCTAAATTATGTTCATTGCAATTTTAATAAGGAACTTCCATTTATATAATATAATTAGACAGACTTGTATTTCTAGGATATTTTAAACAAACACCAAAATATTTATATGACAGAAATATGTTTTTAGGTGTAAATGTTTTTTACATTGTGTACCTGCCAATAATTATATTTTTTTTTGTAATTTATCGGAAACTTTTTATATATATATTGATTAAAAGGAACATTTTTTTATCTATTCTGCATATCAAGTGTAATTTTGTTTAATTATATATATTTCTGTTAAAATAGTAATGCTTCCTAACGAGAATGACGTTCCAAAGGTACACCTTAATCCGTATTAGACTGATACTATTAAATTTTTGGTAATAACAGGTTGCTCTGTGTTGTTATATATTTATATTTATGTATCAAATGTCTTAACAGCTGCTGAAATGATGTAGGGGAGGGGCTCTGTTTACAAATAAAATACTTGACGTTATTAAAGACTTTTTATTTACAGTTTGTGATCCAATCCTGGTGGAATTTTTGCATTGACGTGCGATTATGTTAAAAAAATATTACTTTAAAAAGCACGATTTTTCTTTTGAGATAAATTGCCTGCAGAAGAAATTGCTCAAATAATTATCACTAACGTAAAAATGAAGCACTTATTTCAAACGTCATTTATTATTCAATAGTCTTATAAAAATTGGTGAACATACTGTAATTATGTAATATTTCTTGACAAAACATCCCCAGTTCTCTTTAAGGCAATTTATTTTGGACTTAATGAAAACTTGAAACTTGATGATTTTGTTTAAATTATGCATGTTTTACCACGACAAATTATTTTATTTTCAAAGTATGATTAAATAAATGGTGTTTAAAAAAATGAAATTATGAAGAAATGAAACTAAACTTTAATGCTCAAAACATTGAAAACCATTTATTACATCCACATATTATGTATACTAGTTACAAATACTTGAAAATTTCTTAAAAATACCTAATATATTACACTAATTAATCTCTATACACTATGATCACCTTATTTCCTAAAAATAAAATGCGTGGCTCCCAAAAATTAAGCTTCAATTACAAACAAAACAAAAAAAAAGTGTCACATTTTCCTTTTTATAGAATTATGTACAAATCACAAAAATGCTTATCACTCTGGTATCTCTCCTTCTTGCGTTTGCACAGTCGATTTTACCATACATGATCTTGCGACAGATTCAAACAACCTGGAATTAAACCGCGTTAAAAATCAAAATCCAAAGGCACCGTTCGAAATACACTTACTTTTCAATTTCGGGCGCGCAATGAACAAACTCGTGCTGCCAAAATCTGTACGTCGGATTCTTGATTAATTCTATAAACGTAATGAGCAGACCCCAAGGGTGCGGTCTGTTCACAATCAACCTCTCCAACAACACTCTCGTTATCTGCTCCTGTATGGCCTCCGTATTGGCCTCGGCGAATAAATAGAGCAAAGTGCATGAGAAGTAGTGAGTGTGACTGTTCGGATAGCGCAACTGATTAGCGATAGCGTTCAAGAAGAGATATCTACCTTCCGTATCGAGATCGACGGCCAAGTTTTGGAAGATGTCCATGTGAGCACTGTGCGCTATCGTCGACATATTCGGCGTATGACCCTTGTTTCTTATGTAGGTAATAGCTTGAGTACCTACGTAAAGTACCAAAGCGTTCATCAAAGGGATGTTGTAACGCACGCCCGGTTCGTTCGAAACCTACGATTAACACATTCCAAAATCGTTCCAATACAAGTCGAACAAATCAAACGTTTACCTGCAAGTTACTTCTGAGCTCCGACAAAAAGGTAACGGGCGCCCGAGCCTTCAAATACGAATCCAAATCTTTCTTAAACTGCGGCGGCGTTATCATCAACGATAGGTTAGTAAGTATCCTCGGGCCGTAGGAGATCTCCTGGAGCATGTCGACTTTCAGATTGGGCGTGAACGGATCGGGCAATCGCATGTTCCTCGGGAACGCCGACAGTATCAAGTTTCTCATTTGGATGCAATTGGGCGGTATCACGTCGCAGAAACCGTAGTGGTAATCGCACAAAAATTCGGGGAAATCGTGCAAGAGGACGAGCAGCACGCGCAACGTCCCTTTGTAGAGCATCGTCACCGGCTTGGCGAGCTCGGCGTTTCGCAGGAACGGCGCCAAATATTTGAACAAATCGACCAACAGTTGGGCGTACATCGGCCAACACCTACAATCATTCCTATAATTGATTAATTAACGATGTGTTTTAGTTAAGACTTACTTTTGTTGGGGGCTACTGGCTAACATTCTACCCATAAAAGCTCGATGGGAAACCAATTCCAACCAAGCGTAACAGAAACCGGCCGCCTTAGTGGGTCGCAGTATGTGCAACGTGTGACAGAACGCGTTCAAAACGTGGTAATTAATGGCCTCCAAAACGGGCTCGGGAGCGTTCAACTCCAAAAACAACATCGTAAATATCCTCTGGTAAGGCAACTGTTGGAACTCCGTCGTACGGGTATCGTGGTCCTGTAGCAAACAACCCGCCACAATCCCGAGCACCTGCAGCAAGTCGTATAGATTTTTTCGAAATTAGCGATGAGTACGAAAATTCGGTAAGGTTCTAACAAAAATAATTTGCACTATTACCTTGTTCAATAGATGGATTTTTGTCGTCGTATTGCTGGCGTCGCCGGAATGTTTCACCAGCAACGCCACCAAACGGACGAACGCGTCGAGCGTGTGGTAGCACTTCGGCCGCAACAGCGACACGTTCGTCGCCGTCTTGTCGGCCAGGATCCTGTAGACGGTTTCGACGCACAGCTGCGTCGACAGGCGGAAGAACCTCGTTATCAGATCGTCGGTTTTCAGGATGCCGTACATGTTCATCTGGTGCACGAACATGCTGAAGGCCTTGGTCGAGTCGCGCCCTTGGTTTTGCGTGTGATAGATGGTTATCCAGTCGCGCAACAGCTGATCGGTCTTCTCCACCAGGCCCGGCGGATCTTCGTAGTTCGGCACGCGGACCTGGCGAAAGAGTTAATAAATGTTAAATGTATAAGTCAACGCGGTGGATAATAATCGAACAGCGACGACAAAAAGTTAAGGCTACACAACAAAAATTTATACAAATATGTTCTGCACATACCGTATATAACTTTTTAATATTATTTGTTTTATTTGCATGTATACATTCTTCAGTTCAATTCGTTTTTAAAAAAACAAAACTATTTAAAATTCGAGGATATTGTTTAATCGGTATAAAATACAATTTTTAAAAAATTACGTATTCGTAAAAAGCAAAAGAACTTTTCAGCTTCTCACCTGCAAAATTCCATTGTGAATGTGAACGGTGGGTCCGATCGTGGCTCTGTCACCGAAATACGAATTCGGTTCGCTTTGTCTCAGATTGTCCATAATATTACCTAAACCCTCCGGCGGTTGTCTCGTATGGGTTTGGATTTTGGCCAACATTTCAATCGTATTACACAAATCGTTCTCCGTCACGAATTGCCCGGATCTAAATCGCATCAAAAACATTCTCAATACTCATCAGCATCGAAACGCAACCATCCCTACTACTCACCTATCGTCGATCAGATACAACTGCACCAATTGCATGGCGAAATTCACGCCCATGTAGTTCAGACCGTTCTCCATGCATTGGGCCAGCGCCAGATCGTATTGGGGCACGTTCACCAAGCCGCTCTTGATCAGAGTATCGACGGCCTCGATGTTGTAGCGCTGCTGTTCGTCGCGGCACTCGGTCAGATATCGCGTCGCGTGCTTGTTGGTCCACTGTTGGCCGTACACCCGGTGATCCTGCAGCGTTTTCAGAATCCTCACCACCACCTCTTTGAAACGCAAACCGACCGGATCGGTCTCGTTCAACGTCGGCACGAGGCAATCTTGCAGGGTTTCGACGCACTGATAAAACGCAAAAAGAACTCGTAATTAAGTAAGTAAGTAAGAATCCTCGTGATAATTTCTACCTTCTGTACGATGGCTTGCGGTGTAATGTCGCGGTTTCTCAGCATGTGCATCAAACAGTCCCTCATGACCAACATGCTGGCGTTCATCATCGAATACTGCGCCTGGCCGTTGGTCAGCAGGACGAATTGTTCCACTTCGACGGTCAATTTTTCGTACAACAAAGCGATGTCGTCGGTCGTCAGAAGCGTTTGCGGGACGGGAAAGGGAGTGGTCGAGTGCGATTGGACTTCGATGGGCGTTTGCTTCTGTATCAATATCGTGGCGTCGCGTTCGTTCGGTAAAAAACCCGGTATGTTGCGCGCGAATTCCTCGTACACGGCCATCTGATTGGGCGATATGCCGCCCACTTTCAATCGAATCTGCTCGGGCATCCGTTCGGCTTGGTACGTGAGAGCGATGGCGTCGCAGTAACGCCTAAAAAAACACACACAATCAATTCCGCGCAACTATCGCGTAATCGATCCCCTACCGTCCTTCCTGTCGAGCGATCTTCCTCAATTCGTACTCGCTCATTAGCCTCTTGTCGATCTCCGGAAAGGCCTTTTCGATGGCCGTTTTCTGGACGAACGCGCAGGCGAGTTCCATGTTGTCGTTGGCGATCACGCTGGCCGCCTGATCGATCATCTCCTTCTGTTGCACGGTGGGCGACACCATATTGGTGAGCAGCGCTTGCTTCAGGTGCGTATTAATCGCGGTCAGCAGTTGCTCGCGACAAGTAATCATCGCCATGCCTGCCGTCAGGTTGCCCACCATGTAATGGGCGGCGAGCCGCATGCGATTCTCGTCCGGATCCAACGCGAAATCCTTCCTGGTGATTTGCTCGCACGTTTGCAACGCTATCTTAATCGACCTGCAAAATAATCATAGTAAACCAAGCTGTTATTATATCGTTAATAAAATTACCTGTCGACGACTGGCGCGATCCATTCCTGCACGGCCCGTTCGATGGAGGTGCGCACGAGCGCCTTGAGTTGCGGTTGAGTTTGGAACAGCAGTATCGAAGGGGAGATGACGGTGTGCGCCTGGAAGGCCTGCATGCCGGCGGTGTGGATGTCGGAGTAGCCGAAACGGGGCTCGGGCGGCGCCGGCAGGGCGGACGTCGGCGTCGTGCTGTTGTTTTGCACGACGGGCGAGCTGGTCTGTTGGCTGGGAATGATGTTGGCCAGTTCTTGGTCGGTGAGGTTGCCGCCCTGGTTGACGTTCGGCTGCATGATGGGCTCCTTTTTGAGCGGCTGCGATAGCTGGTACTCGATTTTCCTGATGCGATCCGGGTCTTTTAGGTAAACGGCCGGCTTCAGTTGCGTCACGTCGATGTCGAGGTGCTTGCAGAGGACTTCTATTTCGAATTTTAGGGTCAGCTTGAGGTCGGTTTCGGAGTGCAATTCCGCCAGGACGTTCATAAGGGCTATGGTCCAAGGATTGGGCGGCTTGAAGACTTTGCTCTTCGCGCAGGATTCGAGGACTTTGGCGACGAACGGTACGACGTACAAGAGTTCTTGCTGTCCTTTGTGATAGGCTTCTACCAACAAAGACTTCATGTCGAGATCGATTTGTAAAATCGGCTTGTTTCTCGCTAGCGTCAGCATTCCCAACCAATGTCCTAGATTCTTCAACAGCGATCTATCGGAAAAGTTAGCAATCGCTTTATCAGATCTAAGCAGAACTCGAATGTTTCTAAACGTTTCTCTGGTGACCAAACGCAGGATTTCATTGATACCGAGCGTGTCCAAAAAATTCGAATACAACCCGTGGAAATTAAACTCGATAGACGCCCGTTTCATAACCAAATACTGCGCCAACCACGGGTAGTACTCGTCGGTCACCAAATCCTTAAGTTCGTCGCATTTTTGCTTCAAATTCAACTGGCTCAAATTGTTGAAAATGAACGCCGTCTTGTCCTGAAGCGGTTCGGGCGGAGCGATGGCCTTTTCCTCCTTTTCGGTAGCCACTAGGAGCGTGTCGATGTTCGTGGCGTTGGCGATCGACGGTCTGGAACCCATCGTATTAGACGGCGTCGTGACTTTCGACGGCGCCGTGTTGGGCACGCTCGTCGTTTTGTACACCGTCGAAGCGTTAGGCGGCGCCAGCATCGCCGCCAAACTCGGCGGCAACACCGGACCTTCGGGCTTCAAAGGCGGCTCGGCGCTCTGCAAACCGTACTCGACGTACTCTTGCAGGTGTTGCGGGAAATCGTTGAAATGCGGTATCGCCCTGACGTGTTCGCAGTACTTTTGGTACTCCTTCAAGCGGCTCTTGAAGCGATCCAACGCCGCTATGCCGAAGTAGTACATCTTCGAACCTTCCGGTTTCTTCAGGGCCTCCAAAACGAACCGGAGGGCCAGTCCTAATGCCACGTAGGATGTTACGATTCCTCTTTCGATTATACCGCCGAATAGTTGTGCGGTTATGTGCAATTCTTTGTCGGGGTATTGGGGGAAAAATTTGTACTCTTCAAAAAGGCTTCTTAGCATACAGTTGAATACCTATCGAAAATAATCATTCCATTATGATTACTAATATAAAAATGCTGAAATTACTCACCTCTTTTTCCCGTTTGTTATGAGAATCTTGGAATCTCTTCAGCATGTTCAGCACTTCATCGATGGACAGCGTAGGATTCGGCGGGTGATTGTAAATCCTTTGAAAATAGTTGTTGGCTTCGTCTTCGATATCTTTGGAAACGTGAGGCGAAATGTCCGGGAACAAATTGTATTCGGGCAAGCGCGTTTTGTCTATCGTCGGATTCGGTCCCATCCTGCCCAAATTGCTCATCTGGTTGACGCCGAGGACCAACGAAGAGCTGGTGCCGGCCGGTCCTTGGTGTTGCAACGGCATCATGGGAAACGGGCTGTTGGACGGGCCGGCGTTGAGGATTCGAGACGGCGAACCCGGAGACGGTACCAACGGTCCCAAGCCGCCTTGCAACGTGAAGGTCGAATTCGTCGGACCAGCCAGGTTTATATTGGCCAACGACGTGTTGAGTCCTTGCAACGAATCGACGCCGGAATGGCTGTAGAGCGGCGCGAAAACCGACGGATTGATCGCGCCGTCTATGCCTCTCGTGCGAAGGATCGTCGGCTGTTGTTGTTGCCTGGATTTCAAAATCAGCGAACAATTGCTCACTACGGTAACTATGGCTTCTTGACATTCCATGCTGACGTTGTTCATGGACCTTTTCGAATAAATAAAAAAAAAACAAACCAATTACAACGAATTCATTAAAATAGCCGCTAATTACGTACAAAACAATTATTCAAAAAAAAACTTGTTTTTAAATAACCGTAGATAAAGCACTGATACTTTTCAAAAATCGAATACATTAGTAGTCAAAAATATATTTAACACGCCTTTTAAGTTTATTCGCATATCTAGTTATTGAAAAGAAACGCAAATTTAATCTTACCCAGATAAAAAAAAATGCCTTATCAAAAACAACAACAATATTAATTTATGTGCGATTTAAACGATTAAGAACATTAACTATACAATAACCGAACCTGTAATAAAATTATTAAACCGAGAAACTCACCTCTGAAGGCAAACAATCATCGTAGTAAGGGTCTCAGAAGGCAGTGGAACTTGTACTTTCGAAACGGATTCCTCTTTACCCATTTGGGGTAGTCGGCGGTGCAAAAACTTTATGCAAGCCATCACGAACGTTTCCCCGTGCTCGTTAATTTTATCGGACAGCCATTTTTCCAATTTTAAGTACTCTCTCCTCGAAGCTAGGCACGCCAAATCAATGATGAAGGGATAAGATTGGGCAGATTGGGCGTTTAGAAGCATCGATAGGGCTTTGAGATCTTGGGCTACGTCGAGAATTCTAGACAGTCTGGTCTGGTCGCATTCTCCCCGAACGTACCATTCCGCCATCGCATGCATTATTATAGGCTTTATGTTAATGTTCTGCGTGTGCCATGCGTGGTGCAAGATAATGGCGGAGTTCGGGTGATTTCCTAAAAAAATCGGGATTAAGGTCGTAAACAATTCTTGTCGAAGTAAGGTGACTGGCGGTGCTATTTGGAGAAGGGCCAGGACCAGTACATCCGGACAACTGTGCATTGGCATCTTAAATAACTCGTGAATGTGAGTATACAGCCCGCATTCTGAAAGACTTAATAGCAGTTCGACGAGGTTCAAGGACCTCCAGTTCGCCAATTCTTTGCTATCTTGCTCGGGAGGCGTCTTGAGAGCGTCGACGGCCACGGGAGCACAGGAAAAATCGGCGAAACAGAACACATCGGGGTTTTTTAGAATATTTTGGACCAAACTGAATTGTCCTTCCACGTTCTGCCATCTTTTGTACAATTGGTCGACGGGAAAAGTGTCCGGATGAAAGCCGAATGTTTGTAGACCTTGCCTCAATGCATTCATTAACAAACACAAGCCCTGCCTGTCTTTAATGATGAATTCAGGATGATCTAATTCAGCGACGACACTATTCCATTGAAAATTAGGAACGATTTCTTTTAATGCTTGTATGAATACGTCGATGTTCCAAGTTGTTCTGGTATCTTTTCCTTTGTTGAACGAACCCGGTGCTTGGATTTGAATAGAATCTTCAAGGCCACTGTGTGTTCGGCACATAACAGCAAGGACACGTGATACAACTACGGGGGATATATCCCTTCCTCCTAGTTTTATAAGATTGCTTCGACATTCTTCGACCGAGGCGGTCAAATTATATCCTAATTCAGTCACTATATCTGCTAATGAAGTTTCTAACATTCCCCCGGATAAACCGGGGCCTTCCGATGACATTTCTGGAGATAATTCACTTTGTTCTGGGTACACTAACGGTGCGAGCACTACAGGCACTAAGTCTTTGGGGAAATCTCGTTGTAGTGTTTTCAAAAAAGTCGTATGAATCTCGTTGGTGAGACCAACTTCTTTGGGATTTTTAAGAACGGTGGACAAAATCAAATGAAGCACGTCAGGCGTTGTTTCGTGAAGGCCTCCTTCGTGTTGGCGGCTGCTCCCTTCAGTATCTATATAAGACTGAACTAAAGCGGGTACTGTGGATCTCAAGTGTGTTTGAGCTATTGTTCGAGCTTCACTATCTAACGAATGAAGTAGTGCGATAGCAAAAACAACCTCCTGGACAGCTGAGAGGCGAAGGCACTTGCTCAACTGATGGAAGAACTGAGGTCCAAGTTTATTCTGAAACATTTTTTTTTCAGGCATTAAACGACGGGGTAAACATACAAAATAACCGAATCTTACCTTATCGTTTAGAAACGGATTGTCTGTAATATAACAAAGGGCTGTTAACAATGATGGCTTGTTCAACAAACTAGAACACTGTTCTAGTAGTGCTTGATTTTGGGGTGATGGAGCTGATATTTTTGTAGTAGACTCAGAAAAGTCCACTGATGAAAACAGACATTGGAGCAAGTGACGGTCCGCCTCCAGACCATGCAAAGAAACAAGCTGTCAAAAAAATACACTGATTAAGCGAAATTTTGTCAATTAAGTCCGAAACTCGATGCATTTTTATATTTTTCTGAATTTTAATTACATTTTAACAGGATTCTAAACAAAAAACAACAGTCAAAACACCTTTGTTCATCGTTCCGTTGCTCTGTCGGTAAAAAAGTTTCCTACAACGAAATATCTGGAAAACATGGCGGATGATCTAATTTGTCATTTTTTTTTGTAATCATTCTGCAGACACGTTTACATACTACATAGATAAAATGAAATTACTTACTTTATTTAGGTCTCCAACTACTTGCTTGTAATTTTTTTTAGTTAACGTAGCAATCAAATAACTTATTTGTGACAAAGTGAAAGACAACGAGTCTAGGTTCATAGTTCCATGAACACGGCCTCGAAAGCTTCAAATACGTTTGAAGCTTTCTTAGGAATATATGTAGTTTCTATCCAAAAAGTCTTATTTGTTTTTAAAAAATAACTAAATTTTTTATGGCCCAAGACCATCATCGAGTCTTTAATGAACTTTCTCCACTTTAATTTATCACACTCATTGTAGTTATAGAACTCACGCAACACACAACACATGCACAAATAAAACTCAGGAGAACTGCGCAGATTGTCAAAACGTCATTTCTTCAATGACACAATATATGAAGCCGTTTTCACATCGTCTAACCGGTTTGCTACCAACTGCTGACCACTTTCTTTAGGTCAAAATGTTTATCATTCACGGTCGAAAACGTTAACACTAAAAAACATATCACGAAACAAACAAAATTAAGTCTTAAGTTTTGTAATTAACCCGTTAAATAATTAGCCCATAAATTTCGGAACGAACTAAAAATTAACCACCATTACGACTGACATTAGTGACGTGTGGCATTTGACAGTGACATTGACAATAAGCGAGCAAATTTTTTTCAAATTATTTTTAATTTTACGTGGTCGTTTATCGTTTTAGTGTTTGAATAATTCGAATATTTGAACTAATGTTACGTTCTGTTGTTAAAAAGCATGACAAATAATTTAAATAAATCAAATTCGGAACCTGATTTATGCATACCAGAATTTGACAATTTGTCAGTTAGTTCCGTTAGTTCTCCCAGGGATTCAAAAAGGGGTACTAGCAATAATAATCAAGCATTGCCTGTTGTAAGACGTTTTTTCTTGGAAGAAATCATATCTAACGAAAACAAGTTTGGAATAAGAAGAGTTATGTATAGTGAGACAATAGGTAAGGGTCACTAGATAAGAGCAAAACTATTGTTACTTCCACTGTTCTTAATTTAATATTTGTTAAATGTAGGTAATTATAAGAATGTCCGTTCGAGAGAAGACTACAAAACTGAAGACGTTCCTATGGAGACAGATTCTTCGATTACAGAACGTTACCCGAAGATGATAGGCATATCTAATCAACCTTCGACGAAAACAACAAAAAATCCTGATACTGATGCACTGCAAAATACTCCACGGAAGAGAAGAAGCCCTAAGAGACGGTCAAATCGAACCGAAGTACTACCTATTAATCCTGTTGTAAGGAACGATAAGACTAACAGATTGTTATTTATAATTTTTACTATAATGTCTATCGTCTCATTTTGTATATACATTAATTTCGTTGTTTTTGTAAACAGTGATATTCAAGTTGATAATATTAAAACTGATTTAATCAACAGTGTGCACGGTCATCGACCGTTAGTAGATTCGATTACTCGAGTACTAGAAACTAGGCAAAACTGGCGTGACAAACTGAAAATTATTGCATTTATTGGATCTCAAGGCGTAGGTAAAACGTACACAGCAAATTTAATCAAGATGCATTTTCCTTCAAATTTAGTGCACGAATTATACGGTAACCAATTGTATCAGAAGACTGAAAAGCAACGCATCCTTGATGGCATCAAAAATTGTTGTTTAAACTTAATTATTGTTGACGACTTGAAGCAAACGGATAGTAACAATTTGTACGATTTTATTAATTCTCTACCGAAAAACACTTTCATTTTATTCATAGCTATTTATAACATTCATTACACGCACGATGACATGAACACGATCGTTAAACACGAAGATATTGTAAAAATTCGGGATAGTTTCGATGCTTCGGGTATAATCGATTACGACTTGTTAGTATTCGAAGACTTCACGGAATTGCAAATCAAAGACTGGCTTAGAAAGCAATTAAAATCGAAAAACATTGCGATCAGAGACGAAGAAATGTTTCTCGAAAACATTTTAGACGCTCACAACGTTCAACACGGTCTCAAAGGACTACATTCCAAATTGATACTGGAACTGGAAACGCTTAGGAAATAATTGTGAAATTCATTGTAAAACTAGTGGCCAATAAAATTTTCTATTTTTTAATAAAAAATTCTTTAATTCGTACAAAACATTCCTCTACTTATAACTTACAAACGAGTAAAGCATGGCTGGTGACGATTAAGATGATTTTGATGGACGTGAACAGTACGCTAAACTAACATCTAATCTACCACAGATTTTTTGTAACAGACTTAATACTACATCGAGCTCAATTGGCTCATCTTAATCTACTTCTAATCTTCTAAAGTTGCCCGTTATGCCGTACAAGGTGGCGTCGCCTTCCGAGCCGCAGGAGGTCACGTTCCTTTTCAGAGCCGATACGGCCCCTTCTTTCGCCTTTGCACTAAACAGATCTTCATCCACTTCCATCAGGTCGTGAGACATCAATATCGGATGGGCCGCGTACAGCTCTTTCTTCCACAATTCTATAAATTACATAGAAAAAAATTGATGATGTAGAGGTGCTACAATTGTGCAATATAAAGCTTTCTGGTATTTATTAGAGAATTGGGGAGAGTGTGGAGTATCTAGCAGAAGATTAGGTGTATTCTTGAACCTGTATCAATTACCAAATAGTAGCGAAAGGTGGAGAAAAGAGCTTGGTCCAAGGAGCAAAAATTTGTAAAAGTAGCACCATATAGGAGGTTTCTTAGAAGTCTGACAACACCGGAAGCAACACCAGAAGGTTAATTTACCTATCATTTCCTTCATGGGAATTGTGCCGCCGTATTCTTTAGGTAGAACGTCGGTTTCGACGTGTCCGCTGGAGATGACGTCTTGCAGATTGCCGTACAATCGCACTCTGCTTTTGATCTTCTCCGATATCAAAGACATGCCGAAGTCGAGGGCGAATTTCATCGAAGGATGGACGGACATGCCGTGGACCTCCTTGTGTCTCATGGGCAGTGTTCTCTGAAAATTCCGAATTCACAAAATTTGTAAAATATAACAATTTGTTCGCCCCTCGTATATTATTAATTTCGTTAAATCTAATACTAATAGATTTTTAACAACAGATTTAAACACAGCAGTCATGGCCGAGCGGTTAAGGCGTCTGACTAGAAATCAGATTCCCTCTGGGAGCGTAGGTTCGAATCCTACTGACTGCGAATTTTTTTTTTTTCGTTTTAAAAATATTTTTTCGCTCACCTCCCCGTTTTTAACTATGCGCACGGCTTCCTTGATGGAGAACAACGTCAGGTAGGCGAATCCTACCCCATCCCCGTCGGCGAAGTGCACGAAACCCCTAACTTGGTTCTCTTCGTCTTCCATCAACGTTTCGTACACGATGCCGTGAATTCGACACATATCCGCGTTGGAAAAGGAATACAAGTCGAACACACCTTCGAACAAACAATTTATTAAAGTCATGCTAAAAGGGCACGTAGGGTGCCTTAAACGTGGACCTATAAGAATAAAAATGGAGATTATATGATGATATAAGAAAGAGTAGGAAAGAGAAAAAATAGAGATTTGCGAAGGGCAAAAGAGCAAGAAGAATAAGAAGATGAAAAAATCGATGATCATCAAGAAGTTAGTGGTAAATAAGGTGACAATTAAATAGTAGAAAACATGTGAAGAAGTAGACAAGAAAAAGATGAAAATAAAATAGCAAAAGAAATCAAAGAAGAATTCTAGAAGCTAAAACACTCAAGCGACAACCACAATACATGGACCTAGCTTCAGCTTTCAGCGTTCTGAAAAAAAAGTGCGGCGAACGAATTGCATTTAAATCATTCCAAAAAAACGCTCCTTACCGGGTCTGGTGACAATTACCCTTCTACCTTTGCTGTCCCTTTTGGGGCACGCGAACATGTACCCCAAATCGGTCAGCTGCTCCATCATCGGTATCGTGATGTCCAAGCAGTTAAAGGCCACACCGAACGTCTGCCGCAAGAGGATGTAGCGTTCAAGGCATTCCTGCGCTAGCGTTACGTGGTACTTCTTGAAACGCAGGAATCTCAACAAGAATTTCGCATCTGAAACGTTTCGCGCTTTACATATTCTATCCATCATCAGATCATCAGTGATCGAGTAACGTATAGGGTTATAGTATATGAAGTTGTTTTATAAGTGTTGTTTACCCATCCTGCAATTTTTGATCCGGGGATTCTGCAAGATCCATTCGCGCATGGAGGCCAGCGCTGATCGGCGACTGCTGTCGTCTTCGCGCAGCTCCTCCTCGGCGATCTTCTGGGTCTCCGGTGATAAGGTGCAGATGTAATCGTCTGGGTCGGTGACCCACTTGCGGTCAGACATTTTCTGCGAAGGAAAACGAAAGCGCGCGTCAATTGGATGGAGACGAGGGTACGAATTACTCGGGTGGATTTTTTTCGAGAAATTTGGTCTGGTGTTTGTGTAATGATTCGTGAGGATTATGGTGCGTTGCATCGATGGTCGAAATCTCGTAAAATTCAAGTAGGTCGGTAATTAATCTTAAGAATGGGTAGGTACTTGCATGCGAGTACCCATCGGAGAAAGTAAACTTTGAACAAATATCGGTATATCGGCGTTGCAATGGATAGGTTCTTGCACAATGTTCTCCTAAACAGTTACATCATCCAATTAGAGTGCAATATGCGATTGGTAAAAATGTGCATTTCAATCATAATCGCAATTACAATTGAACTTTCAACTGGGATATTAGAGGTAGACTATTGAATAACGTCGAGATGGAGATAAAAATTTATTTATTAGCCTAAAAAAGTCGATTATTTACTAATAGAAATTTAATGTATTTGCCATTTCTAGTACAAGGTCAAGATCTAAAAGAAGATTGGTAATGCGTTATATAATTTCTAATAATGACCGCAAAAGATTAAATTTGTATCTGATATTAAGAAACTCAAACGCCCAATTAAAAACCTCCGCCTTATCGAAATCGATGCCAGTAACCTCCTTATTTAATATTATTATTTCGCATTCAATAAAAACATTACGTTCTAAACACAACAAAAGATGCTGTATAAATTTAAATATTGCTACCTCTGACTTTAATCCTTTCTCTGAAGTTGTGAAACACCCTAAATAAGAAAAGTTATTATTAAAGTACCCCAGGAAATCATATCTATCAACTCTGTCCTCGTAATAGTGGATCAATCAACTGAACCAACAATAAATATAAATAAAAATGTGGGAGATTTTCTAGTGGGACATTAAAAAATTTGTAATTACTGGTTTTTGTGGTTTGAGAAATTTGTTATTCGTTCGATTAATCCGCCAAAACAGTAAAATCAATCAACTTAATTAAGTAGCCGGTGAGGTGAAAATTTAATCAAACAGATTTGGTCAAAGCGAAGAATAAACGGTAAACACTTCTTATGTAACTAAATTTTTTTATTCTAGTTTGGGATATAATGATGGAGCGTTGGATCGATAAATTATTAGAAACTGAAAGTTGAAATTATATGTCAAATTAAGTGGTAAAATATTAATAACCGAAACCCTGACCTTCTCACTTTGGTCAGTTATTCATTAGGTAAACAAAAAATTAGGTAGTTTTTTATAACTACAAAAATCAATAAAATTATTACTAAAATAAAAAAATAAATTATTCACAAAAGTAACTCGTAAAAAGAGAAAGGCAGTAAATTAAATTCCTCCGCAGGAAAGTTCGAGAGGAAAATCTGTCTTTTTTTGGTAGCTATATCACTTAATAGATTTTCGGAAAAGAATGTAATTTCAATTTCCACTCACCGGATTTTTTTGTGACAAAAATACACACAATCAGGCAAAAGCGCGAACGAGGCACTGCTCGAAAAAGAAGGAAGGAATGTATTTAACTCGAGGGGTCCCCACTCGGCGCTCCTTCTCCGTCTCCTTTCGTACCGAGCATTTGCCCAGCTCGCTTTCTCCTTCTGTTTTTTCCATTAAACCCCTACTCTGCGGTTTCCATTGTTTTTAATTTTTAATTGTTACACTGGATTAATTTGTAAATTAAAAAGTACCTAATCTCTCTATATTTTTGCTTGAGAGCTAAAAGTAATTTATAGATATTTAAATGTTTTATTTTTCAAAATTGAGGGCAGATTCACCCCTGAAAATTATAGAACTATTATGAAACATTTTGTGTAGGTATTAAAGATATCAGAGATTATTAATTATTTTTTTGCAGGAAGCGACAATGTGATTACTAATCGCAAGAAATCTACTTTCTTGTGTCATTTACACTTTTCATTTTCGCAACATTTACTAGTTTTCGATTAAACATAACGTAAACAAACTGCTAATTATTTAGTGCAGTTTTAATTTACTGTTACTCCGGTGTTATATTCCTGCATTAAGTGCTAATAAGCCTATTCTTATTAGAAATTCAATTACATAAAATTCGTCTATTTCTTTTGTAATATCAAAACCTGCATAAGTATAGACTGTAGTGGTATAGAAAATTGCTAGGAACGAGTAATGATATCGATTTAAATACCGCGGATTAAATTGTAAGTAACTATTAGTTTTTGTGCGAGATGAATGGAATTATTGGATTAAAATGCAACATTTTCTGATCGACCTAAAGCTTTGGGCTATTATGAATTACTCAAATAATTTGCGCATATTAGATAACTATTTAAAGGGAGATTCATGAATAAACTGTCAAGTTATCATTGCTATATTTAGATTGATTTTATGAAGCTGACTTTATAAATTAATAGTAGATACTACACAAAAAGGTGTTATAATTACAGAGAAAAATATATTTGGTAAATTAACATCTGTAAAGCTTATAATTTGCTATAATCTGTAAGCTATAAATGATCTAATATAGTTTACATTATGTAATAATGGCATTCACTGATTTCATTGCGTTCGATTTATCGATTAAATAACGCATAAAATTTTATTAACTGGAAATATCAAATTATTTAAATACTTTTTACGAACTATATCTAACACTTAGGTGTAAAATTATTATGCCTTATTATAGAAACATTAAAAATATTAACTATATTCTCTATTTTCTTCAAAATTTCTAAAAATTAGGAAGGTATTTATTGGCCCTTATAATACCTATTGCATACATTAACTTTTTATTGCACATTCTTCTTCAAAAACTTTTTCACACAAATACATATAAGGTAACATTTACAATAAATAAATATTTTCGAATGGATATTTAAACGCTCGTTTCCGAACTATGCTATTAAATTTACTTAATTTCCTTACAATTTGCTAGACTTTGCGCCTAGCGTTTCCCACAAAGTTTTGCAAACTGCTATTTAATCGTCTAATAAACGCAATTATCATTAATCCCAGTGTTTACGACGTTTAATTCGAGATATAAGTAGTTGTTTTCAGTAATCGAGGAACAACTAATTGCACGTGCCTAGTTATTGTTAGTAAATATTATTTCGTTAATTGAGAAAATTTCGTATAATAGAATAAAAAATTTCTCTTCTACGTAAAAAGGCTAGTTAATCGATTCACAATTACTCAACTCCACCGAAAATCATTGCAAAGGGGAATGAATGTGCCTGTAAGTACTAGTGTTTCTTGCGATTTAAGTAGAGTGCAACGCCAGTTACATAAACAGTAATTAACTAGGAATTCGTTTACCTACATAGTCATTGAATCTTATATCAGAAGCAGATTTAAAAAAATACTTTTTGCCATTGAATTGTGCGCAGAGATGATATATCTCACTAGAAAATGCAAAAATTTCTCTTTATATCGATTCCTCTTGTAACGAATTGAAGATGTTCGTAACTCTTTATAAATTTAACAAACAATTCTTTTATCAATTAATATTATAAACGATAAATGCACAATAAAACTGTGTATTAGGTATAGACGTATCTCTCGCTTAACGCAATAATTATTGTATAAGAAATTATATAACGTATTGGCACCTTTATGAGTGGTGGGCCAATGTGCGTTATTTCAAATGAATCACCTTAAAACAAGTAGGTTAATAACGACTAATAGATGGGTAATTGAAAATATTGTGCTCTGAATTCGACATTTCGCGTTAATTTTTATTTTTTTATTCGAACATTTGAATGCAATTCGATGCGAAAGTGTCCTTGTAATAGATTACATTGATGGCGTTATTATTTCTGTAAAAATTAATCGGGGAAAATATCGATTATTTCGCAATATTGCCATTTGATAATTTCGACATTGCGTGAAATTTCTCTCGATGATAATTCGGTAATTGCAGGTTGTAATTGAATTTGTGCATTTCGTTATCTTCGCTTTCTGTTTTATCCGTATTTACACTTTTTGTTAGAGGAATAAATTTACATATTTTTGCATTTTACAGATAATGATGGAATACACAGGTAGATTTTTGAACCTGCATTTGTGGATTATGTGTATAGCTTTAATGAAGGGTTTATATATTTTAGACTAGATTTTATTATTTAACAGTAGCAATAATATTTTGGACATTTGAACTTTATGAATATTAAGCAACGAAAACTGGCACGCAAAAAACGAAATGTAAACCGAGCGGCAGCGTTCAAGATCACTCGGCGTCCATAAAAACAAAATTATACAATTCGGTGTTTGAATGGCCGAAAAATAGACCGATAACGTATAATGAAACATGCTGTACAACTCTGTTATATAACGAGAAACTTTCACTGCTGATCAGACGCTCGCCGGCGCGTTGTGTCCTTTCGATGTTGAGCAAATGAAATCATTAACGTAACGTGCTGTGAGACAAAAGATAAACCATTATTATATGATTGCTTTGTTTCGACTTTGAATAAAAATTGTAACGAATTTTGTAAATATATTGCATCACTCTGAAGCATTATTTATTTAAAGGTCCAATCGTAATGGACTATTATAGAAGGATTGTCCTCTTATAAACCCAGTTTCTCTTCCAGCGCGTTCCTTTATTCCTCCAATTATTCCTTTTTTAAACAGAAATGTGCAACATGAACACCCATGCTTTCTATTGCTTCACACTCCAATTAAAACTCAAAAACAACTACTACTATTCTTATTGTTAATAAAAACCAATAACTGATGCATTTATAAAACTTTATTTACTGTTTGACCCAACCTACAAGATAATTTAACTTAAAATTAAATCGTTATTCCAGAGTAGTTTATTTGCATTCCTCGTGATAAGGCTCCAAACTTCTGAAATCCCTCCATGTTGGTGGTAAATTCGAATTCAAATGGTTCCCGCATCTTTTGCAAGGGGCGCTGAAGAGGGTTATGTAGCTGTGGAACCAATGCTGTAAATATAAACGTTACATTTTATTTTCTCTTATTTTACGAATATATTAAATACCATAAACGAACGAACGGCCAATTCGGGCATCAAAGGAGAATGAAAATGGCACATGGCGGCGTGGCAATTCTCCGTAATCCTCTTGAACACCCTGTATCTGGATTCTGTCCAAAGATCGTTCGATTCCGCGTGGGCTTTAACGACCACCCATTCAATCATAAGCCCTTTAAAAGCGATGATGGCTTTCAAAACTCTCCCTAAAGACACCTAAAATAAATTAACTTCTTATATACCACTGGGAACGATTATTAATAGTACGTTACTTGAATTATAGGATTTGGTACTAAAGGTCTGTTGGGGGTGAAAGTTACATCGGGGAATAACCTATCGATGCTCGAAATTAAATTCTCAATAACCCTAAAACAATGTAACATATTAGCATTATACGATAGATTATTAGTAAATAAACTAACTCCGGGGCAACATTGTGATTGCTTGTAGTTGTTTTCCTTCGCTTAGCAGTACTGTAAGTTTTGTAAGTCTTGTTAAAGGAATTGGCTGCTAGGATGTTACCGGCTACTGCACTATATTCTCGTATCTACAAAAATACACCTGTTTAGTTAATTTTTCAACACAACTAATTTAACAATCGTACTTTATCAGTCCATTTATAACTATTAACCAACTGTCCGTACAATGCTTGCCTTTCTTGGGTAGTTTCTTGGCTCAAATAGGTGGTGTTGCCTAAACTAAAAGGACCCGCTTGAGGAGTTAGATTGGCTACAGCATTTTCAACATCCCTAAAATAATCATTTATTTATATAAATATAACAGGGATTTAGTATTAAACTCTAACCTCAGGTTGTTGTTAACTGTAGTTAAAAGTTCTTGAAGCTCGTAAATGAATTTGGTTTCTTTGCCTTCATCGCCGTGGTCTGCTCTTAAACCATTGCTGACTGATTCGAATACACTTCTAACGTTAGATCTCAATACTTTTATAGCATTTAATGCCGCGTTTAGTTGTTCTATATCCCTTTCCATTGCAATTTTTATCTCATTATTTAAAATGGGGTTGTTTGGGATATGTGAGGTTCACTTAATTGCAACGAAATTGTAACCTTAAATGTCGGTTTTTTATTTAAACTGTCTTGAATGGTTTCCAATGTTTCAACAATTAAACTGAAAGAAGAAAGTAATTAATTTTAGGAGAAATTCTAAGTTTTTATTTGCAATTTGCAACGCTTATTTATTTACACTTTTGACAGCTCAGGTTTTGGTTCTTCTACTTTTTTTTTAAATGATTTGGCAATGATTGACATATGGTCTCTTTCTGTTGTGGCCAAATTTATTTACTCCTTTCAAAGAAAATATTTAATATGAATATACGAAAAAGCCAGAAAATACAAAGATGCGGTATTTGAAAAGCTTTTTTAGTTCAGGAATTATAAAAAGGAAGTCTTCTTCTTCTTTTCTCCCTCCTGACACTGGCTGGGTGATGCTTTCGGTCGAGACCAGTTTCTCTTTTCCATGTATATCGCAATAGGTAAAGACCAAATTCACTTGACAGTGACAGCGACTGTCTAAATAAATAGAATTTTGAATTTTGAAAAATGTAATGCGTGCATTTAAAAATAATAAATGTACAGTATGTATACTATTATTTATGGTAATAAGAAAATAAAACGCAGAAGTATAGAGATAGAATCTTATTGCGTTCAGGAAACTTTACATACTTCGTAATTTTCATAATTTAATAACATAATTCTAACCTAATATATTCTCAGGAATCAGGCAACAGTTTCGCATTTATCCATCGTCATTATCAGTGTGTAATTTGCATATATTTTTGGATATAAACTTCACTTCGACCGAAACAATTCTAAAAAACGGAAATGAAATCGATTCGATTTACACAAATATACCGAAACGTTTTTGGAGAGGAACGTAATCCGTACTCTCTGGAAAAATTTTGAAATACCTACTTACAATAACATAACGAGTTTTTTTCGTTTCTAATCGCACGGAACCCTGTAATACAGTCCACGCTTTTTTATAATTTACGCTTTTCTTGAGTTTCAAAGTGCGTTAAAATAAAAACGATTATTGTATTTATTGAATCTGATTATTCGTTAATAAACTATTTATTACTTCCTTACATTGAAGCATTTCTAGCTGTATTACAACGTTCCATTTCTACGAAAAAAAAAGTGTGAATAGTTATCTAAATCTATCAGACATTCGTCCTTATTCTCAAAAACGATTTTAACATAACAGAAAACGATCAACACTTCATTCCTTTGTTTAATATTATTATGATTATTATTTAATATGTAACAATATTTACATTTAGAATAATCATCGCTCCCTATCGAAGCGTTTTGCTATCTGTTATGTACTGAATTATTTTGAACCGGGATAAAAAAAACGAAAGCATATTTTGATTTAATTAGTACTCTAGTCATAGAAATGAATTAGTACTTTTCTATTCTTTAATAATTATGCAATATCCATATTGTAACGGGATATGCAGCCGCCAGATTTTGGTAGCTTTATCTAATTGACTTAAATCATGGACACCTTGCTCAGGTAGATTTTCTTGTAGAAAAAACGAAATAATTATCAGATCGTAATGTTCAAATTTTGTTCCGGGTTTAGCAATATAATCGATTACATACAGATAACAAAGCTATGGAGCGTCCTTATTATAATAATACATTCTCCCAAGTTCTTTTTCGATATACTGATTATTTTTTTTATAATTAGGTATCGTATGAGTTCAACGAATAATCTATCTACTCAGATCTATGTTGAATGTCTAGAAACTAGATGTTTTTTTTATTTAGTATCATACCAATAATTCAACTGAATTGGTGTTTAGCTAAATTGAAAATATAATATATAGAATTGGAATAGGTAACAAGGAAGGCGTAATTTTAAAATTTTTTAGTTTCAATACGTTCGTTGTATGGACGTCTTTAAGAAAAATGAATCACAAAATAATGTGGCTATTCTTGCCTTAACTAATACCTATAAAATAAATGGTGATTTTTGTTTGATTCATTTGCTAATTATTTTTTACGAAAATATAAAAAAACGAAAGTACACGTTATTCAATTGAACAATTACGCCTGCCAAATTGTATGTATCGAAGTGATTTATTTAGTGATTTCAAATGAATATTTTCGTCATTTTTTATTCATTTAAAAAAATTCGAAAAGTACTAAGCAATAGACGCATCGTGTTATTTACAATTATTATTACAAAATATGTGTTAGAATTAGTTGTGGAGACGTCATCACCCAAAAATTCTTTGAGCTAATTTTTTTTCTTATTTGTTTAAATATCGCTATATAAAAAACAAACAATTGTACCCATAAATTTTAGAATTAATCGTGGCTTTTTGGAGAATTTGCAAAGTCTTTTTTCACGTGTAAACAGTGTGGTAATATTTTTAAAATTAAATTTAATTTGCCTTACTGACAGGTAATGTAAATATTAGTTGATATTTCAGTGTAAAAAATTTAGGAATTTTAAACGTAAAAGTCAATCATTCATTTCGCTACAGCTTTGCAAACCTCATCCGTTTTTTTTGTGAATATTACGAACAATTTCAAAGCAAAATATTTCATAAAGTTTTATCCTATTCGCGTTTAATTATATATTTCGATTTATTGAATAGTTCGTTTGATTTGTGTTAACACTATTTTGTTTGCTTTTTTTTGTTATTGAAGAGTCACTAGGATGTCTCTCGCGGTGGGAACTTCCATTTTTCTCTAACGTCACTTCCGGCATCGGAACTGTGAAAATTAGCGAACAGTTACGAAAGAATTCATTAGAGATATATAAAATCAATTCGGGGATTTTTAATCGCCCGTATGAAAAGTACAAATTAAACTATCGATTAACTGTGAACTACTTTTTTCACTTTTGATTCAGGCGATTAAAAATAGGCAGTATGTATCTCTAATCACTTTGATTTTTTTATATTATAATGGAAGGTTTATTATATATAACAGTTAAATCACGGAGGTTATAATGAGGAAGGTCTAATAAATATTTTTGGCATTAGAAATAGGCACCTGTTAGATTAAATTTAAATTTTTAAGTAAATCGAAATTAACGTTAAATATAATCAGAATACATTTTCATATTTTTGAATATACTTCTCAAATGAATAAGTAATTATCATTTAAATACTTAATGACTCGCCCTTATTACAACACCGCCGTGTTTCGTATTAAAAAATTAAGAAACAATTAACAGTTTTTTATAGTGAAAAATCTTATTAATATTAATATATTGCGTATTTTTTACAGTTCTGATATATTAGAAATCTTACAGTGAATAATAAAAATGGTGGCCGCACTATTTAAAAATTGAGCACCTGTTCACCAGTCACGAAATTTTCGAACGAAAAATCGAAAAAATTATAAAAAAAGTTTCTATTCGATTTTCTAATTACACAATCCCCTAAGTATCGAAATGGATTCTTTCCAATAACTCGAACGAACTTATTTTTTTTTAAATCTAATTTCATGATAATTTATAATAATAATAATAATAGATAGGAATTCTGCAATAAATTAAGTAATTCCGTTCTTATAACAATAATTTTATTCATCACCTTTTAACGTTATTTTTCAAATAAAAATATCTTACTTTGGAAGAACCGATTTCAAATCACATTAATCAAAGTCAATTTATCGCTGGAGAATCAGCAGTGTTATAATCAAACGAATTCCTAAAGGAAAAATTGGCTCGTCGATGGAAAGAAAACATTCTTATTTTATTAACAGAAACATCACATATGCTTTCTATACAAAAATGTAATAATTAAGTCGATTTTACAATTTATTTTATTCAAATGTTATACCCATATTCCCTCGTACGAGATGCTCGGGCTGGCAGTGGGACAATTTAGAATATAAACCACGACATACGAGAAAATATGATATTTTATTTTTGCCGAATCGGTTTTCATTATCAACTCCCTTCTTGTGGGAAAAAAATCGCACTGAATTTTAGTAATTGGGAGTTTACTAGTGAAAAAAAAATTACGAAACTTATTATAGTGATTGTAAACAATAGAAGTGTGAAAAATAATCATACTGCATTATTAATGAAACAATTTCGTTGATAAATTTTTAATCACCCAGTATAAAAGAGGGTTTAATCCAAAACCGATTCGACAACGAATTATTATTATCTAATAAACATTGTTTAAAATTATTTTAAACAATGAGTTGCGTGTGGTATTGCGAGAGCGTGCTTCTAAAAAATATATATACACGATCACGGCACAATATTTTCGAAAACGACGTAGTTTTAACGTTTTTTTTATTACTATTCCACGCATGCACTTACAAAAAATCCTCTGGTGCGATTCCGCGATTGATATTTTTCGATTTGAATCGGTGTTTGTATAGGCAAATACCAAAGTAGCACATGCAACTTTCAGCTGATTTTTTTTATTTACATTAGAAATAGAAATGTATCTACTGGAGTATATCAGAAAACAGTAACTACGATTCTACGAAATAAATAATTAAAATAAAAGGATGTTGTAGGTGCATGCCTTTAGTAGTATAAAGTTGTATAATTCAATCATCAAATTCATGTGCAATATTTTCTTCTAACGAATAGAAGTGGGTGTATATCGTAATTTTAGGGATAGGGGCAGTTTATTCGACTTTGAAAAGTTTATAAACGATGTCCAGTCGAGAGATTAACGAAAAGTTAATTAGTTTTAGTCCTCGAAACTACTTAATTGTATGTTTTTTTTAATTATAGAATCTATGTTAGTTACAAAATAATTTTCTCTCGGCTGAAGCGTATAAGCATAATCTTCGGGCCACCTTATTTCATTTGGTTTGTTTCGTTTAGAAAATAGTTTTTTGACGGCACTGGCGGCAAATTCACTTCAATTTTTAATCGGATAACTGAGCATTTTAAGGCCATCTTTAATTCTTGAAGCATAGAGTTTTTTTTTTGAACCCACAGAATCGTCATTGTCACTTCATTTAAACGGCAGTAAACTCATCCCTACAACCGCCCCTCGACCCAAAACCGAACCTTACATAATCCAACTCGTAAATTACGTCGCCAAAAAACTCTTAATAGTTAAATATATAATTGACAAATCTTCAAATAGGATATTCGTCGCGCTGCATCCGAAATAATCTACAAGTCGCCCCCTCGCCTCGACCGCCCCCCCCCCGGGGCCGGGATCGTTGCAGGGATGAGCGCATCCGACCGCCGAGTCACTGGTGCGCGAAATCGTCACAAGCGCGCCCGCGCGGCCCCTCGAAGCTGCGCCGCAGGAACGAGGCGCAGGCCCTGCCGCGCTGCGCTATCATCTCCACCAGGTGGTCTTCGAGCACCAGCAGCGGCGTCATCGGCAGGCTGAACGTGGCGGCGATGTTGAAGCTGTCCCATTGTCAAACGGCGCTGTTCGGGTAGCGCGGCGGCGGCAGCGGCGGCGGCGGGCGGCCGCCGGCGGCGTCGCCGGCGCGGGACGATCGGTCCGAACCTGCTGTAGTTGGAAGGAGAGGTACAGAAATATTAGGCGGGTACCGGCGGTTTCCGATGGGTTAGACAGTGATCCTGAATGGCTATGTTCGCAGCATGAGGTGTGGTAAATTTGAGAATATAAATTTCATTCTTGCTGAGACAATAGCTATTCGCAATTAAATTGGGTAGTTTTTGGACTGGATTTAATCCAAATCTTTCATTCTTGCTATATTAAGAGGTTTACCTATCCCATGCATCTTACCTTATAGTAAAAAAATCTTAAATATCTAATTAAAAAAACGGTAGTGTTTGACTAAAATTGTAGGTATATAAATTTGGTTGTTTGTTATGTAATCATGGTTAATATAGCGATGTGCTAGTTGTGGAGGCATCGGTGCAGGTTGAGTATTGATTATTTTTCAGTGCATTTTTTTTGGTATATACAGTGTGTCTAAATGTGCCTTTTTCCAATGTTAAATTTGACCGTTTGGTATACCTGGTACAGTGGCGTATGCTGAATGTCTTCTAAAATTATATGTTGTTTGGAACATTGGTCTCTCAAATGGATTTGGAACTAATAAAATAATAACAAAATAATATAATTTAAGAAATTCTACGATGTGGCTTTGTTAATGAACCTACTTGGCTAATATTTCGGGGAGTTGATAATTTGAGTTAAAACTTAATTGAATTCGTGATTAAAAAATTAATTGAAATTGAAATAATTACCGTTTTAAAATAAGTAGCTACCGAAACTTGCATCATGCAGAGCTCATCGCTAAATTAAATTAAAAATTGCAAAAATTATTTTAAAATTATATCGAATTAAGAGACACAAAGCCTTTGGTCGTTATGAATCTTTTTTGCTACAAAAATAGAATAGTAATAGTTTTCAGTAAAAGCGTAGACGATGCTGCTAGAAACTCTAACAGAATTTATTAGAGCAGAGAAATTTAATGAAACTGGCATAAAGTAAAATCCCGGATATTTTTTCAACAACTCAAATACAAAAAACGACGACCTAAAATGCAAAATTAAACAACGACAAACCACAAAATACATTCCCTAAACCGAATTCACTCGGCCCATTTCATAAACCCTTACATGAGTCGTGTTGAGTTTTTTCCTCTGCCACAACCAATCCGGCCTGCTCCGTCACTGGCAGGTGCTGGTCGAATGCGTTAACGCAGTTCAACATGCTCCTGGAAAACAAGTCTGTCAGGATCCTTTCAAATTGCCAGCTAACGTAAATTTTTCCAGCGAGTAACGAGGCATTGAACAAACGAAGCTTCGCACTCGCCACAAATTACCCTGATTTGTAGAGAAGCTTAAGTTGTTCAATTCTTCGCGAGCGGATATTGCCCAATGCAATTCTTAAATTTATCGTTGCATTAGTTTGAATTAATTACGTTAACTTACATTTTCGACTTATAAAATACAGTGCAACAGCGGTGTGTTGGTGATTTACATTGGCAGAAATAGATATTTCACAATAAACTAAATAGAACAATGTGTATAAAATAAGCTTTTATTCAACGAAAAAAAAAGAATAACGTATAAAATCATATTATTGGATGATTCGGGTTAAACCATATATGGGGATACAATCCTGCTTGTTAAACAGAATTTAATTATTTCAAATTATTTCGTCGACTTAGGTGTGTATATCCTAAAATAATTCCTCATATGCCGGCTTATAGTTTTTCTAATTTTTCTACCTCTTCGTATGTAGGGGGGTCATATGTGGGGGGCGCTTCATCTGCGGTGCTAAAATTACAACAACAAACAAAAAAAAATGTAAAGAAAATAATATAACTTCAAATAAACATGATTAGTGTTGTTAGTATTATTTGATTCCATAACATTACCTAGAGGATATTCTGAGGGTTTAAAAAGTACCGGTAGTATTTCGAGCGATAGAAGTAAATAAATTTATTTTAGGATATAAAACCAGTTCGTCCCCTATAACACAAACAACAACGTCCGTTTTCTAATCATTCGTTCGAACGGTACTCGTCGATTATCGAAAAAAAACGTCCATAGAGATTTAAAAGCAAACACCCACCGTCAAGGCCGGGGCTCCGGGTCCGCCGTGGGCCAGGTCCAGGAGAGCGCGGTGAGAGGAGCCGGGGAGTGAGGGCGCTCCAGCGAGGAGGGCGACGGTCGCTTCCACCCTCCCGCGTGGCCGGCTCGTTGCGACGACCCTGGTTGCTTGTCACATTGCCCCCTTTGTCTACGGCACACACGCGACCGCGTTGCTTTACGTGGGTATGTGATTTTCGTTTTTTAGACTTTCATATTCGATTTCATTGCTTGGTTTTTTTTTTGAATCAACGTTTTACGAGAGAATCAAACACGTGTCACGTCGCGTCACGTGACGACGCGACAAGCTGGCCCGAAGACTGTCTTGGAGCAACGGTCAGCGAACACATCTAACTCTTATCCATGAATGAGATTCTCCCCACGACTTCCCCGATTAATTATCTTGTGATTGTAGGCAAAGTTAGCTAGATACATGCGCGAAGTTAAGCCCCTATTAAAATCCAATTTAGAGCCCCAAAAATTACAGGAAACTAACAATTTTTTTCCTTACTTATTGGCCAATAAACCGACCAGCCCAATTTAGGCTAACCTTGCCACAATAGCGGAGTTTATAGGTAACGACCTCATTCATGGAAAATCCATTGTCCATGCACAGCTACTTTTTGTTTTGTTCAAGAGAAAAAACGCACGCTGAACCCGGCCCGGCGGATGTTTAGCGAGTTTCGAACTCAAAAAAAATATAAATAAATAAATCGATAAATCGGCTTTCCTTAGAGATCGACATTTGCGATGTGAAATTGAATGAAAATGTTCCCGTGCAGCTTTTCGAATCGACGACAACGAGTCGATTGCAATAAACAAAAGTCGTTCATTCATGGCGATTCCGTTTTTATTTTTATTTTTTTCGCTTGGCGAGAGAGTTTTGCTCGGTTTGCAAAAGCTGCAGGGGCTCGTTGATTGGAAACCCGCAATTAAGGAAACGGGGAAAAAGAGATCATGCGTGAATTCGTGAATTGGATCGTGTTAGTTAATATGTTAATATGTAACCGAGTTTCTTAATGATGATTAAGTGCACGAGATGTATCGTTTTATACGAGAGTCATTGGATGTTTTCTTAGAAGAATTAAATGGATTTAGAGAGATGTTGTTATTGCAGCAAATATCTTACAGCTCTCGTATGTTTGTACTGTTTGTTCTCGATTAACATTATTTAATAATAATTGGCTCTAATTTCTCTGGGTACATAATCGAAAGTCGATTTACGTAACAATCCGTGAATGTTCTAAAATGATAATAAAAATCAGCGCGAATAAATCTCGTGTGTATATGGTATGTGTGTCGACGTGTGGGAGAACGAAGCGAATAATGAAGAAATTGGAAGTTTTAATATAACGTGCTTCATGCATTATACTTTGTTTTACTTCTTTTAATTTACACATGCGGTAAACTCACCCGTACAGTCGGCTATCTCGAAAACTAACCCTAATTAAAAATGCTCATTAATACGAAAATTTAGAAAAAGGTAGATCGAAATAAGTAGGTAATTTACAATGGAATCAAATTATTATTTAAAAAAAATTACCTTCCATTTCCTTGCCTAAATAAGGCGGCTATTTCTTCGAATGTTTTATTTTTCGTTTCTGGAACCTTTTTGTACGTGAATATCCAGAAAATGGCTAGGAAGACGCTGAACGGCAGGAAGGTGTAGTTGTCTAGTGCGTTCTAAAACCAAAAAAAAAATAATTCTATTACGAAAAATCGTAGTAATTAATAGAAGGAAACCTATGCAGGTAAAACTGCAACAAAAATTATTACATAATATTCGAAAATTCAACGGTTAATTACACCTTCGGCCATTTGAAAGTTAAGAGATTTAATCTTCGTCAATAATTAAACGGTTTGTCGAACAATTACGGCGCGACGCCGGCCGGAGTCGTAAATCCCGATTAATATTTTCCTGTTTTTCTGCTCGAAATTTCTCACTCGAACGGTTCCCGAACGCCGTGCGCAACGGAATCGACTGGCACATACGCGAAGAGGAAACGAGGAAAAATTTGTGCAACAATCGGCCGTTACGCGTACGAATCGCGATCTTTGTGATATCGCAAGAAAGCATGAAATCCGATTCCGCAATCGCTTCTTAACAATAATATCGTTAGCGTCGATATGGAATTCATTTTTTTGAGATATTTTCGATGTAGATGCCTTCTTTGTACTAAAATAATTGGTGATACTAAGAGGTTTTTTTATATGTCTAGTGTAGTTCATTTGCAATGTAATAAAGTAGGTTGTATATTGAACTGAATTGAATTTAAATTGCGGCGTTGTACATAATGAAATATTGCATGGTTAATTAGTGCGGCATTTAATAAATAATTTGTGTATGTAATTGTTATTGAACGGGTCCAATATTGCGAACGCAAGTCGGAGAAACTAATATGTCAACATTATTGAAATTTCATTTAAATAATTTATTCGAAATTCGTATATATAAATAAATCCGATGTAATTGGTGTTAACGATTTTTGCGACTAGATAAGGCCCTTTCACAAAAATATCTCACTTTACTAGTATATATTGGGAGGGTTGCCGCCAATAGTTCGTCAGTTGCTGCGTAGTACCAGATCCTAGAACAACGAACACTCCATAATTGCCATAATGCACACCTTCTTCGTAAGTAACACCACAATATTCAACAATAAACCGATTCAACGAATCACTTTACGCAGATTCTCTTTTCTCTCGCCGTCCTCACCTCGGCCGCCCCGCAATACGGAGGCGGCTCCGCCGGCGGCCTCTCCGGCCACCACCAGCCCCTCGATCACCACATCTACGGGCTGAGCGGCGGCGAAGAGCACGAAGAGGAGGAGGAGAAGCACGAGGAGCACCACGGCTACGAGGAGCACAAGGACGAGCACAAGGAAGAGCATCACGGCCATTCGCTCGGCTTCACCGGATCCAATTTCAAGACTCCCGTGGACGTGCACCACGAGAAAGAGATTCATTTGAAGGTGAGCAGATTGATGATACAGTCGAAATAATTGAGAGAGATGCTGATCGAGAAGAGAAAATTCGATATGCTTCGAGTTTATTAAGAAGTTCCGTTATCTTCATTAATATTTGCGAACTTATAAGGTGTTAAACGTCTTCTTACTTCCTGAATTTCGGAGTTCGATAAATATTAATGCGGCGTTCGTTGCGATTTTAATGCATTTAAATGAATTCCGTTACATGCAGGAATTCCGGATTGCAATTCGAATCGGTTATGACCGAAATATCAATTTTTAATTATCTTAATTAAAGCGATTTCACCGCGGCGAGGTGAACAATTCGCATTTGCCTATTCGATAATAACGATCGATTTTTCTCGGCAAAAAATCGATACTTTCACTCACCCGCGCCGGTGCGTTTTATTTATTTTTTAACCGACAGTCGATAATTAGCGTAATCAATTAACTTAGATTGCTTTTGGATTTAGATAGTAATGCTCTTTCCTGGCGGTTTAATGAGACATAAAATATAATTAGATTACATCCAACATGTTTTAGAAGACCGGAGAGAAATAATCTTTTTTTTGTTACTTCGCATAATATAGGCAAAGCCTGAATACCATTACGACTACCACGTAGCTGACCATAAGCACAAGGATTACAAGAGCAAACACGAGACCAGGGACGGGTACAAAGTAAAAGGAACTTACAGCTTATTGGAGCCCGACCACAAGACCATCAGGGTGGTTGACTACGTTTCCGATAAGAAGCTCGGTTTCATCGCCAAAGTATCGTACAAGAAACACCACTAAATCGAAAACAGCGGAACAATTTACCCGTCCTGCCAACCCGTTGAATTGTTATATGTTATTTTTGTTATGTTATTTGTGTAGATAATGTTGTTAGCGTTGATGTGTTTTATTGCGAAAAAAATACTTAATAAATTATAATTATTGTACTATTGAGTTTTTAATGCGTCTATAACATGCGGCTTTAAGGCACCGATAGGTGTACAAAATTGGCCTGTTCAAGAAGAATTTTGGACACTTCAATGAATATTTTTTAACTCTTTCGGGCAGTTATGACGAAAAATATAGAAATGCTTTAAGGTATATTTCACGTCAATTAGCGCAGTACTAGTAAAACTATTTGCTATACGAGCATGTTATACATACAGTGAACCATTTAGAACCTTATTGGTACATACTTTACTGCTGCAGATAAGTATCTTGTGTTCAGCGAGCATGTAATTTACAATTTACCGACGTTTGCCGGTAAACTTTTACTTTCTCGTTAAATGATCCGTCCAAAACAAAATGGTCCGTATGTTAAATGATTCGCGATTGAATATATACAAAAATTGGTGATTTTATTAAATAGATTCTCGTAGAGATTGATTTACATTTGCTACAGGCTACAGGTGCAGTTTCACAATTACATTGCATTAAAATATATGACAATTGTAAAAGTTAAAGAAGAAATATATTTAAAAAAAGTAAGAAATGTTTCTAAAGACTTTTCATCTAATTTCTCAGTGCATAATCTTTCACTCAGCACTTATACAAACCTCATATACATTTACCAATTGAAAACGAATGTTGAAATTTGGAATTTTTGGAATTGCCTCAACGCTCCACATGTGCACCGAGCAGAAGGAAAAAAAAACAAAAACTAAGGAAGTGAGCGTTTGGCAAGACAAAGTCGCGAAAAAATCCGGCCGGCTCAGAGGCCGATTGCGCGAAATCGCATCGAGGACTAACAAACGGGCTTTTCGAAAGGTTATCATTAGCGTCGTTTGATTTAAAGCGATCTCGTTGGGCAATATTCGGTGCGGCATATTTTCTCTCATTATGGTAATGCACACATGCGATGTATTAGCGTATATCACTCGACCATAATAATATAATAATGGAATCGATAAACGCTTTCAGAATATCTGCATAAGTTAACAGCGCTATTATGATTAATAATTAAAATTGGTCTGTTAACGCAAGGTAATTAAGGTTGATTAAAGTTTGAATTGCACTGAACTATAAAAATTCTCCTGCTACGTGGAAACGGTTTATTATACAAACAGTTTACAAGCATAAAATGTTGCCTCGATACACTTAGTAGAAATATTAAAATTACAACTCAGAAACTCAGTGCATATGAAATTTTCAGTTATGCAAATTGGACTGCCCTAAGAAGTGAGATCAATAAAATACTTATTGATTTTGTAAAAAATAACCGCCTCGACAACCGCATTGGATACAAACACTTCTAATAACCTCAACGATTTTCTTAAACATGCACCTATGTAATGCATATAATTCTTGCATGGATGATGGATTGATATGCGACGGTTTCGCGAAAATTCCATTTACTATCTCGGCGCCCAAGGGCTCTATAGTGTACAAAAAACACGCTCATTAGCTAGTAAACTAGCTGTTGGAACGAAACCAGAAACCAGTCTGCCTTTGAAGTCACGTCAGCCAGTAGCCGATTGGATTATTCTTTGAGGGTCAAGTTCAACAACGTGAGTAGATATTCCAATTTCCTTATATTATTTGAATAAGGCATTTCGTTATATTATATTACCGAAAATACGCTGATTAACGATTTAAATAATTGTAATTTTTTTTGTAAATTTAAACAGTTTTGTTGGGCAATAAATTAGGTAAAACTAGATTGATTTCGGCACGTAACGTGCTCTCATTGTCAGCACAAAATGTAACTGTTAATCAACAAATTACTTTCAGGGTCAGTTAGATTTAAATATTTTAAAGTAAGTTGTCCGGAATTAACGTTTTGGCGCGTATTCAATTCGTGTTAAACGCTCGTTAGTGATGGATTATTAGAAATAAACCATTGTCATTAAAGTGTAGTTAAACTGGAAAATTTGGTTAGTTGAGTGTTTGTCTTACTGGGCAATATCGAGTGTTTAATGTAGGTAGAATTGCTTTAATGTATTTGACATTCGAATTAGCATGCGGTCGTTTTTTAGTTTTTAAATAAAACCTCATTTATTTACTTTGTATAGTGAATCCAATACGACACATCGTTTACACAACACACCTAGATAATAATTGTTTATGGCATCTTGTTCAAACAATGCGAAATGTTATAACTTTTCATGTTTAAAGTGTTTATTTGTTCACTGATAGCGTATAGGATAAATTCAATTTGTTTAAATATAACTAGGTACATAAACACATAGCATGTATGAGTATTTGTTATTACCTGCATACAACTCTGACACAATAAATTGGCGCACAAGCGTGTTTTTTGAGCAGAAAAATTGTAAGTATTTAATTAATCGTCATTTTATGATTATATTACTTCTCTAAGACCTTGTAATGATTAATAATGTCGGTTTTAAAATTTAAGATATTCATTGAACCAAACTTATGTTAATAGAAAAAAAAATCCCACACAATTAATTCATGATAATCTCTTTTTTTAATAAATATTCCGCGGTTCGTTGTTAGTATTGCAAAGTGTTCGAAAATCTATTCTCGTCCTTCACAGTCGTTCACATTTAAAATCAACGATACGGTTCATGCATTTACTTGTTGTATAATCATCCAAACTATTGTTGTTATGTGCGTTTCCATTGCGTAATAATTTGTTTACTGACAAACTGGACTAAATAATGGGCTCATCAAATTCGTAAGTGTATTCTTTTAATAGATTTTTCTTTTCAAAGGCGATTATACGAGCATAATTTTTAGTATTTGTGAAAATGCGCTGTGAAATAGTTCCTTAGAAAAATGTTTTATGGCAGTGGTTTTATAGGTATATAAAATTGTTGTGAAATAAAAAACTTAATTCCACATGGTTCACAACCTAAAAATTGCGTATAAAAATATTTCTCGTTCTATATTTGGCTACTACTAATATTTGAAGTATTCGATTTTGGTATATCAAGGCTAGGAATTGAATGTGATACAATTTCTAGAGTATTTTTCGTAAAAATAATTCTCTACTCATTTTAATCAACAAAATTTCAAAAAAATTGTTTAAGAAAATTGTTGAAATTCTAATTATTGTGTTGCCAGAGCCACTCGCAAGACCATGAGCGACCAACGAGGCGAAACCCCTCCGGAAAACACCAACGAAAATCCACAGGAGGGAGCTCAAGATGTTTCCGACGAGAGCCAGAAGCCCCACAGAAGGGGCAAGCGGTCTTTGATCGACGTGCCTGCCCCTCGGGGCCCCGATGGCGAAGAAATCGAAGAGTTTTGAATGTTATTTCATAGGCGTTAAGAATTTTTTTATTGGATAATTACTATAATTTTGTACGTGTTAATTTATTGTTAATGCTTCTATCGTAGCTGTTAAGATTCAATGTATCGGAAAATTTAATTGGTATGAGAATAAACGAATATTAATTAAGAATATAGCGGCATCTAGCGCTTTTTAGCTTTAGTAGTAAGAAAATACTTCTTTAATCCTTTAATAACTTTATCATTTACTTAGTCATATTATTGCTCTATCACGTTTATTAAAAGCTTTAGAGATGAATAATCTTTACTTTAACAAAATTCTAATAACTCTATAAATATCTAAAGTAAAGAACAATGATCACGAGTACCTAATTGCGTTCATTAGAAACTCCTACACAAATCCTAGTTACTCAAAATTACCCAAACATTGTAAACATAAAAGTTTAATAGACCTACCATTAAAATTACTTTGAAAAACCGTTTACATGCATGATTTCTGTAATAACCCAGTCATTCCTCGAACATCAATTAGCACCTTTGGTACGGATTTTACAATCAAGCATCGTTGAATAAAACAGGACAATCGATCGAAGAATTTATCATTCTAATAACCGATTGCTAGAGTAATTGAACATGGATTCTTCTACCAAAAGTAAAAGTAAACACAACGGGATTGAAGTTAGTAAAGTGAATAAAGAAGGTGACAATAAATCGAAGAGAACGAGAACCAAACGTGATATTTTGCAACCGCCTCCAAGAATAAACGTCGGGCCCGATGGTAAAGAAGAAGAACCATTTTAAGTGAGTGCATTAGATAAATTTCAACGCGGACTTTCAGCTAATTGACTGACAATGAGAATTCCAACGCGTTCTACTTAACAAGTGCATCACGGTGAAGGATATTTTATTTACGTGGAATTTCACACTAAAATTCCGCGACAATATTTGCCTAAGTTTCTGCCTGTTTGATCACCGTATCTTATCATCGTTATAATTAGTAACAAAACTGAGTCATAAAAATTATCACACGGTATAAAGATGTATAGTTAAACCATGTAGATTAATATTACACATCAGATCGATAAGTCGAGTCTACCGGGCGGATTAATCAACAATGGGCAACACGCAGAAGAAGAGCTACAACTTGGAAGTTACGCCTGGTGCCCAGAGGACGACGTTGCCCACCAGCGTGGATAGCAAGCAAAGTGAAAAACCCGCTGTGAAAGTTAACAATGAAGCGCTAGAGGTCACCGGAGTCGAGGAGGACCAGAAACTCAAAACCGTCGTCGACGGTCCTGCGAGGACTAATAATAGTGTCGAAGGGTAAAAACCATACGGCATACGTTAGAATAATTTTTATACTAAAATATAATCTACTCAATGTTGCTTTATATTTATTTTCTGATTAAGTATTAATAGATTTTAAGTGCGGTAGGATTAAGCGTTGGAAATGTATTTATTTGCAACTTGCGAGCGTTTCAAAAACTTGTGATCAACAACATATTTTGTATCCTTATTTTGTTTATTTCAAAAATTTGTTGATGGGTTTTTTATAAAGACATTTTAAATAGGAACAACTGTATTTTTTAATTTAACCATCACACCAGCGCACTTACATTCATTATTATTAATTCGATTAACAATAGTGTTATTGAATTAAATTATCTACTCTTCATTTTATCAACATTTAATAACTGATTAGATCACACTAAATTCGTTTAATTTCGAATCTTGATAAATTCTTTATCGAAAAGATATTGGAACATTCAGGTAAAAGATAATAAACATATTACCTGGCGCTAGAATTGTGTTAACATTCTAATAGGTCGGACGGTACAAAATTAATTTAAAACATGGCAGTGGAGAATATATCGAAAGAACTCGAAGATCTGGCTATTGGAGAAGAAAATAATAATTACGAAGGAAATCAAACGCAGCAGAAGAATATTGAGAAAGAAAATGAGGCAATTGTAATAAATAATAACAAAAAATCTGAAGAAGAAGCTAATAAAGAAGACGAAATTGAAAATAAAAGAGTTGAAGACGAAGAGGAGGATAACGAGAAAGATGATAATAAGGAAGACAGTGAAGAAAAAGAAGCGGAAGAAAACACGAATCCTTCACCTTTCGCATTCAGGAGTTTAATAGATGTTCCGGAATATTACGCAGGATACGGTGGATCATTTCCAACAGCATTTTAAATACTTTTTATAAAAGTAAAGTGTTTGCTATTTATGCTTTAAGTGTGCGCGTTTTATTAATTATAGCAACACAACAAGTACGTATTGTTACTAATTTATGTCGGTGTTTATATCCAATTAATTTGTGTATAAATTCCAATGAATTATTTTTTGGACTATTTATTATTGAATAATTAGCCAATTTTTAGTCATGCATATCTAATTAAGTTTGTACCGAGTAACTTTCATAATATTTTTCAGCATTTTTTAATAAAAAAAATATATTTGTTATACGTTGGCATGCTATGCATATCATAATTTCTATTACCTTATTACCAGAAAAAAATCTTTCTTCAACAATTTCTTTACATTCTAACCATTCATACATAATTCATAAAGCAATGGAAAGGGTCCATATGGTACACCTGACTGAACAATTACCTCAATGTCAATCTATTCTAAGTACGTCTATAATGGCTAAATTATGTTGTTACATTTTAAAACAACAATAGGCTGTAAAATGTCATTTACACTTCGCATGGAAGATAATAAACGTTTACAAGGATTAATCTAGAAAGTGTTTATCTCTGATAAAAAGATTGACAACAAGCAGATTAACGACAAGTAGATTATACCACGTTAATATTACGTAATAAAATCGAAGAAAAACTTGTAAAAAAAAAGTAATAATTAATTCTACTGGTCATATTGTTATACAATCGCGGTGCGCATCATAAATAATCGAGCATTCATGCGAAACCTCAGTCAAATTTTCCCGATGTGCGCGATACATTTCTTGCCGTTGAACGGATATAGAAAAGTGAAAATCATCCCGATGTGCTCGGCATAAAAAGTCTACGCACTAATTTAAAATTCCAATTATCGAGACGAGTAATTATTTTATCGCGATGATCTCAATGAAAACAACTCGCGCGCCAATTGATTGATTGATTGATTGATTGATAATAAAACCGTTACGCGTACAATATGTTTTTCCGCTAAACGGATCATAAATTTTCGCCCGAAGAGCAAACAGACATGATAGTTGCAATTGAAAACAAAATGACATTTGATTGTCAAGGGTTAAATGAGTTTTCCTTCTGAATTTATATAAACCTTGGGCTTATGGTAAGGAAATAATAACGTGTTAAATAATCTCGCAATATCCTTAATTAATCTACTTAACGTGCATTTGAATGAAGACAAATCTACGTTGTTAAAAACGCCGTTAAAAGTGCGATTGTTAGTGAAAAATATTTAGCAAGAGGTTATAATAAAAAATGGTCATTAAAAGTAAATGTGTAAATTAAATTACCTATCTGTATAGTTCAATGATTATTTAGAACTACCATACAATAAGCAGTAAAATACGGCACATTAACTCGTTGCGACAGATCTTATTAAGCCGTTCGATTTCCTGACAAGATAGAATTAATTACGCCTGTGCCAAGACAAATTCCTGTTTTGCGAATAAATGAACTATTTTTTTAAATTTATTCATCTATGTTTTAATGAAATTAATCAGCTTTTTCGGCGGGTAGTATTTTAACTTAGTTACAAATTGTCCACAAATTCCCCAGATTTTCGAAGCCACCTAATCAGATTAATTATTCATAGCGATCGGATAGTGCTGGCTAGAACTTTGCATCAACAAAATTAATTGATTTCGCGCAATTAATAATGCACGTACGACCGATATTGAACATAGAACAAAAAATATAACCGGAATTATGTCATGTTGTGTGCGAGGAAAGTCGAAAAATATGCAGGCACTTGTTAAAAACATCGAAAACCGAAGCCTCTCAACCATGAATGCTTATTCACTTAATAATGTGCAAATTAAGATTATGCAGCTCAATTTAAATCTAGAAAACGGCTGTATGGAACATGTAAATTAACACTAACATGATACACTTACGTAAGACGTTATTACAAAAAAAAATCACATATGCATACAACCAGCTGCGTCGAATCCGAATTCCGAAAATTCGCCAGGTCTCAAATCCGAAAATCGCGCCGGCCATCTCTCTAAATCTAAATTGTGCCCCAATATTGTACAAAATTTTACAAAGAAAATTCCAGCCCTGTTGGTAAATCGTGCACTCGACTCATTCAAGATCAAGGGAAAGTAAAACGGCCGGTTGGCGATCAGGGGAGCCGTGCATGTGTGCATTTCTTCGCCGCCAAAGTGGGATTTTGATAACTCAAGGGGGTCCTTTCACACAAAGCGTCCTATAAAATCCTCTCTCTATTCTCTGATAATTTAGTTCGCCATAAATCCTCGGTTGCCCGACATTATTCTCGATCATTCACAGCCATGCAAATCTTCATAGTAAGTAGGAAGTGCGTTTAGTGCACCCGTATACATCGCGAAAAGTCGCAGTGAAGTGGTTCATATTTCTGATTTTTTTTTGAAATTTTTCTACGAAAGCGGTGGTATTTTTAATGTGAAATAAAATAAAAATATTGCGTTGAAATAGTGTAAAAGATTTGATTTATATCGGATGCTAGAATTGTGTATTTCAATTAATTATGAAATATTTTGTTGGATATATTGATTTAACAAAATGGATTTTGTGTTGGAAAATTTGGTTACTAATAGAAAATATTTTCATATTAAGCGGGGATTATTTTTACCTCATTTTATTTCGGATTTTATTCGTTTTTGTTGATAATATTAATGTTTTATAAAATGTACATTAACTTTTAATTTACATTCAGTTAATTTTTTGTTTAATATTTATTATTTCTACTATAAATATTTATTATTTTTATTAAAGCAATTGGTTTAAATAATATTGCTTTATGTTTATATTTTTATTTTTATTTCATCACTTCACAGCGCAATTTTAGTCTTTTACATCGTTTGATCATCAACAAGTGTAATTTTTTCTGTGCTTTGTTATCAATATTTGCCCACTTAATTAATCAACATCTATCGTTGCATTTTACTATAATAATTCTATTTATTATTCAATTAGCCCTTATTTCAATTGATCCACATCTTCTACTTATACTTTTTCATTTTAAAGTTTCGAATCTTCAAGACCAGAACAAAAATTTTACTGATAGATATTTACTCATCCATGCAAGTAATTTGATCAATTTATTATCTTCCATTTCCTACATTCTTTCATTTCATTTCATTCTTTCCTCAATTCTTTCATTTCATTTCATTCTTTCCTCAATTCTTTCATTTCATTTCATTCTTTCCTCCATTCTTTCATTTCCTTCAAGCCAATCTACTCCTATCTTTCATCACCAAAACTTCATAATCATCGAATCCCTTCGTTATATTTTCGAATAATTTTCCCCAGGTGTGCGCCGCCGCAATAGTCGCTATGGCTAACGCCCGACCAGGCGACGGCTACGGACACTTGGAATTGGCAGGCCTCGAAGAAGGCGACCACTACGGAGGCGGCGAGGATCACTACGAGGCCACCAGCTACTCGCACGGCGGTCTCATCGCCAACGAGATCAGCCACGGGGGCGGTCATCACGAAGAGCACGTCATCGACTATCACGTAAGCATCATCTAGTACCTAGCAGTACCAGAAGTTTCCTTATACCCGAAAGATACCAGCTGGTGGTTCACTTGGGGATCTGGTTTTTGGTTGATAAAAGAGAAATTTGTGGGTATTTTTTGAGTACTACTATTGGAATTTGTGGAGATTTAAGATCATTAAGAATCCACTATAAGGGAGTCTGGTAAATTTATTGGTGATAATAATGATAATGATCCATTAATTAAAATAACCGCAAGCAATAAAACGTTATTTTATATTTATTCGCAGGAACATAATTTCGCCGCGATAAAGTTCGATTGAATTGAAAATGAACTACTCGTTTGGATTATAAATTTGTGTAAAATGGAATTAACGGTTAATTTTGTGCAATTTTTTAAGCGATTTAATAACTTCCTATCGGCGAACGCGCGATATTCAAAGCGGAAAATTCTCGAGTATAATTGATAATAACGGGTGAAAAAAGGTTTATCACGCAAATCGGTTGTAGAAACTGTCGATATTTATGCGGAAAAAGGACGATTTTTATAGCTTTCTAAAAATGGCATTTGAAACGTCAGCGGACGTGTCTAGAGTGCAATTCCTGCTTTAAAGAATGCATGAAGATCCTAAATAAGCTAAATAACTTATCACCTAAACGCGTGGAATTTTTAATAAAACGCATGGAAATAATGCAACGGAATTTTATATTACATATGAGGAAAGAAATCACGATACGAAAATAAATTTCTACTTGGATGCCACGAAGGAAAAATAATTAACTTATACCAATAAATGATAATTTTTTATCTATTTCTATCTTGAATCATTACTCCATTGCTCGTTTTTTCGATGTCTTAAAGGGTCTGTTTGTATCTATAAAATTTTTTAGGCTAGGTATATTTTTAAAATATTTTGATACCCTATTATTAATTTATAGAGATAATCTTCATTGCATCATTTTTCCTTTGACGAAACTTCCAACGGTTTTGACATCCTGTATACCCAAATATAGGTTTTTTTTCTAATTAAACCAGCGAGTATAATAATCATAAAATATATGTTTCCAGCCGCAAGTGAATGCATATAAAAACGCGAAGACGACACTCGTTAGAGAAATATTTGCATGTCGTTAGTGCGTGACCTGCTTTCATCCAACTCGTTCCTTTTCCTCTACACGGCGTCAACGAGGAAAAAGGATATGCATTTTTAGAAATTGCTGTTCGCAGATGCCTCGTTGTTTATTATACAATACATTTATTCCGACTTCCATCGATGATTCAAAAAATACTACAACTTTCGATGCAATTCCAGGCACCGCCGAAGTACCACTACGATTACGCCGTCCACGATTTGCACACCCACGACATCAAATCGCAATGGGAGACGAGGAACGGGGATAAAGTGAAGGGCGAGTACACCATCGTGGAGCCCGATGGGTCCAAGAGGATAGTATCGTACACGGCCGACAAGCACACCGGATTTAACGCCATCGTGAAAAAGGTCCACGATTTCTAGCGCGTCGAGACCCGCTCTCCTCGTTATTTATTTCGAATTAGTGATGTCGCGATCAGTATTATGATGTTATCACGTTGCAAGTAGGTATAGGGCGTTCACGTTAATCCGGCTGTGACGTAGTCGCTGCGTAAGCAATCAGAGCTTGCTGTGTTTTAAGCGAGATGTTGTTGTTGGATTGGCGCGAATGTCGTTTTAGGTATTTAGTGTAGAACGAGCCCTTTTTGCGGCTTATTTAATTAGTGTTTAAATGTTAAATGCCATTTTTTTGAAATACATAATTGGGTACTCGAATAGTTTTTACGTTTTACATTTATCGGATACCAATATTTTGTGTTCAAGCATTTTGTGTTTTGTATTTCATGAGTTGTTTCGAAAAGCTATTTTGTTGTAAATACGCTTTGAATCGTAGAATCTATTAAACGTGTTATTTTTTATATCGGCGTACTTTAATCGAAGAAATTTCCCCAGGAAGTCTCGCGGTTTTTATTCGAAACTTCCACCCGTCGCGTTGGTGCAATGAAACTTTTTTAATTACTTGAAAGCATTCCCGTAAATAATTCATTCTAAAACCCTCATCGGAAATACGAGAAACGATAAAAACCGAGCGATATGTGGCCACTTTACGGCTTTCCCAATCGGTTAATCAACCCGGCTTCGAACTTTAAAATCCATATATAAATAAAGAAAAGCTTTCTGCTAATTTCCCGCGCAATAGAAACCGCAACAAACAAAAAGTACTCACCCTCAACGAAGGAAATCCGAGACCCACCACGAAGTTCGAGGTCCAGTTGACGAGCACGGCAATTGACATGGCGGCGGGTCTGGGCCCTTGGGAGAACAGTTCGGCAGTGATCATCCACGGTATGCTACCGGGCCCGACGGCGAAGAATTTAACGAAGAAGAGCGTCGAAACGACGGACAGGTACGACATCCAATCGATCATCTCCTGCACATAGCCGAAAAACTCCTGATCAGGCGGTAGTATTGGTGCTCTTTCCGGACCGATTGCCGGAGGAGCGAGCCCGGAAAATCATAATTTTTCTATTCTAGCGGGTTGCCTATCTAGTGTAAGCGCTTAATCTGAAGCCTCGCTCCTCCAACTTGACCGGAAAGTCGAAAGAAAAAATATAAGGGGACGGGGTAGAAGAAGCAGATTGAGTTTTCATGCAGCAACACGCACAAATTATGTTTCAAAATAAATTTGATGATTTAAAAAAAATAAACAAATTTTTGTACCATGCTAAAATAATGTTCTGTGTGTAACATTTATTACTGCGATGGTAGGCTAAATAAATAAAACCATGCAAGTGGGACTTACTTAAACTTACATACTTACTCGAAATATAAAAGTACATATTTACTGTTATTTTTATATAGATTTTTGAAACATTTTTAGGTAATGACTTTCATATCGAAATGTAATTAATTAAAGGTTAAAACCAACTAATTAGAGCTAATGGTTCAAAATTTCGAATCAATTTCAATAATAATTGATAGGCATTGATTGAGCGAACAGTGACAATATTGCCACATTACGGGCATTTTAATTAAAAAGGGGTCGATTTGCTAAAATTATAATTTAATAATGCAGAAAATAAAGGAGTTAAACATTAATTTTCGGTCGGAGTATTTTCATCACTAATGCAATTATAATCTACATATAGGAATTTCGTTTTGTGATTACGTTATAAGAGTCGTAGCGAAAATATAATCAACTACTCCCATAAAACATGGTTTATTGTACGATGTTGCTTATTCATTTGTAGTAGTTACAGCACTAATACTATCGATGTTCTCTCCACTTTGCAGAGGAACCCGAAGCATCGTTATTAATTACTTTACTCATCTTCGAGTATTAACAACAACGATCCCTGTAAACCTTTAGTTCAAACCAACGAACCTTTATCAAAAACGAAATCGTAATGAATATAGAGAAGATGAACATTCCCCCTAATCCGTAAAGGTGTAACGTCCTCCTTCCCATTCTGTCCATCAGCGGTATGGAAATTAACGTCATAACGACCATAATGCAACCAATACCGATGGTCGCGAACTTGGCACTATCCTCTGGCAAACCAGAACTCACGAACAAACTCGTCGAGTAGTAGAACACCTACAAACAACACACACAATTTAAATATCGAAGTATTGTTAGTTAAAAAAAATGGTTCACTCACCGCTATGATACCAGAAAATTGCTGGCTCAATTGCATGACAATACCGATGATCAGCGGCATCCTCAACGTCGGCGAGCATATCAATTCCACCATGCCGATGGAGGCCTCAGAGTGCTGGGCCCTCTCTTCGGCCCTCATCTCTTCGATGTCCTCTTCGACGGCGTTGCTGGCGCGCAGCCTCCTCAACGCCTTCCTGGCCTCCTCCTCCCATTGCTTCGTGATCAGCAGGTAGCGAGGACTTTCCGGACACACGGGCAACAGCACCTGGCGATCGATCGAGAGATTTCAACGAAACTCCTTAAATAAGCGATGGATAGCTTACGAGTTGCAGTACTGCCGGTACGACGGCGAGGCCGAGGAGCAACGGCCATCCTTCGTTGGTGCCCAGGATCTGTTCGATGCCCAGGACTTGCGACAGGAGAAGACCGATGGTAACTGCTAGCTGATTGACGGTACCGAGGCCCCCTCGCAGGTTTAAAGGCGATATTTCCGATATATACATTGGTACTAATGAGGTATTCAGTCCTAAAGAAAGCCAAATAACGACTAATTAAATGCTAACAGTACACCAGGTAATTCTAGTACCATAAATTTCCGCGCTATAAAACCGAATATGAAAATAAATGAGGCGGTAAAGCGATATTGCAGGGTAAACGGAAACCGCGGCGCGGAAAAGTTGAGGCTACATATTTTTATTCCCTCAACTTTATATAAATATACGCCGTACAGAGGAAAGTTCATGGAAGTTTGATATAGTGTATACTGTAAACCAGCGTGAGGTATGACATTTAATACCACCCACGGGGCGAGTTCGATGTTTTCGAAACGTACGCATGTGAAGATGTGACCCAAATCAGGGAATAAACGCGAGCACGAGCGCGCTTTAATAATAATTTCTAATAGGCTGTTCCCTATATCGAAGTTTATACAAAAGTAGATTGTACAAAGGAGCTATTTAGATGCTTTATTAATACAGGAATCTGTTCGTAAATCTGTTTACTGTAGTTATAATTTAAACAAACATTCACTTACCACAATTGACCCCAATAATAAATCTTCCGACGAAGAGGATTTCGTAGGATTTCGCGACTTTCGTACACCACATTAAGCACGCTCCCGTGATGCCCAAGACGTTGTTAAGCAGCAGGCCGCCCTTTCTGCGAACGCAAAAACACAACAAAAAAAATTAGAATCATCGCTCGGCTCGCTCCGATGTGATTTATACGTTCCGACAAAACCGCGAAATGGCCGAATATTATTACTTCGAAATGAAACGAAAACCGGATTTACGATCCCCGGCGTTTCATTTTCTCGATGCGTACCTTCCGAATTTGTTGGCCACCATGCCGCCCCCGAAGCCGCCCAACATGCCCCCGATGGCGAAGATCGAGACGGCGATCGAATAGAGCATCTCCGCCTTGTCGCTGGTCAGGTCCTGGCCGTATCGCTCCTTGTAGAGGCCTTTGAAGAAGTTCTCGATGTTACCTTGGGGCGCGTTGATCACGCCCGTGTTGTACCCGAACTGGAACATCCCCAATACCGCCGCCATAATGGCGTAGGTGAGGAATAATGTAAGACCCTGCAAAAGCAAAAATGTCTCAGGCGAAATGTATTGCCAATCGAAACTCATTTATTTAATAGGATAACTTTCTAGGTAGCTACAGTTTTTGTTTCAAAAAAAGTATGGGTGCTTTTCTTGAGGGAAAAATGTGTTTCAATAATTTTGAGAATTCATCCGAGTGCATTAAAGGGGTAATTTGAATTTCCGCAACACCTGCAGGAGGTGATATACACAACAACTCCTGAAAAGTTCAAATAAAACCTTAAATAAGCATTTAATTAAATTTTAAATATGAATCCCCCGGCAAAAGCATATCTAATTACTTCATAATAACCGCACTCGAAAAGTTAGAAACACTTCTGGATTAATTAAGCGGGGAATAAAGCACCTACTATATAATTTCTTGAACACTAATTAAATCCGTATAAAAATTTCGTTGAAAACAACAACTATTAAAAAGCTCGTCGGGTGCGTTGTTCGAGAAACTCGACATTTTCCGAATTAACGTCGATTTTTTCCAGTGGTATAATTGCGAAGATGCCGAAATGAACGTTTTGTCGGTAGGAGAATCCGCCTCGTTACTTTTAACATCGCAGGATGCATTTAATAGTGACGACAAGAAGTTGCTGTAATTAGCGTTGGTCTTAATCCCGCCACTTATTTAATGTACTTTGAAAAATTACAACCCTAATACCGATTTCTCCCGTTTCCAGGAAAACTTTATAATTCTGCTGCTCGAGAACGTAACTTTAATTGGGGTAATAAAACGAGCAAGAAACACACCGGCGTTCCTCAAGATTTTTTTCGTATAATTCGCATTTCCATCAGTATTTTTCTTGATTACTGCAGAAATAAACGAGTAGGAGATATAGGGAATTACTGGCAACATTGTAAGTTTTCCTACAACACGCTACTGCTAAAAAAATCCATTCTACTTATATTTTCCTCGACTTTCAACGTAGATAAGTACACCTTGAATGGAAAATGTAAATAACCAATTTTTTAGTCTACTTTAATCCGCCATCAAAGCGAATGCAATGAATAGTAATTGGATAAGAAATGCTTTTTTTATTGGGCAAATTAGCGTTTTTTAAAAAGCATCTCGACGGCGAGGTCGTTATTAAAATTAAAAAGTTTCTCGGGAATATTATAGAGATGCTAGAGTTGTGAATCATATTTAAACGAACAGGTAAAAATCCGAGCCTGTGTTTTACAACATCCTACCTATTTTATTAAATTCCTCATTGGAGTAAAGGCATTTTCGCTACTTCATAAAATTCCTCTTCGAGGCCGTTCAAGAATACACGCGTATCGCAAAGCAGAAAAAGGGATTTCCCCCTAAAACCTTTGCTTATTTGGCAGCGCAGCAACCTCCCGGATAAAAGATAGAGCTTTAAGAGACCGGATTTATCCGGATTTGTATGTATATTTTTCTTCGTTTCCTTTCCATTCTTAATGTAGCTCCTCTAATGTCGCCGGGATTCTTTAAAGCGCAGCCGAGACACGGTTTAAACGAAGTTAACCTTTAATACTCATTGAAATATAAACTCCCCGAAAAAAATCCGTCGACAAAGCTTCACTAGATTTAGCTTCGTTAACGTCTTTGAATTGAACGAAATAGTTGAAACTATCAACGATACACTCCCAAATTGTAGGATTATCGGATCGAGAAGACTGAGTAAATATTTAGAGAGGAGGACCGACCTGCTCGAGAAGCCGCAACTTCCTCCGATGCGTGTGCTCCTCCAGCCGGTCGACGTACTCGCGCAGCTCCTCGATCTCCTCCTTGACCTGCTGGACGGTGTCCAGCTCGTGCTTGATCGCCACCATGTCGCGCTTCACCTCCGACACCTCCGACTGGCAGCTCTCCACCGACTTGGTCAGCTCCTGGAGTTGCGTGCGGATCTCGCAGAGCGCCACCGTCGTCTCCAGGTGGCGATCGCCGCGCTGCAGCTCGTCCAGCTTCGCGTTCAGGTTTATGCTCATAACGCTCACCTGCTTCTGCAGACTGGCGGACGAAGAAACAGGCTCAGTTAGAACCCGAGTGGGTGGGAGTTCGAGGGCGAGAGGGCGAAGGGGCATGCGATTTGTTTTTTGCTATACATGCACAGGGGGTGGAGGGGTTCGAGTTCAACACAATGTGCGGTTTCGCGAATGTATGATGTACTTACTTGCGTCGAATCAACGGGCGGTTGTATTAGAGAGTGTTTTATAAATCCGGATTATTTGTAAGTATAAGTAATATATTAGGGGTTCGTGCAAGGATTGTACACACGACAGCCCTAATTACAGGTAGGGGTGGAGTGAAATCGGAGTAATCAAGGGTATGTTGCCCTCGATGATATGTTCTTTTTAATTTCTCCGTTAAATTTGATTGGTTTTATTTCAACTAAATAAACCAGAAAATCTTTCGCCAAATCATAGGGAATTATCACTGAATAAAAAGACATCAAAAAAATCATTAAAAAGAAAAAATCATTACGATATATTTTTTTTTTTAATTATAAGACAATTTTTCCAGATCATATTCTAAAAATTAATGTCTTATTGTTCTACAATTGTCTTTTTATTCAATGGGCAATAATGAGGGTACATACGACAGAATGTTAAATTTTGACATGTCAAAGGACAATATAAAAACATGAAAATCACCAAAAAAATTACTAGATACCAAATTGAATTCAAATACACAGAATTTATGTGGATATAAATACATGCACGATTGAAACAATAATAATAAAAATAAGAAGGAGAATACTGGAATTTCATTTCGCGAAATAACGGTATCTTTTCGGGCATACACCCTAGTTGGAATGTATCCAAAAACGCCCTTACTAACATTGAAATGTAAATGGGCGTTTGATTATTCGGTAGAAAGGCATGGACAAGACGAAAATAAATTCAATATTGCATCGTTTTATTTCGACCCTCGCCCTTTATATGAATATAGTAGGTCTCCTCCATTAATCCTGCGATGACGAGAATTGGAAATTATTTCTTACAATCCTCAATTTTCTGTGTAAATTTAGTAAATGAAGTATGACTAAACTTTATGTAGATATTAGAGATTTTATAGATGAGAAAAATAATTAAAAAACAACTAAATTTTCGAGTTTAAATTTTGTAATTTTTAATAGTGCATTAAATCATGCCAATTCCAAAAAAACCAGTGCTTCAATTTGTATTTTGTATGTTCAAATCTACATAGAAATAAAGTGCCCGTTGTTGCTGTATGGTGAAAGTACAAATATTATTTAACAGTGTTTTTCCAAACGCGAGTAGAAAGAAAAAACAACAAGTAGGTAGATTACAAATAGCACTATAATGGTGGGTACACTCACATAAATTTAAATAATGTAAAATTTTATATTCATCATTAGATTTTAGGTTTATTTAGTTACACAAATTCATTTCTATTCGGGATTAAGGGTGTATAAACATGCGTTGTTTTCAAAATTTTCGATTAGTTAAACGAGGGGGATATTATATTCACAATTTTTATCTCCATTATCTCCAGAAACTGTTCAACAATTCCATTAAAACGGACGTTATAGACGCACCGAAAGAGTTTTTGTAGATAACGAAGAGTTCAGTTAGCAACTCTACGACAACCAGCAAGCCCATGCAAAATAAACAAATCACCAAAACCAAAACACCCAAAACCAAAAAACCAAAAAAAACCAAAAAACATGTTTCAAGCGAATGAGACGCGTGCACTAAGCAAGCGCATCAGCCAACAGACAGCGGACACACAAAAGAAACTCGCCAGCTCCTACTAGTACCTGGGAGGCAAGGATACCATGGCTGTGTTCCAAACTACAGTGGACACCTCCTTAGGTATCCTTTCACCCTCCTTTTTATTATCCTTTCGCCTCTTATCTGTCTGTCTGACGCGGCATCACACACAACGTCAAAGTCACCTTGAGTGCAGCGCTCTTCGATAAGAATCTTCCACCTATAGTTTGGAAACACAGCCTGTCAGGGTTAGCGTGCTCCTTTTATTAATAATTTTTGTGCACTAACAAATTCCCGTCGACCAAAACAGATGTTTTTTTTATGCATATAAATGAATGGAGTTGATTGGTTTGATGCTTGTAAAATGGCGAATCTGTGTTAGTCGACTCGTTCAGAAGTATATCTTTTGACCATATCACGCAATAAAAAGTGGGGTCAAAGAACAACAAACAAACATTGGCACCAATGATTCATGAAAATGATATTCTAATCTAGTTAAAGGTAAATCAAAATTATATAAAACGAAATTATTTTAGAATACGCCCACCCGCCAAAAAGTTCTATTAATTGGCGTATTATAATAGAACAATCTGACCGGTGTTAAACCAAAAAAAAAATCTAAAATTAAAATGTCTCATGAAAATTATAAAGGTTTACAAGTGAACAATTCCCTTCGGTAAATTCCTGCTCGTCGTCTTGGTACGGTTACTTTTTCATTAAAGTAAATTCTGATTAAGTCGGAGGCGGCGAGGAAGGTGGACATTTAAAATTTTATCGCCTTATAGACGGGCCGCCTCTATTCCGTGACTTCCGTTTTAAATGAATTACGCCGAAATCTGAATTTCAAATGCGTCCGAACCCGCGAGTTTAAATTCGATTCTTGCAATATTCCCGAGTTATTTTCGGGCTTTATTCGCCTACTAATTGTGTCATAGTTTTTAATTAATGTGTCTCATTTAATTATCTGTTTACGCTTTCCGGGAACTTTTCGCGGAAAGTTTCGCGTAGATTTTAATGCGAAAACCGAGAAGTGAGAAGTTGCATGGGGAGTTTGTGTTTGATTAAGCCGAAGAAGCTTTCCTTCTAGTTTCGGTTTTGTTATGGTTTGTATTACTTTGTATTTGTGTTTTCAAATACAACACTACATGCTCCATTTTAATTAAAAATTCATCAAACCAAAGCCTATTGGAAATTTCTCCACACGCATTTATTATTGTCATGGATCAATAGAGAATTTCACTTTGATTAAAAGTATGTACCAAAACGCCGGAATATTATTTTTTGGCGTAATAAAAGAATTGTTCATTATCAATAAAAACGAAATGTGAATCGAAATAAATAAATGAAAATTTACTAAATCTTAACAATAGTTCAGAAGCTTTTGTAGGCATTTCGTAATAAAAGAGGCGAGAAAACTTCCAATTTATTGTATTCATGTGAATAAAAAGATCTATCTCATTTCGACGAATTGGAAGCTTCCATTATTGTATAGTTCCCAATAAAAATGGAATATGGCCAAATGAAATATAAACGCAAGGGTCCGAACCACTTAAACGAATAAAATTATCATCTCGCACCCGCGCTCAAATTGAACTGATTGAATTTGTATCAATTTAATTACCGAACACTAATAGAACAAAGTGTTAAGGACCCCTTGGCCTGGCCTATTGTAATTTGGGCCGAACACATTCGATAATTAACATTCGCAAATCTCGAAATCGATAATTAAACATCCCAATTTACAATACGCCGACTTCGCGTTCGAATTCGCATTCGCATTCGAACGCGAGCGAATAAATTAACAAAAAAAAAAAAAAAACCGAAAATTAATTAGCGAAATCGCCCGAATCGGAGTACCTAATAAGCAGCTCTCTGAGAGTGGCTTCATCTTCCTCTTGTATTTCTTTCGTCGTCGCATCACGCGCTCCAGCGGCGACTCGCCTGACGGAGGGAGGGTGGCGCGTCGAGGTGGAGACGTCGCGGCGAAAGGCGGAGCCGGCGCCACTGCGGGCGGTCAGCTTGAGCGTCTCTCTGGTTTCGAACTCGCTGTCGGAGCAGACTTCATGCTCCTCCACCTCGACTGTCTCCGCTGAAACTGCAAGAAACCACCAGTTTTCACCCAGCACTCGATTCACTTTTCAACCCTATCGAGAGCGTTTTAAATGCTAATATAAATGCACCTGAGCATTCTACTCTACCCTTCTGATTAATGGAGCCAAATCGACCTAATGATAATTAATATACGCGGAGTTCAAAGGGTGTCCGGCCGGATGGTTTCTAAGGTTCTGTTCGCCATCTGAAATAGAGGCGCGGATCCGGTGTATTTTATCTAATGAATGATCGCCGGATCAGAAAAAAAACTAAACGAGGGAAGTTACGAATGAAATAAAAGGAGATAATAGAGCTAAATTGGGCAATAATTGCCGTACAAAAAACGAGCAATACGATGAATCGTAGAGTCGACATAGGGCTTTTAATTAAATTAGCCGGAATTTACGAGTCATTATTAAATATCCGTCATTTAATATTCCATCCCTTCGATGAAGGTAAATAGCGGCCAGCGTCTTAATCTTAATTATTATAGATTTAGGTACACCTACGGCGCTCGAAGGGATCGGCTGCAATTTAGTCGAAACGCCCGTTCGGACCTAATTTTCGGATCCGAAATGCATGAGCTCGGTTATTTCTATTAACCACCATCGCGTCCGGTTTCATTTGCAATTTCCTTCGAATATAACTCGCAACCGGCGGTGATTACAACTCACAAGCCGATATCGGTCCGAAGAAAACTTCAATCGCGTCGCATTCCAATTCCCCAAGGCTACATCCAATCGCTAAATAAGATATTGCATCGCAAGGATGCGAAAATTGCGCTCCACGCAATGTTCATACCGAGATAATTATATCGCATCGAATAAGAGCAAGTAATTGAATTAATGTGCATCGGGAAAATTTACCTGTCCGTTGCGATCCAGTTGTTGTAGTGGTGAGAGTGTCGACGGAGTCACTTTGGAGAGCTTCGAAGGGAATGGGCACGGGGACCAGCGGCTGCTGATCGAGCCTGATGTGGCGGTGATGATGATGCGGGGGCGCCCCTGCAGACTGTCTCATCGGTACCTAGAGGCGCAGCTGCCCCCCGGGGACGCCGCCTCTGCCGTCGCGCTCGTACATTCACCGACGATGAGCTAGCAAACCGCCACCAAGTTAGTTAGAACGCATTATATAGCCCGGCGAGCGGCGGGTGTTATGGAAGCGCTAAAGCTGAGCATTTGCTATGTTAGGTTGTGAATTAGTATTTTTAATTTGGTTATGTAAAGCGACCCGGGTTTTTGGTACACTATAGGCAACATATTTTACAGGGATTTTAGGAGGAATGGTGATTCATTGGTTCGATAATCGACAACGAAATGGAGAGGAAATGGATGAATTTATTAAGATTCCAAAACCGCCCCCTTTCATCTCTGCGGGGTTGAATTTTGATTGAAAATTTCTGCTTAGCAGGTGCCTACATTATATTGTAGAAACAACCCTCTTAACAATTAATAAAGCAATTTATTTACATTTATTGGTAATTCGCTGCGAATTATCTTCCATCTTTTTACCCGTAACAATAAATTCGAAATGGCTGTAATTAGATTTATTCAAGCGATACTTCACAATAATAATCAGAAATTTCCAAACTAAAGTATAGCGTTCTTCGCACTCAAAATACTCATAAATAGAGAAATTTCAGAGATAATCCTATCAGTGATTACGCTTTTGTTTGGAAAATATACCTATATATTCCAGCCCAACAAGGAAATGAAATTACGAGAGCCACTTGGCTTGCGGTATTTCTAACTGAGAGATTAATTCTATTGATGATTAGAAGGAATTTGAGAGCGTCGGATTCGCCATCGGTGAATAGATCGGTAATAATTAAATTCATTTCGGCGATAAGAGCAGAAACGCCGATGGAGCATTCAAAACCATCGAGAATTGTAGGTAATTTAATAAATACAAGGGATTGTTTAATTAAAATAACGCTAAATAGGTAGGTAGATTAAGGGAACTTCTTAGTTTTTTTCAGATTCAATTTAATTTAGTTTTCATTAAATTCGACGCCGAACCGCGAAATTCAAGTCCACAACGTATATTTATAGAATCTTATTAAATTTTCAATCGGCCGTCCCGGGCGTTCGATTAAATCCAGGAGGGATATTATAAATAAACCGTACAAGTTACTTCGAACGAATCGCTAAAAAAATCGGCGAGCGGATAAAACAGGAAAATCGTAGGCGCGAAATGGAAATAAACGAAAAGAAACAAACAACGCGAAAAAATCCGGAGGAATAACGAAAGCTTTCATCGCCGCGTGTGCTCGCGTTATGAGGAAAATGCGCGAAAATTAGCTCGACAGGCCCGGACCGACCCAGCGTGATCCAATTCGATTCAATTATCCAATCTTTTCGCTTAGCAAATTTTCTGTCAGTGCATAATAAGGAACGCCCGAGCGGGCGCGTTATTAAATAAATAAAAAAAAACACAAATATTTTTCACGTTTTATTTCGTCGCCATCGACAAAATCGTAAACGTTAATTACGATTTTCGTTCAAGGTGAAAAATAGTAACGCCATCGGGGGTTGATTAAGCATCCTGAACAGTGTTTACCATAGCAGGAATGCAATCGAGGGTGGTAACCAGAAAAAGCGACGTTGATAGACGGTTTATAAACACACTTCGTGTAATGGAAAGGTTTTTACTTCGAGATTGCATTTAATAAGGATTTTAATGTACTATATTTCGGTATAACAGGGTGGATTTGACGTTTTTCGGCTACAAGCAATTTCGTCGGATTCTAATTAATTCCAGTATAATTACTATGATATCGATTGAAAATTTATAGAGTAAAAAAATTTTTTTAACCCCCATAAAACCGAGTAACTCTATAACTGAAGTAACTGAATACACAATTTTGTCTCACTCAACAAAAGCCTTTCGCACATACTGTATATTTCGTGTATCTAAACGTGACTTAGGGAAAAAACTAAACATTAACGCGCATTCGATCATTATTTACTTTCTGTTCCGATTTCCGCCGAGTCGCTTATACTAATACATATAGCAGATTATCCCTTATCCTCTTTCTTGCTTCAACAATCAGAGAGCGGCAAAACCGGAGGCGGGAGTGTTTGTTATTTACGCGCATAAACACGCTCTATCACTTTCCCTATAACGTAATGTGTACCTATTAATTTGCCCAAAATAATCGCAATACTCAATTTCGGAGGTTTTAAGTTTGTAGTTACTCTTATTAGATGCCTTCTGGTTGATTTCAAAATTGATTTGGTGAAAAAATAATTACTCCACCTCATGCTGAGTATACATAGCTCTCTCAATAGCTAGCTTTGTCAGAAAATATGCCATTAGCCCACTCAATAGACTAAATAAATATTTACCCTCGCTGTTCAATCAATCTACCGAACCTCACACTGATAGCGCAATTTAGTGTCGAAAATGAGTGGGCTCTATGAGATTATTTCACCTTACTGCATCCAGTTTTTTTTTTTGTTAATTACAAACGCGTTTTCTATTTTGCTATAGAGAGAATCGGTGGGGCGTGCAACAGGAGAAAAGAGAAATAGCCGGACTAATTCGAGACGATTGTGTACAGTCGAGCCCTATCGCAGATTATCGCAAACATCAATAAGTATAGTGGTCTCGCTATCGAAGCCAATCCAGATAAGTGATAAGGACAAACTATCGAGCCTCTTTTATTTACTCTAACTTATTGCGGGCATGGGGTATTGATGGATTGTTTGCTAACACTTTTGTCTTGTTATTGTTGAGGAAATATTATAGTATATCCGATGTAGATAAATGGGGCTTTATTAATATTTTAGATTGGGGATATTGTTTGAAACTCGGCAAAGAATGCAGTAAAATAGTAAAATTTTATGATAGAATAAACGTCGGCTACTTAGCAAACAAATCCAATATTTTCCAAGTAATAAGGGACTATCGCTTTATTATAAAACCCCGCCTTATATAAATGCAATCTATAATTCAGAGGAGGCTTAAAGTTCCTTGAGGAAACCGTCATTTTCAGTAATTTAGCGTTGCGAGAACGTTTTCAGCAGATGTAAATGCCCGCCGCCGGCTTACGCGACTCGACTATAAATCGTCAACAAATAACCCATAGAAGGAGAGAAAAAAAACCCGACACACAACCGCCCATAAAATCGAGAACATTTATTTAGGAAATAAATCGAGAGCACTGAAATGCAAAAGCTTCATTACTAATATTCCGCCGATATCGACAAAAGAGTTGTGGAGTTTTTTCCTTTTCGCCGGGGCGCCCGGGACCCGTCAAAATTCGAAAATTTATCGCGATCGCTTATTGCGAAAGTGTCAGCTGCAGATACGGCTAAGTTTTATTAAAATCTCTTCGACGAGTGCGAGTGCATTGTCGAGGAACTAATTTGTTTCCTCGCTATGCGAGCTTGTTTAATTAAATAACAATTTACCAATAATATTTAACAATTTTATTTATCAACCTGTAAAAGCCGACTTACCTTTAAACCAAAAACTTCCATTCTAATTCGTATCGATTCTGTGTGGTCGTCGACTCGTGAAGCTGCACCGAAATCTGCAACAAATAAATCCATGATTATTCGAGGGGGTCACAGCGCTCATTTGATCGCACCTCCGCGAGGTAAACGAGAAATTAAATTTCAACACTGCATCGCTTTAGACGTCAAATAAAGCATTGTCTTCGCGTTAATCTATTGTAACGTATTTGTTTTGGAGTTGTCAACCACAATACTGGAGTTTGAAATGCTTTGTCCCGGCGCCGGCTTTACAAGGTGTCGGTATTTGATTTAATATTTTGTACTGTACTAATTGCACAACGCCCGTCTTTGTGCTGGTAACGTTAACACGAATCCTGACCTGCCCGAGGACGAGAATTTATTATTATTAAGTCGTACGAAGTGTTTTCATTTTCCTTGGTTAAAGTGTTGATCAACTTTTTTTTCATTAATGTCACTAGTTATGAGGATATTTTTAAAGATTAAATACCCATAAATATTTCAAAAAAACTCTTATTCAAAGTACTTTTAATGTCCCACAAAAATTTATATAAAAATCATAAAAGAATAAAATTATTATCTTTTATATGAACAATAAATTCATTAAAATATAATCCTTTGTAACAAGCTTTCAGCACCAAAACAAGAATTATTTATTGGATTTAAAAACCATTAAATCATCTACAACAATCCATTGTACAAGTACTCGAATTCTATCTTAATTAAACCTAAAATCTACTAATACACAATGGTGTTCCTTACGACTACATTGCATGTAAGGATATCAAGCAATGCGAAGTAATTGTGCGAATCCATCTTCGATGTACTTAATAGCGTTTACCTAAAATACACTCTACGTGCGTACGATTTGTCCTTCGAACAAAGGCCCATTTGCACACAAAAGCCCCGTCTAAATTTACCCCGTCCGGGTAATAAGGGGCCCCATCATCGACTCAACGAGTATAAATAGATAATTATTGCGGGGCCCTGTCGTAGCGGATGCAACCAGGGTCGTTTTGGGTAATTAATAAACTGAATTTTATAAACATATTTTTGTAATGGTAAAATTCCATCAATGTTATGGATATTATTCGATATGATTGATGGGATTAAACGATTCTTTTGGGCTAGTGAGATGCACGTTATGTCACTGGTAGTGGGATGCTTACAATTTACAATTGGTGCAATTACAGTAAAATGCAATTAGACCGTAATTGTAGGACAGAAGCTCATGTCGACACACTTCCTATACATCGAGGTAGACGGAAACACGCGCGTTATAACGCTTGATTATAATTGCACCTGCTAAGTTCACTTCGAGCAATTTATATACACATAGGCGACAATGCAGATATAATGTAGTTAAATTTACAGGAAACCGAGATGTGAAGGATTATACAATTCCTCAAGACGCTTAATTTACTGAAATATTTAACCATACGAAAACAGGCGCTGATATAAATCGTTACAAAAAATGTAGTCGAAACATCAAGTAGATCGATAACGTAAAGAATTGCCATTTCCTCGCCTATATTATAACCG